TGACAGACGTCTGTTCTCTGCCACTGACTCCAACAAACATTGGAGGTGAAACGGTACAAGGTCACGATATGATATGTATGCTTGTTTACGTCAAATTGTGTGGAAATGTCTTGACTATAAATATTTCAGGATCAAAAGGAAAAGCTAGCTGTAGACACATGTTCGATGTGGCTATTTTTAGCAGTGAATTTAATTACACATTTTGCGATTTTTTACTTACAAAAACGCCGGTGGTCATGAAATGAGCAATAATGTATTTTAACCAGTGTATCGTCTTGTATTGATACAAACAACATGCATCATGTATCGTACTGGTGCATGAAAACCCGCAACACACTGATGTATCACCTCTCACAAACACTTCAACTAAAGGGAAACTAGCCACCATGATGACGTCACACAGTTCATGATGAACTCACTGGCCATTCTGAAGGGGCATTGTAACAAGACAAGCTGATGCACCTATAGGTCACTATGCAAAATTATGGATAAATTATATCTGTTGGTAATTAAATTGTATTACAATGTACCTGCAACTACAGACCCACATCACAAAGTGATCGTCATGCTTTAACTATCTTCACTCATGTCTGGACAGACCCCTGTCCCGGTGCTACGATCACATTGGATATGATCCTATGATCATCAGCACAAGAAATTCATTAATCACGGACATTAATAAATGTCAACAAATAAAAACATTCTAAAATAATGTGCATACAATAATTGTGTATATATAACAAGACAATGAAGCGATGACAACTAATACACAACCCCAAAACAATTGTAGGACATTTTTCTACTAACAAAGAAAATCTGCCAATTTGAAAGACAACGGATTCATTTGTGCAAATCATTAAGTCCAGCATTTATATATATTACTGGGCTTAAAGAATGTTTCTCAGTTCTATACTGGCTGAATAAAGTAGGGGGTCAAAATATGTCAATATTAAAAAGAGAAGTTTGAACTTACAGAAGAATTAGATTTACCTAATGTCTTCATTTGTTGGTAGCATGAAACAGACATACTGTCTCTAACATAGACAGAAATCTATCAGCAGTTTTAGCATTGTTATAGTCAAGTCCCATTAATCCGACATCAATGGTTGCATATGATCATGTCGGATTAACAAGTATGTCGGATAAACGAAATTAAGTTTGTAATATATTTTTATTTTGTTATTCAACTTGATTTGAAGAAATTTTACGTCTGATTTCTGCCTGCCTTTCTAAGTTTTCTTCAGTTTAAACCTGTTGGGCCATGATTTTATGACTGCTTCGATAGCCCTTCCCAAACAAGTGTTTCATTTAACAGAAAGTTAAGAGTTATATGCACCTTGAAAAATGAATTTTGGATAATTGTCAATGCAGCCTCAAATTGAAAATATGAAAGAAATAATTACACAAAAGTTGGGGGACTTGTCGGCCGAAGCTGAAGAGTGTAGAACTGGCAATATAATATTGGACGTCACAATGACATGGAGTTATGAGAATTGAGCATTTTCACTCATATATACAGTTATTTGTAAACAGGTATTCAATATACTTTCATAACATGTCGGTCTGGCAACCACAAATATTCATTCAGATCTTTTAGGCTAAATTCAGTTGTGCTGTGAACAGTGTTTGAACTGCTGCTTGGAGTGGAACTGATGTATACTACTCAAGGTTTGAGAGGGATATTTTCCATCTTTACATGATTCTCATACTATGTCAAGTGTGTATTGAAAAAGAATGACTTATCTCATTTTCCCTATCAAAGTTTGAGAAGTATACACTACCTATCTTATAATAGGGATATTGACACGTTCCATTCTGTTACAGCTTGTCGCAAGAGGCGACTAACGGGATCGGTTGGTCAGGCTCGCTGACTACGTTGAAGCATGTCATCGATCTCAATTGCGTGGATCGATGCTCATGATGTCAATCACTGGGTTGTCTGGTCCAGCCTCGATTATTTACAGACCGCCGTCATATAGCTGGAATATGGCTGAGTGCGGCGTAAACCAACAAACCAAAATCCCAAATCCCAAGGCAGTATTGAATATATTTGCATGACAACTTCATCAGTCAAGCGCAGTCTCGACTTGGACACAGAATATCCCTATCACAAGTTGAGTAGTATATAGCAGTCTCCACTTGGACACAGACTATCCCTATCACAAGTTGAGTAGTATATAGCAGTCTCCACTTGGACACAGACTGTCCCTATCACAAGTTGAGTAGTAGATAGCAGTCTCCACTTGAACACAGACGATCCCTATCACAAGTTGAGTAGTATATAGCAGTCTCCACTTGGAGACAGACTGTCCCTATCACAAGTTGAGTAGTATATAGCAGTCTCCACTTGGACACAGACTATCCCTATCACAAGTTGAGTAGTAGATAGCAGTCTCCACTTGGACGCAGACTGTCCCTATCACAAGTTGAGTAGTATATAGCATGTGACGTGAGGCACAACTCAGGATTACATTCTACCAGCAAATGGCCCATAATCTTGGGCGAATCCTGGCATGACAAAGGGATGCAACTCTGCTCTAAGAGTTGAGAGCACAAGTCCAACAGCCAAGAGTCATAATATTAAAGTTACAAAAATATGGGCAATCTTTTGTGGTGTGAAAAATATTATTCCCGAGTGCCAAGTCAAAACAGTTATAGAGTTATGTAGACAGGATAACTTGACATGCCACTCCTTGTCACAGAGTATTTGTTAGCTTAGTGTGGCAGCAACAACAACAACAACAACAACAACAACAACAACAATACCTTTCTCTCATTCTCCACAACATTCATACATTCAAATGACGTTATTAAATAAATATTATACATATGTAATATATACATTTCAGAAAAATATACAGGCCATATAGCATATAAACACCACCATTATATACCGGTACTCAAAGACAAAAATAACCACAATCATGTCTCTCATTTCTGGGGCTGTCGGGTAGCCTACTGGTTAAAGAGTTTGAACACCCAAGATTGATTCCCGACATGGGTACAATAAGTGAAGCCCATTTCTGGTGTCCCCCGCCGTGATATTGCTGGAATACTACTAAAAGTGGCGTAAAACCAAATGACTCATTTCTTTGAAGATTTAGGTGCATATATCTGAGGTCAACATGGTTCTGATTGGATTTTAATGATATTTAAATTTCAACAAATTCAAATTTTGTCTGCTGTTTTATCTGTTCTTTACATAAAATATGACATGTTTTTTTCACTACCCATTAGAAAGTATAGCAGTGTGAAAGGGAATGGCACTTTTAGATTTTTCTTTTTGCCACCGTAATGCCTAACAGCTGCATCAACCGTGGTCCGTCTTGACAAGTGGTCGATTGCATGTGAGTGAGTGAGTGAGTGAGAGATTGAGTGAGAGATTGAGTGAGTGAGTGAGTGAGTGAGTGAGTGAGTAAGTGAGTGAGTGAGTGAGTGAGTGAGTGAGTGAGTGAGTGAGAGGGGTTCAATGCCACGTTTGGCAAAACATTCAGCAATATCACGATGGTGACACTGGAAATGAGCTTCACATGTCGTACCATGTGGAGAATCAAACCCATGCCTGGGCCATAGCAGCTTCTACCACTGGGCTTCCATACAGCCCCTACACAGAGAGAAGACTGATCACTTAAATATACATGATCACAGTTGCCTTTGGCTTTGAGTATAAATTAAGTCCAGGATCTTCTTCCCTTAAGAAAATATAACTGTAGCACCAGCCAGGAGATTATTGCTCTGAATCAGTACACTCATCATGGGGAGGACTGGAGATCTCAGTAGATTTGTGATCGTTTTTCATAATTTTCATTTGTCCTCTTGAAAATACTGCATACAGTTATGAAACTCTCTTGGGCCTCTCAACGATGATGCCTGAACTATATAACTACCGAATTCCATTTCCTTATAATAAATAGTGAGTGAGTGAGTGAGTTGGGTTTAACGCCGCTTTTAACAGTATTCCAGTCATATCGTGGCGTGTCAGCTTAATGTGGGAGGAAAGCCCGAAGATACAGGTCTCAGACGTTTACCACTTCGGTGAAACCCACGAGCATGGGTATGGTGCTGACAAACCTAGAAAAATAATCGGGGTGAACTGGGATTCGAACCCACAATCATAGGTTTCTGGCGTGCCTAAGGGACGCAACTCTGCACAGCGAATCGCGGCGCCTTAGAAGACTGGGCCACCCGTGCCCCCTTATAATAAATAAGTTATTAATGATTAATTCAAACATTTGACAGTTACGTGTATCAGGTCACAATATGAATGCACCATAAATACTGTATTGTGTACTACAGGAAGTTTGTGCTGTATTGTTCTGATGTATTAGATCAACAACTGTTGACTAGAGGCGATGAGTATTGTCACCACGGAGTTACCGGACCCTCCTCGGAGGGACGTAGTGCTGTGTCTTCTCACAACATACAGTCCGTTTGATGAGATCTATGGCATGAGCGAGTCAGATTGCGACTGAAATTATCATGAGACGGCCCCTCTAACGCTCTGTCATTTCCCCTATCACAGAACGTGCAGTGCATGCGTGCTTGCGCTGTGCCTTCCACGGTTTGTCCCCCCTACGTGTCATGTACACATTTCTATACAAAATTACATGATAGTTTCTTAAAGAACTTCATCCGTCATGGGTCTTAAAATAAACAAAATTCAGATTTTGTTGGGTACAGGGTATTCATGGTCAAGTACCGTATTGATGTTTCATACACTTTTCTGGATTTCGAGTTATTCTGCAATTCATCGTTCTCATTTGGAGTAAAACGGACTGTAGTTCCGAACATGTTGATGTTTACACACAAATAGTGACCATGTCAAACGTATTTCACCCATCAGTGAGTGAGTGAGTGAGTGAGTGAGTTGGGTTTAACGCCGCTTTTAACAGTATTCCAGTTATATCGCGGTGTGTCAGCTTGCAAGTGATGCAGGTCTCCGACGTTTACCACTTCGATAAAACCCACGAGCACATGTATGGTGCTGACAAACCTAGAAACATAATCTGGGCGACCCAGGATTCGAACCCCAAATCAAAGGTTTCTGGCGTGCCCAAGGGACGCAACTCTGCACAGCGAATTGCGGCGCCTTAGACGACTGGGCCACCCGTGCCCCCTCACCTATCAGTGTGTTTCAATAGTTCTAGATACATCTTAAAATACTCAGTCAAAATCTATGTAGTCTACTTGCTAAATAACCGTATATCTGCACATGACAGTTAGTTCCACTGTAAATATTAGATCTCTGAATTCCCTCTTTCAGCCAACTATAAATACCAGGCTCATCCGATGCCAAATCTTTCATCATTTCCACTATAAAGAGTTCAAGTTTGTTTTGTCATTGTGTCGTGGCCGATGACAAACCAATTTATAGGATTCAAATGAAATTAACAGGTATCAAATTTAAAAAAAATATAATAATTTGAATAAAAAAAGAAATATATATAAAAAAATTAATTTAAATCCACCCCTAGTTTTTAACTGTTACGATTGACCGATTAAACAATTTTTTTAATGGCAAGTACCAACATCTGAATAAAAACAATTAAAAATGTAAAAAGCAATATTACTTCACTTTTTACACAAAACAATCTCCTTCTAAATATTTGTACAGATAAACTTCCTTCCACTTAAAATAACATCACAAAATCTTCTAAATTATCATCTTGTACATGCATAAAAATGAAGTAAGTAAACACCCATATATGGGCATTCTTTAAAAAATATGACATTCTGATTTAATACGTCGATACATATCATGACGGTGTTTGTGGAGTTGTGTAGTTGTAACTGGTGTCAGTAACTGACGTTGTTGATGTAGTTGTGGACGTTAAGTTGAGGAGTGTGGCGGTGGAGACGCCGTGGTCCCCCACCCAGCCGTAGATGGTGCTATAGACGTCGTATACAACAGCAAATCCAAAATACAGGGGGAGGAGGAACTGTAGATAGCACAGCCACTCGGGGAGGGGGAGAGCTAGATCCAAGTTCCTGAAAAGAGCAATGGTGGTGATTTAGTTTTCTTATTCTTGGGATTGAACACGCGGTTTCCGCAATTAAAGTGTATTCGCACACAGACTTAGTTTTCATGAGGCTTTGAAGAAGAGCATGTGTGTGTGTGTGTGTGTGTGTGTGTGTATGCGCGAGTCTGTGTGTGAGAAAGGGTTTGTGTGTGTGTGTGTGTGAGAGAGAGAGAAAGTGTGTGTATGTGTGTGTGTGTGTGTGTGTGCGCGAGTCTGTGTGTGAGAAAGGGTTTGTGTGTGTGTGTGTGTGTGAGAGAGAAAGTGTGTGTATGTGTGTGATAATGTGTGTGTGTGTGTGTGTGTAGGTGAGTATGTGTCTGTGTAAGAGCATGTCTTTGCATCCCTGTGAATGTCTGCGTTAGTGTGTGTATGCGTGTGCATCTGTCTGTGCATGCACGTGTTTGAGTTTGTGCATCTGTGTGTGCATCTGTGCATGTGTGTGTACCTGAGTGTTAGTGCATCTGTGCATGTATCTGAGTGTTAGTGTTAGTGTGTGTGTTAACACCTCACTCAGCAATATTCCAGCCATAAAATGGTGGCCTATAAATAATCTAGTTTGCACCAAACCAGACAATCCAGTGACTGATATTGTGAGAAACGACCCATTCAGTGGGGGCTTGACGACCAGCAGTCAACCAAGTCATCCATCCTGACCTCTTCATCCACGATGAACAGTCCACGCCAGTACCTCTGTGCCGGTCATCAGTGAGGTCAGGTGAGGTGAAATTGGGTTTAACGTCGCGTCCAAAATTATTGCACTTATATAGCGACACGCGTGCACGTGTGTGTGTGTGTGTGTGTGGCTGCTTGTACTAGTCCGGACTAATGCCGATTTATAGTGCTAGCTCACTGAGATACCATGCCGCAGTTTAACATGAATACCCCACTCAGACACAGTATACTGACTCTGAGCCGACCAGTCCTTGTTTTAGCCCCTTAATGCCGAGCGCCAGACAGGGTAACAACAAGTACCATCTTTAAACATCTTTTGGTATGACGCGGCCGGGGATCAAACCCCGGACCTTCAGCTCTCCGGGCGGAAGCTCTACCACTAGACCCTGGAGGCGGTCGCCGGTCATCAGTGGTCAAGCCTGACATGACAGCGGTTGGATGTAAATGACACTAATGTTTGCGTCCGTTTTCCACATTTAAGTTTGTTTGTTTGTTTAACGCCGCACTCAGCAATATTCCAGCTATATGACGGCGGTCTGTCAATAATCGAATCTGGACCAGACAATCCAATTATTGTCATCATGAGCATTGATCCACGCAATTGGGATACGATGACACCATAACCAAGTCAGCGAGCCTGACCACCTGATCCCGTTCGTCGCCTCTAAGACAAGCATAGTCCCCTTTTACAGCAAGCATGGGTTGCTGAAGACCTATTCTACCCCGGACCTTCATGGGTCCCACATATAAGTACCCCAGTGTAAGCGTCCCACAAAATTTAGAAACTTTACACGCTAATCGTGCACGAGACAAATGGTGCATCTCGAGTCATGGATTCAATGTCACCATGGTCACAAGTGTTGCGTTCATGAACATCGATTCACACAACATACCAGAATGTTCGTTTGTGCATCGAACCAGTCTAATATCTCTTGAATATGTGTATATCTTCATATATTATCCAAAATGTTTAGTATTGGCATTTCTTTTGGTAGTGAGCATATATTCACCCCTATTCTGTTATAATAAATACCCTGGGCCAATCGCCACTAAAGCAAATTACTTGTGTAGTTCCTGGCGGGGCAGATGAAGGTGGTGACGTCACTTCCTACATGTAGTTATTGTGGCGAACGGGTGCATGGTATTTATTGCAATAATTTGGTTGGTTGGTTGGTTGTTTAACGCCGCACTCAGCAATATTCCAGCTATATGATGGCGGTCTGTAAATAATCGAGCCAGTGATTAATGTCATGAGCATCGATCCACGCAATTTGGATCAATGACATGCATCAACCAAGCAATAACTTGGAGAAATAGTCAGAGATACATCTAAACCTGCTCAGAGACCGATATTCGGCCCAAAGTCTGCACAAATAAATTCCAAAATCAGAATTAAAAATTTCCTAATTCATGTTAATTTCACTAATAACTAATGTTATGGCTGTGAAGAGAAAACCTGCATTTCACAAGTTTTTCAATATATAAAGGTATAAAACTGGTGTGCATGCCAGTTTTTTCATTTATAACTCCATAAACAACAAGATGTTGACGTCCATGCTCCACCCACCTGTTCTCCTTGTTCCTGCACCTCAGCAGCATGAGGAAGACGAAGATGCCGGCCTGGGCGTTGAGGGTGAACGAGGCAAACTTCTCCAGGATTTCAACAAAGCCCTGCACAGAAAACAGATCACACCAAAGGGTTCCAAGTATTTGGTATCTTGGCAGATGATACGGTTAAAATAAGTTCCTTGGCCTGAGTCAAAACATTTTCGTAGCGCTACTACATTCACAGCTTCCTGAGGTAAGGGTGTTATTTGACTATTAATGTCCAGTTTCCACCTTGGCGAACTAGGCTGCAATTCCGGAGTTACATTTTGACTGGACTTACGAGTCTATGCATAGTTAAATCAAAATTGCCTACAAACTACACCTCCAATACATAAACAACATGCATTTCAACGTGCATTTCCATTCACAGGAGGATTTGTAAAGCATGTGTCAACTGGGCATCAACAGATATTTTGCAAATCTTTTCATATCTTAAAATAGGGTGCACTTCACAGGGTAAGGCCTGTTTTATTACAATATAGATCTTGATTTGCGATCAAAACGTCTTGACTGAGAGCCGCCATATTGTTTGAAGCAAATGCAAGTGATGCAATCTGATTGGTCAATAGGAGGGACATAGAAGAGACATAACTCTAATAGCGACTCATGCTACAATCGGGCTTGAAAATTCCAGCCTAGTTCGGCAAGGATGGACTTGTACAGTCAAATGTACCAAAAATAAAATGTCAAACAGGTGTATCTTTGAATCATTAATCTGACTTAGAATTATGATTTCATACTTCAAGCACATCTAATTTATCGCCAGCTTTTGAAGAATTCCTTAAGTGAGGTGTGGTGAAATTGGGTTTAACGTTGCGTCCATGAGTATTGCACTTATATAGCGACGTGCATGTACGTGTGTGTGTTTGTGTGGCTGCTTGTGCTAGTCTGGACTGATGCCGATTTATAGTGCTAGCTACCATGCCGCAGTTTAACATGAATACCCCACTCAGACACAGTATACTGACTCCGAGCCGACCAGTCCTTGTTTTAGCCCCTTAATGCCGAGCGCCAGACAAGGTAACAACAAGTACCATCTTTTAACATCTTTTGTTATGACGTGGCCGGGGATCGAAGCCCGGACCTTCCGCTCTCCGGGCGGACGCTCTACCACTAGCCCACGGAGGCGGTGAAGAATTCCTTAACTTTTTAGAGGCACTGTACCTGAGGGTCCAACATGGCAACCGTAAAGACGACCACGAAGGCGAGGATGGAGGTGATCACTGTACACAACCTGAAATAACAAGAACACATGGCTTGAACACTCGGACTGCGTCATTCCGTCTTTGTTCATCACACTGATCATACTGGTGAGGCCGAAGACCAAAGTACAAAGTGTTTTACAAATTCACACTTTCTTAAGTTTCAGCCTTATCATTTTGATATGCAAAGATTGTTTTAAACCATTTTAACTACATTATTATACTGATGAAGACTGCTTCTAATAAAACAAGAATCTGATGACATAGATCAGTGTGAGATCATCACCACCGGAGGCACTCATAAAATCTCCAGCATCATCAACTTCAATCAGTGTCACTGTGAGTGAGTGAGTGAGTGAGTATGGTTTTACGCCACTTTTAGCAATATTCCAGCAATATCACGGCGGGGGACACCAGAAATGGGCTTCACACATTGTACCCATGTCGGGAATCGAACCCGGGTCTTCGGCGTAACGAGCGAACGCTTTAACCACTAGGCTACCCGACCGCCCCCAGTGTCACTGTATACACACATTTGTACTTCAACACAAAGGAGCAGTGTGCTGACATCGTCAAGGTAAGAAAGAGCACAAAACAATTACTTCTAAATTTTACACTTTTTACTCACATCATCATTCTCATTGAGTGTTGATAGTGTTTTGGAGTGTTCAATATATACTAAAGGAAAAATGTAACTGTGCTTCCCATAAAGTTCAATAAAAATATATATTCTGAAATTAGTGAGTGAGTTGGGTTTAACGCTGCTTTTAACAGTATTCCAGTTATATCGCGGCGTGTCAGCTTAATGTGGGCGGAAAGCCCGAAGTGATACAGGTCTCAGACGTTTACCACTTCGGTGAAACCCACGAGCACGGGTATGGTGCTGACAAACCTAGAAACATAATCGGGGCGAACCGGGATTCGAACCCACAATCATAGGTTTCTGGCGTGCCCAAGGGACGCAACTCTGCACAGCGAATCGCGGCGCCTTAGACGACTGGGCCACCCATGCCCCCTATTCTGAAATTAAATAATGCATCTTTCAAAATATGTTCCTCTCCTCAACTTTACTGTCGTTATTCACAATTTGTTCAAGCATGTTCAAGCACAGGCACAATATGGATGTTTGCCCGTCTCTTTAATGTCAACAACACACACGATTGTTTAGCTATTGTTTAGCTATAGTTTAGCTATCAGGTGGTCATAAAAACGCTTTAGTTTAAACATATAACACTTACACAATACCATGGCTTGCTGAAAATAAATGTCTATGCACCATGGGCATGCTGCAAACAGGAATGGTGCAAAACAAATTTTCCAAACATTTTAATGTTCATCGAAAGTTTCGAAACACAACATCATCTCTTTGGAGACGTTATCTACAGCAAGCAACTCTTGGTTGCTGGGGTGATCATCAACATGTGACCTGACATCAACAAGACAACCATATTCAGTTGGTGCAATCAATACCAAACTGCCACATTAATCTAGGGAATCTATTAGCCATTCCACAATGTTCTTTGGTTCAGTTTCAAACTTTTAAAAAAGAAATTTATCAAAATTTGTTTCAAGGTAGTAGCCAGTTCAAAACTAGTGCCGTAAGCCACGAGAAAGCTGCCGTCTGATTGGCTAATGTCGACTTCTTGTCAGTCATTCCATTATTTGGACAAACCTCACGAAAGGTCGGTCTGACGTGACCCGTAATGGGATGTCCTCAGATCTTTGTTTAGCGGTAGCGAGAACTAAAATCGGATTTTATTGAGATTGCATAAACGCTAAGCGGGATGTGTGGAGCCTATCCCATGCATTATTCACTGCAGAAGAGTCCATCTACGTGTGATGCCTGCACTCCATCAGTAAATAGAAGATAAATCGCAAAGTGCAATGAAAAATGAAGCGTGGTTTGTTTCACGATAAAACATTAGTCTGTCATGACGCCATTTGTGGAGATTTGATTATGTGCTTGCAACTTGATGAAGTCATACATGGATGACTCTATTTTCAAGAGGGAAGTGTGCTCACCATCTCCCGTTGATGCAGCTGCAGGTGTCCGGGTCACGGAACTTGGGGATGAACCGGGAGAAGGAGTCCTTGGTCCAGCTCGACTCCACCCAGCCCGACACTGTGGGAAGACATCGGCAGTGTCAACACACAATACAGTCAACAAAACCTGGCCAGGTGGTGGTGAGGTGAAAAGGGGCTTAACCTTCTAGATTATTGCACACATGCAGCAATGTGCATGCACTCAAGTTCCCCAGTAGAGTTTTGTTCCCTATTTGAAGTGAGTGGAAGCTGTGTGAAGCAGCAGTCAGCAATATTCCAGCAATATTCCAGCAATAACAAGAGTCATTAGGGGATGACATATCACACACCCCCACCAATTCAGACATGGAGTTTGGCTACCTATACCCACTTTTGGTTCATTGCCATCGGACTCAGTTCAGTGAAGAAATAAATTTGGCTGTTCAGTATTTTTCAAAATCCCCAGTCACCAAAAGGCACCAGTTCGCCACTAGACTCATCTGTATAGCAAGTTTCATCTAGGAATAGTCAACAGTTTTGGAGTTCCGCTCTGATAATGAGCAGCCTCATTTTCAGAATAAGTCCAACTTCTTATCAGGAAATTTATTTTTTCTAAATTATAAAATCCCAAATCACCAAGAGTGAGTGAGTGAGTTGGGTTTAACGCCGCTTTTAACATTATTACAGTTATATCACGGCGTGTCAGCTTAATGTGGGAGGAAAGCCCGAAGTGATGCAGGTCTCAGACGTTTACCACTTCGGTGAAACCCACGAGCACGGGTATGGTGCTGACAAACCTAGAAACATAACTGGGGCGAACCGGGATTCGAACCCACAATCATAGGTTTCTGGCGTGCCCAAGGGACGCAACTCTGCACAGCGAATCGCGGCGCCTTAGACGACTGGGCCGCCTGTGCCCCCAAATCACCAAGAGGCACCAGTTCACCACTGGGCTGATCTATATAGCAAGTTTCAACAAGAAATATTCAACATCTTGGAGTTCTGCTCTGGAAACAAGCACTACCCTCATTTTCAGTATAAGTGCAACTTGTCGTCATGGAAAGAATACAATAAACATTTTTTAAATTCCCAATTATCAAAAGGCACCAGTTCCCCACTAGGCTGATCTACATAGAAATTTTTAATGAAATATTTAATGACTATTCCTATTGTGAGATACGATACTGTTATACTGATGACTACCTACAACTGTTCCGTGAACTACTTACATGTGTGGTGTAATGCTGTTCCTATCGTGAGATACGATACTGTAATACTGATGACTATAAATAGTTCAACCAAGAACGCAACCCACTTGAAGTGTGGGTAATCTCTTTGTAGAATCTGAAAATCAAGAAATGACATAATTACTTTTTATTTTGTAAGTTATAAAATATTGAAATGTCATACACATACACTAAGAACATACGGTACATTATATTATCGCGGTAGTTATTTTATAATGGATCGTAATTGTGAATGCTAACCAACACATTAATATGTCATACACAAAATGTTTCTTGTTCTTTGGTCAACTTTTATGACACATCAATTAGGATTGATCGATGCTGATTTTCTTTACCGAGTTCGGTAAACAAAGTATCGTATTTGACATAATAAGCACCCCGCTCTAATAAGCGCCCACGGCGATATTTGCTTATATATTAGCTAGTGAACAATCCCAATTAGCACCCTTCCGATTGATCAACGTACACAAGACTTATTTATTTGTGTATAATACGCACTTGTGTGTTATATGCACCCTTAATTACGGGCAGTTAAATTCTGGAAAAATATATCTGTCGTGTATAATACGTTCAGACGTTTCTTCTGTATCATTTCAGGCTGTCAGCATTAACCACAAAATTTAGTATCTTTCAACTCTTTCACCAAAATTAGAGTCTAATAAGAGCCCCCTATTTCTAATTTTGAGAGTGCCCTGGGCGTTTATTAATACGGTACCTGTCATTAGCGACTGAAGGGCGGGCAACTCTATATTATCGCGGTATCACTATTTTGTGTGTGATACGTGTGGATTATGAGGTTTACATCACTTCCTGTTTTGGATTAAGGGTCAAGGGACATCAATCAAACAAATGGATACTTTTCTAACCAAGTTCGGATGTAGGTCGTGGTGATTCCACTTCAAAAACATTCCAGAAACTATAATAAAAAAGTTAACATGTATACTTTAGAGTAGTTGTGACTAACAGCAACGAGTCCTGTATTCGATCATGTGATGAAATATCATGCTTAGATTTGCATATAAGTAAACAATCTACAGAGGGTGTAGATTACAAGATTTACCGATACTGCGATAATACAGACTGACTGACTGAGTATGGTTTTACGCCGCTTTTAGCAATATTCCAGCAATATCACGGCGGGGGACACCAGAAATGGGCTTCACACATTGTACCCATGTCGGGAATCGAACCGGGTCTTCGGCGTGAAGTGCGAACGCTTTAACCACTAGGCTACCCGACCGCCCCCGATAATACAGAGCCCGCGATAATATACTATATACTATAGAGTCATACTATATAATCACGTGGTTTTGTTTAAAATAAATGGAGCTGTGTAAAAAGGTAGCAACTTATTTCTGTATCGTCAACACTTTCTCTCCATTGGACTTTTGTGGGGAAAACTGACCGATCTCGCTGGTAATTTTTTTGGTTTGGTTTGTTGTTTAACGCTGCACTCAGCAATATTCCAGCTATATGATGGGGTTTGTAAATAATCGAGTCTGGACAAGACAATCCAGTGATCAATATCATGAGCATCGATCCATGCAATTGGGATACGATGACATGCATCAACCAAGTCAGCGAGCCTGACCACCCGATCCCGTAAGTCACCTTTTAGGACAAGCATAGTCACCTTTTACGGCAAGTATGGGTTGCCGAAGACCTATTCTATCCCAGAATCTTCACGGGTCCGCTGGTAATTTAACTTAATCTGAGCTTATGTATTCAATCTGAATTTGAATCCACTTTCACCAATCTATCCCCCTTGAAGGGCTCCTGTTTCACAGAGAAGTCTCAGAGCTGCAACTCTCGCAACACTGCAGCATGACTCCGTCTGGTTGTGACCAATGCTGGTGTTGATGCCCTCAAATCACAAGCACTAACTATGGTGTTTACAGTTGGGGCCGAAATAACCCAGTTTGTCAGTTGGAAATAAAAATAAAGCCAAAAGATTCTTAACCCATGTTCAATAAGAAAAAAATTGGCCTAAAGTCGACAAAATGCAAGCTCTTGTCATCTTGTCGTGCTGTATCTGTGACCAAATGACGCTGGTCCATTTACATTGAAATGTTTAAGTTTGTAACATTAGCAAGTTTAGGAACATTATCCAGCATTAGAAAATGGCACTAGTCCTGTGGTCCTTACCAAACTGTCACATAGTAAAGGTATCCTAAGGACTAGTAGAAAATGGCCCATTTTAAGGGTTTTGCTATATGTTTTCATTATAAGGACTAGTGGACAAAAACTGTTAGTTTCTACCCCTGTTAGTTTCTACCCCTGTTATCTCTTCACCAAATGTGCCTTAATGAACATAGTGGAAATAAATGATAACCAACCAGTTGGAGGATGCCCCACGGGCCAGGATTCTCCTCCAGCAACACTTCAGGTACATACTGTAGATCATCTATCAGTTTGTAACATCAATTCACAAAATCATCACACTCCCTGTCTAAATAGTTGTACTCATACAGACCAACTTACTTTTGTAAGAGGTAACGTAGAAATTTCGCCATTTTTCGCAGCACTGAAAAAAAAATCCAATACTTATCTCAACTTCATAAACTGACAAAGAAATGTCACCATTAAACAAGATCAGCAAGGTCCCAATAAATTAATTAATAGTTATATCAATTTTTATTCAAAATGCCACTGCAATGTAACTCTACCTGCTATGTAGTCAAAAGTTTAAAAAGTTTTTTGCATCAATAATGACAACCAAAAATTAAAAATACATTCTAGGAGAATATGACGTGTATGCAACTGATAAACCCGCCCCTACCTCTCCAGTGATAGATCTCCGGTACAGACTTCGGACACGTGCTCCATCACTGGACCTGTTGTTGACTGGGTTGACTGTACTGTTTCCATGACATCAGGTTGACTCCGGACACACGCCATGGCAACCGTCTGGGGGACAATGTCTAGCACCGCCCAGCACCTAGAATACCACACAAACACTGCTGAGAATACATGAATACATGCACCTGCTACATGAATACAAGCACCTGCTACATGAATACATGCACCTGTTACATGAACACAAGCACCTGCTACATGAATACAAGCACCTGCTACATGAATAGAAGCACCTGCTACATAATACAAGCACCTGCTACATAATACAAGCACCTGCTACATGAATACAAGCACCTGTTACATGAATACAAGCACCTGTTACATGAATACAAGCACCTGTTACATGAATACAAGCACCTGCTACATAATACAAGCACCTGCTACATAATACAAGCACCTGCTACATGAATACAAGCACCTGTTACATGAATACAAGCACCTGCTACATGAATACAAGCACCTGTTACATGAATACAAGCACCTGCTACATAAAACAAGCACCTGCTATATGAATACAAGCACCTGTAACATGAATACATGCACATGTTACATGAATACAAGCACCTGCTACATGAATACAAGCAACTGTTACATGAATACAAGCACCTGTTACATGAACACAAGCACCTGCTACATGAATACAAGCACCTGCTACATGAATACAAGCACCTGCTACATGAATACAAGCACCTGTTACATGAATACAAGCACCTGTTACATGAATACAAGCACCTGCTACATGAACACAAGCACCTGCTACATGAATACAAGCACATGTTACATGAATACAAGCACCTGTTACATTAATACAAGCACCTGCTACATGAATACATGCACCTGCTACATGAATACAAGCACCTGTTACATGAATACAAGCACCTGTTACATGAATACAAGCACCTGCTACATGAATTCAAGCACCTGTTACATGAATACAAGCACCTGCTACATGAACACAAGCACCTGTTACATGAATACAAGCACCTGCTACATGAATACAAGCACCTGCTACATGAATACAAGCACCTGCTACATGAACACAAGCACCTGTTACATGAATACAAGCATTTGCTACATAAATACAAGCACCTGCTACATGAATACAAGCACCTGTTACATGAATACATGCACCTGCTACATGAATACAAGCACCTGCTACATGAATACAAGCACCTGTTACAAGAAATACAAGCACCTGTAACATAATACAAGCACCTGCTACATGAATACAAGCACCTGTAACATAATACAAGCACCTGCTACATAATACAAGCACCTGCTACATGAATACAAACACTTGTTACATGATACAAGCACCTGTTTCATGAATACAAGCACCTGTTACATGAACACATGCACCTGTTACATGAATACAAGCACCTGTTTCATGAATACAAGCACCTGTTATATGAATACAAGCACCTGTTACATGAATTCAAGCACCTGTTACATGAATGCAAGCACATGTTATGGCTGGGACGAGTCCAAAGGACCTGCTACATAAAAACAAGCACCTGCTACATGAATAGAATCACCTGTTACATGAATACAAGCACATGTTACATGAATACAAGCACCTGTTACATAATACAAGCACCTGCTACATGAATACATGCACCTGTTACAAGAATACAAGCACCTGTTTCATGAATACAAGCACCTGTTATATGAATACAAGCACCTGCTACATGAATACAAGCACACGTTACATGAATACAAGCACCTGTTACATGAATACAAGCACATGTTACATGAATACAAGCACCTGTTACATAATACAAGCACCTGCTACATGAATACATGCACCTGCTACATGAATACAAGCACCTGCTACATGAATACAAGCACCTGTTACATGAATACAAGCACCTGTTACATGAATACATGCACCTGTTACATGAATACAAGCACCTGTTTCATGAATACAAGCACCTGTTACATGAATACAAGCACATGTTACATGAATACCGAGGCAAATACCGATTAACGGGACGAGGTTGATATTTCCCATATTAAAAAACACTCATGATGAATTCTATTTATCATTTTCACATTTTTGCTTCCCAATTAAGGAATATTTGCATTAAACATTAACATCAGCAACTTGTCGAAATCTTATGTATAGATCGTGCGTAGTGATACATGTTTTCCATAGCCGTGTAAACCAAAATAAACAACCTCTTAACTCCTTTATGACATATTCCTTCGCTGAGAAAAAAAGTTCCTCAGATTATTTTAAACAAAATACTTGAACAGACTTTTGCAGAATAATTGAAATAATGTCTCCAACATCAAAGGTATCCATGTTGTTTGTAAACACCTACTCACGTGCACCGGCGAAAAAAGTCCCACTTCCGGTTATCTAATTTGCATATCTAATTTGCATACTTATGTCATTGGGGTATGACATACATGTTTTTATGTCATAAGCTTATGTCATGGATAAATGCTTTAGTTAAATGATAAACAAAAGTATAAACGTTACTACATTTGGGGTTAGAGGGCAAATTTCAAGATTCTTGTAATGGTTTGGTTTGGTTTGGTTTAGTTTGCTGTTTTACGCCACACTCAGCAATATTCCAGCTATATGACGGCGGTCTGTAAATAATCGAGTCTGGACCAGGCAATCCAGTGATTTACATCATGAACGTCGATCCACGCAATTGGGATCGATGACATGCATCAACCAAGTCAGCGAGCCTGACCACCCGATCCCATTAGTCGCCTCTTATGACATGCATAGTCGCCTTTTACGGCAAGCATGTTTTGCTGAAGACCTCTTCTACCCCAGATCTTCACGGGTCTTCTTGTAATGGCCCCGCCCAAACGGATATCAGCGATGTTACCGGGAGTGTAATGAAGGTATCACACGCTGGGAAGGAGGTGGTACATACCACTTCGTTTTGATGATAATAAAATCTCAAATGTTAGATATCATTTTAAAACAAAACTCATGTACACCCCAAAATACAACATAATATATATGGAGGTCTATTTTTAAATCCTTTGAAACAATTTTATTATTTTTCCATATAAGCTATGAAGTGAGACTCACCACAGAATGTTGAGCAGGCTGCAGGTTATGAGGCCCATCAACACAGACAGGCGGTACCTCTTGATCTGGACAACACAGGGCATACATTAGGGCTGTGATGGGTACTCGGGTTGAGAAGAATTAGTCCTACCTAAGGACTTGAGTAGATGTGTTTGAAAGGTTTTAAGATAACGTTTCAACAGGTTTTAATTATAGTAATATACGTTGATAGCAATAGTAAATGAGTATTTTTTAAACTTAAATCTGGTTGGCTGAATAAAAAAACGACCCACATTTTTTTAAATTTAAATTTTTGGGAATTGACAGATTTGTGAACTATGTTTGAAAACATTGCTGGCCTTAAACATGTGTCACTGACATGGAACAGGAACGGTAGAGTGTCTGGAGGCATTCAGATGATACGTAGACAACCGTCACACTACCACATTCAGATGATACGTAGGCAACCGTCACACACTACCACATTCAGATGATACATAGACAACCGTCACACTACCACATTCAGATGATACGTAGACAACCATCACACTACCACATTCAAATGATACGCAGACAACCATCACACTATCACATTCAGATGATACGTAGACAACCGTCACACTACCACACTCAGATGATACGTAGACAACCGTCATACTACCACATTCAGATGAGACGTAGACAACCGTCACACTTTCACATTCAGATGATACGTAGACAATCGTCACACTGCCACATTCAGATGATACGTAGACAGCCGTCACACTACCACTCAGATGATACGTAGACAACCATCACACTACCACATTCAGATGATACGTAGACAACCGTCACACTATCACATTCAAATGATACGTAGACAATCGTCACACTACCACATTCAGATGATACGTAGACAACCGTCACACTACCACATTCAGATGATACGTAGACAACCGTCACACTACCACTCAGATGATACGTAGACAACCGTCACACTACCACATTCAGATGATACGTAGACAACCATCACACTACCACATTCAGATGATACGTAGACAACCCTCACACTATCACACGATCCATCAGCCAAGCAGGGCAAGAGAAAGTTTTATTCCAGTTCAAAGGCTTCCACTTTCAAACGTTTGTCAAAGTGCATCAGTTTGATGTGGGTGGTAATCACAAAGGGATCTCAGTGTTTACAACTTTGGTGATTTTCAGACCAAAGATCAGGACAAATCTAGGATTCCAAGTTAAAGATCAGCAGATCCTGACACTATCAAGGGGAGCGACTGTACACAACAAATTGTGTAGCTATACCCTTGCTCTCATAAATGTCACACTCAGAAACCATGTTGTTAAACAGTTCATCCTAATACCTGCATTCAATAAGAGATCTTCATTCATCAAGAAATCTTCATTCAACAAGAGATCTTCATTCATCTATACACCTGCATTCAACAAGAGATTTTCATTCATCAAGAAATCTTCAAGAAAAAACAAACTTACCTGTTTGGGGTTGAATTCTATTTTTTCATAAATAAAGGGCATTGTGTTGATTATTCCACCTGAAACAAGATTTAGAAGTGTGAACTACGCTGCCATGACTGCCAGTGATGGGGAGTATTTCAGTCCTATCACAGTGTCTCAGTCTCACATGGCAGGACACTTACCACTGGGATGAAACACACGGGGATGCAGATGTGCGAACAAACCTGAAACCACAATCATAATATTGTGGTACGGGGAAGGTACACTAATTACAGGTGTTCACCAAGACAGGTACACTAATTACAGGTGTTCAGCAAGACAGGTACACTAATTACAGGTGTTCACCAAGACAGACAGGTACACTAATTACAGGTGTTCACCAAGACAGGTACACTAATTACAGGTGTTCAGCAAGACAGGTACACTAATTACAGGTGTTCACCAAGACAGACAGGTACACTAATTACAGGTGTTCACCAAGACAGGTACACTAATTACAGGTGTTCAGCAAGACAGGTACACTAATTACAGGTGTTCACCAAGACAGACAGGTACACTAATTACAGGTGTTCACCAAGACAGGTACACTAATGACAGGTGTTCAGCAAGACAAGTACACTAATTACAGGTGTTCACCAAGATAGACAGGTACACTAATTACAGGTGTTCACCAAGATAGACAGGTACACTAATTACAGGTGTTCACCAAGACAGGTACACTAATGACAGGTGTTCAGCAAGACAAGTACACTAATTACAGGTGTTCACCAAGATAGACAGGTACACTAATTACAGGTGTTCACCAAGACAGACAGGTACACTAATGACAGGTGTTCAGCAAGACAAGTACACTAATTACAGGTGTTCACCAAGAGAGACAGGTACACTAATTACAGGTGTTCACCAAGACAGACAGGTACACTAATTACAGGTGTTCACCAAGGCAGACAGGTACACTAATTACAGGTGTTCACCAAGACAGACAGGTACACTAATTACAGGTGTTCACCAAGACAGACAGGTACACTAATTACAGGTGTTCACCAAGACAGACAGGTACACTAATTACAGGTGTTCAGCACGACAGGTACACTAATGACAGGTGTTCAGCAAGACAGGTACACTAATTACAGGTGTTCACCAAGACAGACAGGTACACTAATTACAGGTGTTCACCAAGATAGACAGGTACACAAATTACAGGTGTTCACCAAGACAGACAGGTACACTAATTACAGGTGTTCAGCAAGACAGGTACACTAATTACAGGTGTTCACCAAGAGAGACAGGTGCACTAATTACAGGTGTTCACCAAGACAGACAGGTACACTAATAACAGGTGTTCACCAAGGCAGACAGGTACACTAATTACAGGTGTCCATGAAGACTGACAGGTACACTAATTACAGGTGTTCACCAAGATAGACAGGTACACTAATTACAGGTGTTCACCAAGATAGACAGGTACACTAATTACAGGTGTTCAGCAAGACAGGTACACTAATTACAGGTGTTCACCAAGGCAGGTACACTAATTACAGGTGTTCACCAAGACAGGTAAACTAATTACAGGTGTTCACCAAGACAGGTACACTAATTACAGGTGTTCACCAAGACAGGTACACTAATTACAGGTGTTCACCATGACAGGTACACTAATTACAGGTGTTCACCAAGACAGGTACACTAATTACAGGTGTTCACCAAGACAGGTACACTAATAACATGTGTTCACCATGACAGGTACACTAATTACAGGTGTTCACCAAGACAGGTACACTAATTACAGGTGTTCACCAACACTGACAGGTTCCTACAAACTGTGCCATGTCTACTCACCGAGAGCTACAGTTCCCATCAGAAAGGGTTCTCCCAAATACTTGAAGTCGTTGCTGATCTCCCGTCCGACCGACACTCCCACATAGAAGGTCACTATTGTCTGAAACACAAACCAGGGGAGACAACCCATCTGTAGTTTAATTCCAAATCAAATTTACCCATAAACTTCAATTGTCATAAAATCAACACTGTAAGTCATAATAATGTTTGAAGAAAATGAAACATTCAAATATAGCATTGTAACTTCAAGCATAATATGTGTTTGTATTTATTTATTTTTTACTAAATTAGGTAACCATGGAAACTATGCAGAAGTTTGCATTACATGCAAAAACAGAAACTGCCCCATCCCTAAATGAACTGAATGCCCCAAAGCTTTCCAGCAGAAACATCGGGAGACGGCTGACCTCACCAATACCTATAATCTGTATTCCTCCTTGACCCCTAATACTGTGAAATGCAGTACAGCTTAGTCTCGTGCCTCTAACTATCCGAAAACAAACACTTCCAGTTGGATGACATCACTTCTGGTTTGAGGAGAAACAATACAAGACAACTATAAAACAGAGATTCCCAGGCCATAGGTCACTACAAAGACAGAGGCACCTCCAGTTGGATGACATCACCTCTGGTTTGAGGAGAAACACATGTTCAATACAAGACAACTAAAACGAAGAGTCCCAGGCCATAGGTCACTACAAAGACAGAGGCAGCACCAGTTTAATGATATCCCTTCAGATACAGGAAAACATATGTCTACAACTTAACCCTCATCTACATGGGGCTGCTTTATAAAAACTTCAATCTGTTATACAACAATTTGTACAAAGTCAATAGAGAAAGTCTACTAATTTGAGGCCCTGAAGCATATAGTAAATATATATCATCATCATCATCATCCTCCTCCTCCTCATCATCATCATTATCATCATTATTATCTGATAGCAGTAATCGAGAGAATTTCTTACAAATGAAAACATTATTCAAACTACTTGACTACTTGTGAAGTAATGGGTACGTCTCTACTTTAATCACAGAGGACAGGATGCTTGTGGTACTCACTGTGCCAAGTAGCAGCGACCCCTTGAGGAATGTCAGAATGGAGACTACAGGCTGGATTAGTTTCAAGGCAAACACTACCGCTACCGTCAGGATCCACACAAACCCCGGGATGACGTACACATGGCTGAAATACAACGTGACGGTTAGTGCCCTGACAATGTCTGGTGTATATACTGTCTACAGACACAATAGAGATCATGTTTAATAAGTTTCACCTTTTCGCTAGCGTGGTCCCAAACGTCTCCAACAATCAAGCCTGTGTTCATAATACAACAAGGGCAGATAACTCTAATTCTCATACAAAACCATTCTGGAATGGTCCACTCACTGCTGTCGACTGCTGTTCAAGTCTGTCCACAACAGCACTTGGTATTTGTACCAGCCAATCATTTGCTGCCACTGGCAACTGCTACCAACGTATTTACAACAGTTCTACCACTACTAAAATTACAAATAACCAGGGATGTGAGGAAAAGAGGAAAACTTTAGGGGGGTCCGGGGGCATGCCCCCCAATAAATTTTTTAAACATTTGATTGAATTTTAAGCAATTTTGTGCAGTTTGGACAACATTCACACCAAGAAATGTAATAAGTCGATGGCAAAAGTCAAGTCAAATAAACAAAGATGGCGGATGCAGTAAAATTTCAAAGTTAAATCAGTACTTTTAAAAAATGGGGCATAGCTTCCGTGCACCCGGCTATGCGCCGGGTCTGGGAGCAACACTGCCATAAACTTCACCCCCCATCCCCCAGACACAAATTTAAGGACAACTGTCAGAAGCCTGCAATGTCTGACCCTTTCCCCATGTTGAAAAAACCTTGTATTTACATACCTTTTGTTGAAAAAAACCCAAAAAACATTGCAAACATAAGACATTATTACAACATATATACCCGTGTTATTGGTCTTCGGACGCTGAAGAAACATTCATAGTTTTCTCGCCAATCACATGAATCATTGCAAAACATCTCATTCACATATAGGCTAAAAGACAACTTTATCTTAAAAACAAGCCATATTTTGAGTATTTACAATTTCTGTGTGACGCCACATTATCATGAGTGAGTGAGTGAGTGAGTATGGTTTTACGCCGCTTTTAGCAATATTCCAGCAATATCACGCCGGGGGACACCAGAAATGGGTTCACACATTGTACCCACGTCGGGAATCGAACCCGGGTCTTTGGCATGACGAGCAATCGCTTTAACCACTAGGCTACCCGAACGCCCCACATTATCATGAATAATAGTAAAGGGGTATATGATGCTGAAAGCTCTGTTCAAAAACAGGACAATCTGCGACGGTTGTCCGGAAACACGATAATATTTTTCACAATTTTCCGCGCTTCCGCAGAGATTTCACATCCCTGAACAACACAGTTCAAAGCGGCAAAAAACCCGCTAACAGTACGAGATGGGACGTACCTGATTCCCACCAACTGGGCAAACGCTTCACTCCCCGCCAGGGAGTAACAGATGAGTAGCGCAATACTGAAACCAGACAAGCCTTTGTTACACAGGTTACAGAGATACAGTCGTATTTAGGGTGTCAACGAGTGTGTCACACAAGTTACAGAGATACAGTTGTATTTGGGGTGTCAACGAGTGTGTTACACAGGTTACAGAGATACAGTCGTATTTGGGGTGTAAACGAGTGTGTCACACAGGTTACAGAGATACAGTCGTATTTGGGGTGTAAACGAGTGTGTCTATTGACGAAATGATACTCAATTATCTTCTACTAATATTATGTGTATAAACGTAAAATTCTTAAAAAGATCTGTAAATTTAATACCTATGCTAAAGAGCTAGAGTTTCATGTACAAATTATTGACAAACATCAGACAATGGACCATGTAACGATAGGGCGAATACTGTAAAACAGGAATTTAATGCGACATGAAAATAATGCGAGCTCTTGATTTTAGACATAAATGCGCATTTTAAAATGCGAGTGCCCATACCCTTTCCAAAAAAAATTATGCACTGGATTTATGTTCTGTGTTATTTTAATTAATGTAACCTACGTACGAGACCCATTCATGCGCGTTGGCTCGTGTCTGCTCTTGACAAGCTTGTAAAGGACACTGATGCGATAATTCTTGGCTGGCGCGAATCTGGGCTGCTTGACAGGATGTGAACTGACCACTACTCAACTTCACTTTGTGAAGGTAACTTTGTTATTTTGTCTAGTAATTTATTGATCTATTACCTTTGTGACTGATTGTTGTCAGTGGCTGCTATCAACTTGTAATGATCTGATATCATTGTTTTTGATGTAATACTAGTAAATAATACTGAAGTGATTTATTTCGTTTGTTGATTGTTTCCTTATTTTGATGGTACAAAATTAATGCGCATAAAATAAATACGACCTTCCGTCACTCGCACTTTTCGCATTAATATTCTGCTCGCATTAATTTCCTGATTTACAGTATCAGAAGCTCTGCCCAAGTCATGTCCACTAAGCCTGCACACACTATGACCCGTTAGGCCAGCCACGTGGTCCTGTAGGGTCTGGTGTCAAATTGGGGCACCTAATGTGAATTAAATTTTCTAAAAAAAAAGAAAAAAGAAGAAGAAAAGGATAACATAGGCAGGGATTTATCGAGGATTGCAAACTAAGTGCCCTTGGCTCGCAATCTGGGATAATGTTTTTTGGTTCAAACTTGTGATTGTATTTAAAGTTCTTACTTTCCTAAATACAGAGGTATTTCAACACTGCATTCAATGCAATAATGCAAAACAAAGCATTAATGTCTTTTACCCTGTACTTGTGAGGATGACTCGGAAAAAGTTTAACTTCAATTTGGAAACTTCTACTGATATGTTGCAGACTTGGGGTCAAATATCTGCCTCTGTGCAGAATTGAGTTACTAAAAGTATTGAACATGAATCCCACGTTCTAATGCAGTCGTCGATGTTGTGGTTTGTTCATTGTCGGTTGGGTAATGCCACTCAATATTCCAGTTAAATGACAATGACTTGTAAACAATCAACGCTAAACCAGACAAATCATCGATTGATATCATCAATCTTAGAATCATTTGGAATATGATGCCATGCATGAAGCCAGCAAGCCTGATTCCGTTAGTCGTCCTTTACGACAAGCATGGGTGGCTGAGGGTCATCTCTACCCCGGGTCTTCCCACTACATGGAGATACACAGCGTGTACTTACAACTGGAGGATAACCATGACGTCGAACGCCTGTCTCACCCCGCAACACAGGAACAGCTCCCCCAGGAGATGAAGATTGGGAGGACGGACGGAGTTGTCTCCCCCTGATTCTCCAGCAACCACAGCGCCTGCACACACACACACATCACTCTCAGCTCAAAACAACTTAATTTTATCAAGAAAATATACCAAACCAGCAAGGAAAGCAAACATAAATATTCGGGAAATATTCATAATATGAAAAACTTAAAGTTCAATAATAAACCAAATATTGTAATGGCAATATTACAATGAGGTTTGTCATTTAATTGAGATACGTAGTTCAATAATGTTAAAAAAGTTTGTCAATGCTGTTTATTTTGTTTGTAGTTTAATGCTTTACTAAGCATCATGAACACTTTGTAAATCAGGAGCTAGAACTGTGCCAGGGTTTAACCTGGGTCTAGCTATACTCGAGTCCAAGTGACTTGTGTCAACCGCTACTTGCTTTATATCAATGCTCAGAAGCCTTGAGCCTACTGTAGGTGAGGATGTTAGAGTAAAGCAAATTAACTACTGACACTCAGGTATTTCTAACCTGAATAGAAATATCATTTACAATTTACATACAATCTCCAATTTTGATAAATTTAAGGATTTAAAAAGCCACACTTTTTAGATTTTGATCGCAGACACAGAAGTTTTCAAGTTGACCTATTAAATCATGATATTTATGTAAAATTATTATGATAAACAATGAAGTTAACAATGAAGGCAACATTCATTGTGTTTAAACAAAGTAGACAAAAGATCCATGAATTTATTTCATTGTGTCTGAGTGGAAATACCAAAGCGAGCAAGGTTACCGATACATTTTCTTTTCCTAGTCCTTACAAAGATTTACTAGCCTGTGGCTATCGGGACAAAAATAGCATGTGTATCTCACCCCGAGTGACTCCGCCCGACACTTGTGTCCTGCCTTTACTGAAGATCTCGTCATCGCTGTCCTCCTCCATGTCCTGCAGGGGGACAAGCTCATCCTGGGGAGGGAATTGGAGAACGTCAGGGACCCATGCCGCCGGGATGGGAGTTACGATCCTCTTAGTTCTACGACTGACTTTAGTCAATGTTAAAGTATGGGTGTACGATCCTCTTAGTTCTACGACTGACTTGAGTCCATGTTAAAGTATGGGTGTACGATCCTCTTTGTTCTACGACTGACTTGAGTCAATGTTAAAGTATGGGTGTACGATCCTCTTTGTTCTACGACTGACTTCAGTCAATGTTAAAGTATGGGTGTACGATGCAATGTTAAAGTATGGGCGTACGATCCTCTTAGTTCTATGACTGACTTTAGTCAATGTTAAAGTATGGGTGTAAAGTGGAAAGTGTGGCACATTCAGTCAATAAGATGAAGATGAGGTGAAGTGAAATCAGGCTAAACGTTGTGTCCAATTTTATTTATTTATTTGTTTGTTGTTAAACGCCGCACTCAGCAATATTCCAGCTATATGATGGTGGTCTGTAAATAGTAGAGTCTGGACCAGACAAACCAGTGATTGACATCATGCGCATCGATTTACATAATTGGGATACTATGACATCCATCAACCAAGTCAGCGAGCCTGACAACTTGATCCTGTTAGTCGCCTCTTATGACAAGCATAGTCGCCTTTTACGGCAAGCATGGGTTGCTGAAGACCTATTCCACCTCGGACCTTCACGGGTATGTTGTGTTCAAGGTTATTTCACTTCATATCATGATATATAGAGACGTGCACTCAGCAATATCAAAGCTGTATCACTGGTTAAACTTCACTCAGCAATATTACAGCTGTATCACTGGTTACCCTTCACTCAGCAATATTACAGCTGTATCACTGGTTACACTTCACTCAGCAACATTACAGCTATATCACTGGTTACACTTCACTCAGCAATATTACAGCTGTATCACTGGTTACACTTCACTCAGCAATATTACAGCTGTATCACTGGTTACACTTCACTCAGCAATATCACAGCTGTATCACTGGTTACACTTCACTCAGCAATATCACAGCTGTATCACTGGTTACACTTCACTCAGCAATATTACAGCTGTATCACTGGTTACACTTCACTCAGCAATATTACAGCTGTATCACTGGTTACACTTCACTCAGCAATATCACAGCTGTATCACTGGTTACACTTCACTCAGCAATATCACAGCTGTATCACTGGTTACACTTCACTCAGCAATATCACAGCTGTATCACTGGTTACACTTCACTCAGCAATATCACAGCTGTATCACTGGTTACACTTCACTCAGCAATATCACAGCTGTATCACTGGTTACACTTCACTCAGCAATATCACAGCTGTATCACTGGTTACACTTCACTCAGCAATATCACAGCTGTATCACTGGTTACACTTCACTCAGCAATATCACAGCTGTATCACTGGTTACACTTCACTCAGCAATATCACAGCTGTATCACTGGTTACACTTCACTCAGCAATATCACAGCTGTATCACTGGTTACACTTCACTCAGCAATATCACAGCTGTATCACTGGTTACACTTCACTCAGCAATATCACAGCTGTATCACTGGTTACACTTCACTCAGCAATATCACAGCTGTATCACTGGTTACACTTCAACAGCGTTCCCACTGGCTTTTGAAACTGCCAGTCCTTGTGGACTGGTAACTCTAAAAATTACCAGTCCCCTCTAATTTTTGCCAGTCCCAACTTTCAACAATTAAAAAACATATGAAAATTATTTGGTTTTAATTCTTTCAACATCATGTTCAGTGCAAAGATGTTAGCTCTATACATCATTCACATAAACTCAGTCACAATTTTCTCTTTATTTTTTAATATTTTGAGACGAAAGTTGCTACAACTGGATATTTAACCTAGAAATAGACAAGAGGAAACCCTGATGGTAACAGACAAGCTGACTTTGTTTGAAAAATGAACTCATATCTGAATATATGAATATCACCGATTTTTTGTTCAACAACAAAGTTCTAGAAGTACTTTATTTGCCAGTCCACAGGGACTGGCAGTCAGATGAATTACCGGTCCAAGCCTAATTTTACCGGAAAAAAACTGGTAATTATATATAAATGGGAACACTGACTTCACTCACCGATAGTACAGAGATGTCTGCAATCGATCAATAAATACAGATATGTACAGATACACAAGCTGAAAAGGAAAGGTAATTACGCAGAGGGTTTTCATTCTATTAGGTTTTTCAAAACTATTTTTGCGTACTTGTCAACAAGCAACTCATTATAGGGTAATTGTCATTTCTGGTGCGGTGGAGTTACCTGGTTAGGGTTGCGCTGCACTGCAATGGCTCGCTGCAGGAGGTCAGTGAAGTAGAAGATGAGGAGTACCTGTAACAATCAACAGGTACACAGTGATGTAGAGATGACACACCTGTAACAATCAACAGGTACACAGTGAAGTAGAGATGAGACACCTCTAACAATCAACAGGTATACAATGAAGTAGAGATGACACACCTGTAACAATCAACAGGTATACAATGAAGTAGAGATGACACACCTGTAACAATCAACAGGTATACAATGAAGTAGAGATGACACACCTGTAACAATCAACAGGTATACAATGAAGTAAGGATGACACACCTGTAACAATCAACAGGTATACAATGAAGTAGAGACGACACACCTGTAACAATCAACAGGTATACAATGAAGTAGAGATGACACACCTGTAACAATCAACAGGTATACAATGAAGTAGAGATGAAACACCTGTAACAATCAACAGGTACACAGTGAAGTAGAGATGACACACCTGTAACAATCAACAGGTACACAGTGAAGTAGAGATGACACACCTGTAACAATCAACAGGTATACAGTGATGTAGAGATGAGACTCCTGTAACAATCAACAGGTACACAGTGATGTAGAGATGACACACCTGTAACAATCAACAGGTACACAGTGAAGTAGAGATGACACACCTGTAACAATCAACAGGTACACAGTGATGTAGAGATGACACACCTGTACCAATCAACAGGTACACAATGATGTAGAGATGACAAACCTGTAACAATCAACAGGTATACAATGAAGTAGAGATGACACACCTGTAACAATCAACAGGTATACAATGAAGTAGAGATGACACACCTGTAACAATCAACAGGTATACAATGAAGTAAGGATGACACACCTGTAACAATCAACAGGTATACAATGAAGTAGAGATGACACACCTGTAACAATCAACAGGTATACAATGAAGTAGAGATGAAACACCTGTAACAATCAACAGGTACACAGTGAAGTAGAGATGACACACCTGTAACAATCAACAGGTACACAGTGAAGGAGAGATGACACACCTGTAACAATCAACAGGTACACAGTGGAGTGGAGATGACACACCTGTAACTATCAACAGGTACACAGTGAAGGAGAGATGACACACCTGTCACAATCAACAGGTACACAGTGAAGGAGAGATGACACACCTGTAACAATCAACAGGTACACAGTGAAGGAGAGATGACACACCTGTAACAATCAACAGGTATACAATGAAGTAAGGATGACACACCTGTAACAATCAACAGGTACACAGTGAAGTAAGGATGACACACCTGTAACAATCAACAGGTACACAGCGAAGGAGAGATGACACACCTGTAACAATCAACAGGTACACAGTGAAGTAGAGATGACACACCTTTAACAATCAACAGGTACACAGTGAAGGAGAGATGACACACCTGTAACAATCAACAGGTACACAGTGAAGTAGAGATGACACACCTGTAACAATCAACAGGTATACAATGAAGTAAGGATGACACACCTGTAACAATCAACAGGTACACAGTGAAGTAAGGATGACACACCTGTAACAATCAACAGGTACACAGCGAAGGAGAGATGACACACCTGTAACAATCAACAGGTACACAGTGAAGTAAGGATGACACACCTGTAACAATCAACAGGTACACAGTGAAGTAGAGATGAAACACCTGTAACAATCAACAGGTACACAGTGATGTAGAGATGACACACCTGTAACAATCAACAGGTACACAGTGATGTAGAGATGACACACCTGTAACAATCAACAGGTACACAGTGAAGTAGAGATGACACACCTGTAACAATCAACAGGTATACAGTGATGTAGAGATGAGACTCCTGTAACAATCAACAGGTACACAGTGAAGTAGAGATGACACACCTGTAACATTCAACAGGTACACAGTGAAGTAGAGATGACACACCTGTAACAATCAACAGGTACACAGTGAAGTAAATGACGGTTACCATGGTTACTGACCTGCATGAGCGTGCTGGTGATGAAGGAGATGAGGAAGGGGTACATTCCCGCTTGTGTCAAGGTGACAGGTAATCCTGGAACAGATAGACAGGTGATTGTAGGTGATACACAATGAATACAAAAGGCTAACAGCCCTGATCCAATAAAGGCTAACGGCTCTGATCCAATAAAGGCTAACGGCCCTGATCCAGTAAAGTCTAACAGGCCTGATCCAATAAAGGCTAACGGCCCTGATCCAGTAAAGGCTAACGACCCTAATCCAATAAAGGCTAACGGCCCTGATCCAATAAAGGCTAACAGGCCTGATCCAGTAAAGGCTAACGGCCCTGATCCAATAAAGGCTAACGGCTAACAGCCCTGATCCAATAAAGGCTAACAGCTCTGATCCAATAAAGGCTAACAGCCCTGATCCAATAAAGGCTAACGGCCCTGATCCAATAAAGGCTAACGGCCCTGATCCAATAAAGGCTAACGGCCCTGATCCAATAAAGGCTAACAGCTCTGATCCAATAAAGGCTAACGGCCCTGATATAATAAAGGCTAACGGCCCTGATCAAATAAAGGCTAACGGCCCTGATATAATAAAGGCTAACGGCCCTGATCCAATAAAGGCTAACGGACCTGATATAATAAAGGCTAACAGCCCTGATCCATTAAAGGCTAACGGCCCTGATCCAATAAAGGCTAACGGCCCTGATCCAATAAAGGCTAACGGCCCTGATCCATTAAAGGCTAACGGCCCTGATATAATAAAGGCTAACGGCCCTGATCCAATAAAGGCTAACGGCCCTGATATAATAAAGGCTAACAGCCCTGATCCATTAAAGGCTAACGGCCCAGGAAAAAACGTAATTAGACTTTGATGGGTAAAATAAATGTATTTACTATGGGGTAAATACGGTAACGAATGTGATTTGAAGAAGGCTGTGCACGTGAAAGCGGTGGCGTCACGTGCTTAAGGTGCAGAGGAGAGGGCAAGAAACACCACTCGAGGCCTTCGCGTCACACAGGCGAGCTGTTGTCTTCTTTGTTCGGAATGGATTCACCACAGCAGGAAAATCTTGACTCCGTTGAAGAACTACACATTCCTGGTCAACCTAACAAAGCACAGGATTCTGTTGAAGGGTACGAAACGTTTCAACTTTTTAAGCAATATATGGACTGTAAGTTGAAAACTTTCAAAAGTGAAATTATTGATGAAACTGAGCAGAGGTCGTATTCTGTCATTAAGAGAGCTAGAAAAGACTTTGACTCTCCACAGTTTAGATTCAAAGGGAATCAGTTACAATATAAGTTCAACATTGGTATTTTGGATCAGGTTGACTCTGCTATTCGGTTTATCAATCGGGATAACACAGTCGATTGTGTGCATGTCTTGAGAGAAATTAGCTCTAACATCAGTAAAAGAAACAAGCACATTAGACTTGCAGACAGATCTACAGCCGGTTGGGCAGTAGTCTCGGAGTTGGAAGGGGATGAGTTGGCTTCAAACTCGGATGAAGAGAGACGTTTCGAGAGAGCAGAAAGTAAGGCACAGCGCAGAAAGCGCCCTACTTCTTTCAATTCCCGTGGTAGAGGTTATAGTCCTTATCCTTCTGCAACTTTCCCCAATCCTAACAGCGAATTACCCAAACAGGCCCCTCAGGTTCAGCAGAACCAGCCCTTTCGTTTTCAACCCAGGAAAACACCACTTCCAAACCAACAATGCTACTTTTGCGGAGCCTTTGGGCACTGGAGAGCCACATGTCCCCTTGCAGCCGCCCAGAGGTCATCACAGTCAAGTAATTTCAACCCACCACAAGGACTTCAGCCTACAGAGGCCTGCAAAAAGCAGTGATTATTCAGGTAAATCAAAACCACTTTTGAGATATGACATATATATTTGAGTGGCTAATGCGTTACTATCTTGATTGAGATCGTATTACATATGTTTCAGGGGATCAGAACTCAAGCAGAAGTATTAAAAGAAAAACTAACATGGATTTGCCACAGGTCTCCCGTTCAATATCAGAACAGCCTAGTAGTAGGTCACAGCTTGATGTTTCACCCATAGACAAAGTCAAACCTGAAACCAGAGGTATTAGTACTGATTTTGTACCTGTACCTAGTTATCTTGACAGAACAGATACGTCAGCGAGTAAGCATAACATTAAGGAAAATCTTAAGAGGCACATCTCATTTTGGAAGGATATAGAAGCTCCAGAATTCATCATTAGAACTATTACGGAAGGTTACATCATCCCCTTTGTGGAGTCGCCTCCCTTGTCTATTAGTAAGAACAACGCTTCTGCTGTAAAACATAGCGACTTTGTCTCTGAGGCTATCCAGGATCTCCTGTTAAACAACTGTATTGTTGAAGTCGTAGACTTACCTCAGGTTGTAAATCCCCTATCAGTTTCTATTAATAGCTCTGGTAAGAAAAGGTTGATTTTAGACCTAAGAGTGGTAAACAAATATGTTTGGAAAGAAAAGATAGTCTTTGAGGATTACAAGATTGCTTTGGATTTCGTTAGACCTTGTGGATACATGTACAAGTTTGATCTTAAGTCTGGGTATCACCACATAGATATTCACCCTAGTCAACACACGTTTTTGGGCTTTTCTTGGTCAGTTAAAGGTGTACAGCGTTTTTATTGTTTCACAGTTTTACCTTTTGGTCTAACCTCGGCCCCTTATATATTTACTAAGTGTTTTAGGCCATTAGTTAGATACTGGAGAAAACATTCTGTAGATGTTGTAGTTTACTTAGATGATGGATTTGGGTTTGCTTCGTCTGAAGCCTTAGGCAAGGAGCGATCTGGTTTTGTTAAATCTTCTTTGTGCAGAGCAGGCTTTGTTTGTAACGATCAGAAGTCAGTTTGGGAACCCACAAGACACCTTGAATGGCTCGGGCTGAATTGGAATCTTGACATAGGTGTGATATCTATTCCTTCTAGGAGATTAGATAATGTGAGAAACACATGCGCAGGAGTTTTGGCAGGTTTACCGCAATTCACAGCACGTAACCTGGCTAGTTTAACAGGACAAATTATCTCTCTTTCACCAGTTTATGGGGATGTCTGCAGACTTTTGACTAGACGCATGTATTCAGTAATACAAAGAGCTTCAAGTTGGGATAGAAAGCAAAGTCTAGTTGACCCCCTGTGTGTATTTGAACTTATATTCTGGAGAGATAATGTTTACACTTTTAATAGCAGAAGATTTTATGAAACTTTTGCTCCTGTTTTGACCGTTTTCTCAGATGCTAGTTCCAAGGGCTGTGCTGCTTATATACAGAATTCTGACCGGATATTTCAGTGTTTATGGGATGAGGATCAAGTGGGCAAGAGTTCAACTTGGCGGGAATTGAAGGCTGTTGAATTATCTTTGAACGTTTTCAGAGAGGTTCTGTCTAATCAGACTGTTAAGTGGTTCTCAGATAGCAAGGCTTGCTGTCAAATTGTTTCTTTTGGTAGTTTCAATTCATCCTTACAGGAGCTTGCTATGTCCGTGTTCACCGTGGTTAGGATGTATAACATCAGGATAAAGTTTAGCTGGATTCCACGTTCAGAGAACGACAGAGCAGATGCGTTAAGTAAATTTAAAGATGCTGATGACTGGATTGTTACTGATGCTGTCTTCAAGTTGCTAAACCAGAAGTGGGGTCCACATACTGTTGATAGATTTGCTAGTCATTATAATGCTAAGTTGTGTAGATTCAATTCCAGATCTTGGTGCCCTGGCACAGAAGCAGTAGATGCTTTTACACAGTCATGGCAATATGATAACAACTGGGTTGTCCCCCCTGTGCATTTGGTAACGAAGGCTATTAGATATGCTCTTCAAAGTGAAGCTAGCATTACTTTAGTAGTGCCTAGGTGGCAATCAGCTGTGTTCTGGACTTCACTTTTTGATGACGGAAAGTTCAAACATTATATCGCTGATAGTTTGCAATTAAATGGAAGTATTGCATTTTCAGGCGGCAGCAAGAAATCCTTGTTTGACAAATTCGATGGCTACGCATTAGCAGTTAGAATTATTCCATGAGATCAATGTTGTTGTTTCAGACATGTTCTCCTCCGGTATCTGGAAGCTGAAGAACAATTTAGTTCATACAGACCTTATTGATCTAGCAGGACATATGCCAGATTTAGTTCTCAAGTCTAAGGCCCCAGCGACAGTCTATAAGTATGAAAGATCTTATAATAGTTGGAAAAAATGGAGTTCAAAATTTAAGGAGATTACATGTTTGCCTGCTCATCCATTTCATGTTGCTTTGTATCTTACATCACTTGTTCAGGGAGGTAAGAAAGCTCCATCTGTCATGGAAGCTATTTACGGTATTAGTTGGGCGCACAAGCTTGCATGTCTGCCAGATCCTTGTAAACATGATTTGATTTTGAACATCAGAGAAGCGGCATTAAGAACGTGTAGTACTCCAGTCAAGAAAAAAGAACCTGTTACTTGTGACACGTTAAAGAAATTGGTTAGTATATCTGGGAAAACTCCCTCTCTACTTGATTTAAGGTTTTTAACAATGTCACTTTTATCTTTTGCTGGGTTTTTCAGATTTTCTGAAGTAGTGAATATCAGACGGTCAAACATTAAATTCAAGGATGGCTTCATGAGTATTTTTGTTGAGAACAGTAAAACTGACGTTTATAGGGATGGGCGTCATGTTTTGATCGCTGCTACAGGCTCAGATCTATGTCCAGTAAATATGCTAAACAGGTACCTGATTGCTGGAAATGTTGCTGAAACTTCCAATGAATATATTTTTCGTCAACTTTCCTTCTGTAAATCTGTACAAAAGTATGTACTTAAAGGTCAGAAACCTTTATCATATACCAGAGCGAGGGAAATCTTTATTGAGAAATTCAAACTAATTGGTGAAGATGTCAAAAAAGTGGGTCTTCACAGTTTTCGGTCAGGAGGGGCGACTGCTGCAGCTAACGCCGGAGTAACAGACAGACTGTTCAAGAGACACGGACGCTGGGCGTCAGATAAGGCCAAAGACGGTTATATCAAAGACAATGTTTCTGAACTGTTGAGTGTGTCATCAATGTTGGGATTGTAAATAAGTCGAAATAAATCTGCTGCATGGACCCGTTCTTTTAATTCGAGCAGCGGTAGGCATTACCCATGAGTGGAGTATGTTGTCATAGTAAATGTTTTATGTTCGGTTGAACATAGTGAATTAGAACATAAATGTATTTACTATGGGGTAAATACGGTAACGAATGTGATTTGAAGAAGGCTGTGCACGTGAAAGCGGTGGCGTCACGTGCTTAAGGTGCAGAGGAGAGGGCAAGAAACACCACTCGAGGCCTTCGCGTCACACAGGCGAGCTGTTGTCTTCTTTGTTTGTTAAAAATATACACATAAAGGTAATCAGATTTTTAGTGTAATGCTTGTCTGTGTTGGACGGCCTGTTATTGCAGTGTTGCCGAATGGCAGGTAAAACCGTATGGGAAAAATTGCCGCAGGGCATTGAGTGCTGTTTAGCACAGAGAAGGGTGTTGCTTTCTTTCAGTGAGTGATCCCACAGAGAGGTGATTCAGGAGTCCGGACATGGATTTGTATACACAAGAAGACCCACCGTCCAGATAAGTTATCTTTATATTTTCAAAAAGTTAATTTCGCAGTAATTTATAAAGTGTTCAAGCGCGATATTACAAGGATATTGCAGTATTTCGTAACGGTTTTATGTGCCAAAAATATTAAAATGTACGTTTTTGTTACAGAAAGAATACCTTAGAGAATATGGAGTGTCGGTGTTTGGAATGGAATATAACACGACAGTCGCGTGTCTACATGTATGATTTTGTAAATAAACCCGCTCGCCTGTTAACAGCGGTAGGCATTACCCATGAGTGGAGTATGTTGTCATAGTAAATGTTTTATGTTCGGTTGAACATAGTGAATTAGAACATAACAGTTGTTAAGACCTTAATTCTCTCTACCCTTGTACATATTTTTTCCGCTCTCCCAAATCCATGAAAAGCTTTTATTGATCAATTGAATAGAATTCTTTTTAACTTTATTTGGAGTGGCAAAAGAGATAAGATTAAGAGGGATTATTTGAAAAGGAATTACAGTCAAGGTGGATTGAAAATGACTGATATACCCAAATTTATAGCATCTTTAAAAATTTCATGTTTAAAAAGATATTGTGAAAAAAACATTAATTATGACCTTGCTAGTTTTCGGCTGGCTCATATCTACACTTTAGGTGCCAGTTTGCACAAGAATTGGGAAATTGTAAATCCGTTCTGGAAAGATACCCTTATAGCCTGGAGTGACTTTATGCATTCATATGACTTTGAAGTCTTAGAAAAAGCAGAAATTGCTTCCCAACCCATATGGTTAAACCATTATTTTAGAGAACCAGTATTAATTTTTAATGACTGGTTTAAAAAAGGTATAGTTACGATAAAAGACTTGTATGATGAAAACGGATGGATCCCTTTCCCACGTTTACAACAACTTTATGATCTTAAAGGAACTTTTCTCGACTATAACCGTATGTTTTTTAATATTCCAAGAAGTTGGAGACAAAATATTGATAAAAATCTACATTCCTCTTCTAATCTCACAGTATCTCCTTGGATTTATGATCTTACACGTTCTATTAAAGGAACAAAAGTGTTTTATAATAAACTGATAGGGAATTCCCTCCCTCTCCCTAAATCTTGTTTGAAATGGGAAAATCAGCTGGGATGCTCTTTTCCATGGAATCAAATATTCAGTGTATATTGCCATGGGTTAAGGGACACAAAACTCAGGGATTTCCAGTTTAGATTTATTCATAAAGTAATATTTACTAAACGTGAGTTATTAAGAATGAAACTTATTGATAACAATGAGTGTTCTATGTGTCATACTCACAAAGAAAATATTTTTCATGTTTATATCGAATGTCATGTTGTTAAGAATTTTTGGTCAGATTTCTGTATTTACTTGACTCATATTTTGCATAGAAAAATCCTTATAACTGACAACGAGCTCCTCTTTGGTACCTCTGATGTATTAATTAACCATTTGATTGTAGCTGCTAAAAGATTTATCTTTGTCCAGTGTATTAAGAATGAAAATGTTGACTCTGTTGCTTTTAAGAACACAATAAGAAGTATCTATGACGTTGAATATCATATTGCACGTAGAAATAACGACTTCTCTGCCTTTAATAGAAAATGGGCTTTGTTTACTCAACCTGCAAAATAACTTATTCACTTGATGTTTGCAACATAATTTGATGTACCATAAATACCGCATCTTCTTAATTGTATACATAAATATGCCTTCATCTTATTAGACTTCCCTTAACTTTCTTCCAGCTTTTTAAACTGACGTTGTGTCATCATTTGTTGTGGTTTTCCCGGCTTCTGACACCGTGTTGTGTACTTGACAACGATGACGAAGCATGGTGGAACAGGAAGTGTTTAATGCACATGTGCGACTGCTTACATCAATAACAATACTTATGACATTCACAAACATAAAACATATGATGTTTATGGTGTTTCAAACCAGGAGATAAATGTACTGTTTTGAACCTTGAGGTGGTCTTACTGCAGATTAGATACTTCTTATGCAAATCTGGAACTGAGCCCTTTAATTTTAATCTGATTTTGACCAATCAGAATCAAGCATTTTTCAGTGTCACAATTTCAAAAACCTTAAACATGGAAACATGTTAGGTATCAGCATGTAGGAGTGTAACTGTCTGTGAATTGCAAATGTCTGCTCTACGATAGTACTATTTTATAGGAATTAACAAATGCCAAAAGTACTGTAGAAAAAATATATGTACATGTGCGACAAAGCCATTCTTGTTTGTAACTTAAATAACATACAATTGTTTGTTTTGTACGTCTGTAAATAATCGAGTCTGAAGCAGACAATCTAGTGATTGACATCATCGCATCACTGATTTTCATACAATTTTCACCATTATTTTGCCTTTTCATCCCAGTGGGACAGGTTTCGGTGGATATTTGAGACTGGTTATTCTCTGGTGTTGATGTTTCATATAATATACCGTATTCGACGTAATAAGCGCACCGCTGTAATAAGCGCCCACGGCGATATTTGCTGATATAATGGCCGTTGAACAATCCCAATTAGCACCCCTATCTTTCAACTCAGTTTTTTTCACTAAAATAATAATCCAATAAGAGCACCCGATTTCTAATTTTGAGAGCGCCCTGGGAGCTTATAACGTCGAATACGGTATATTATTAGTTATATTATGTATTATCATGATTATTAGTTATATTATATATATTATTAGTTATATATATTATTAGTTGTATATATTTTTAGCTATATTATATATGTTATTAGGGCCTACAGGTGCTGCTGCAACCTGTCCAACCAATTGTATTGCCCTTAATGATGCTAAACATAAAACTATGTTTCAAAATAGTTGGTTTATTATTCATTGATCTGCTTGATTTCACAATATATTTCTCCATGAACGATTTCTGGTTTAATGTTTCGTAGTTCCCACAGCTGGCTTCAGTTCTATCTGCAGGTAGTTATTGGAAAACAGTTTCCACTATGAGATCAACATGGCGGAACTAAACATCTGTACAATAATAACACTTTCATATCAAATTTCATTCATTGCATATTGCTTAATATATTAAAAGCCTGCTAATGTACATGATGCATAGACTTTGTCCTGGCGTGTTGTCAGGCGGAGGTGTTAGGGTGGCTGTACCGGGAATGTGTCACTAGCAACAAATGATTCTTTGAAACATTTTTATTGTTTATCGGCATGGCCGAGATTTGAATGTAGATGGGGTGGCTGTGAAGAATGTGGAGTTGTGTGGTCTCTAATGGTATGCATGTTTTAGTAACATTAAGCATTAACTCAGCATGCTTTTGTACGTAAACAGGCTGTAATATTTATATTTGAGTGAGTGAGTGAGTGAGTTGAGGTGAAATTGGGTTTAACATCGCGTCCAAGATTATTGCACTTATATAGCGATGTGCATGTACGCGTATGTGTGTGTGTGGCTGCTTGTACTAGTCCGGACTGAGATACCATGCCACAGTTTAAGATGAATATCCCACTCAGACACAGTTTACTGACTCCGAGCCGACCAATCCTTGCCGAGTCCCAGACACGGTAACAACAAGTACAATCTTTTAACGTCTTTTTGTATGACGCGGCCGGTGATCGAACCCCGGACCTTCTGCTCTCCGGGCGGATGCTCTACCACAAGACACAGAGGCGGTCTCCGGGCGGATGCTCTACCACAAGACACAGAGGCGGTCTCCGGGCGGATGCTCTACCACAAGACACAGAGGCGGTCTCCGGGCGGATGCTCTACCACAAGACACAGAGGCGGTCTCCGGGCGGATGCTCTACCACAAGACACAGAGGCGGTCTCCGGGCGGATGCTCTACCACAAGACCACAGAGGTGGTCGGCTGAGATTTGAATGTAGATGGGGTGGCTGTGGAGAATGTAGAGTCTTTTGTACGTAAATAGGCTGTTATATTTATATTTGAGTGAGTGAGTGAGTGAGTGAGTGAGTGAGTGGCTCCGGAAAATAGGGCATTTCATAGTTTTCTTTGGGTATTGATATATATTTTTCTCCATTGGGTCCTTTCTTTGTGGTATTTTTTTAAAAGAAAAGAGTAAACTTTTTTTTAAATAATTCTGCTTAAAATGCTGATCCAGATAACTTCTAATTTTCTGTGCTTCTCCAACTGTATCATAATCTCACAACAACGGTACATATCTAAGTTACAATAATCAAGACATAGCCCTCTTGTGGTGGAGTTGATGCACATACAGGCCTGACCTGCACTGTATCAGTGGACAAGGATGAGTCAAGATATTGGGAAATTACTATCGGGTTTCTAAACTTTTCCTGCATATTTGTACGCAAGTAACTCCTAATTAATTGGGTTATGGTGGTGTATTTTGTGTATTCTACTTAAATATGCAGCTTATCTGATCATTCTATCATTTGATCTGACAAACAGTCAAGTCCCGTTAATCCGACATCGATGGTTGCATATGATTATGTCGGATTAACGAGTATGTCGGATAAACGAAATTTAGTAGTATCAACGTTCGTGATCGAGAATCAGACAACTACACGATAGATAAGGATTCAAACATGTAATAAAAAAATATAAAATATGACTGTGTCGGATTAACGAGACTGTTTAATGAGTGATTTCGGTAATTGTTGCAAATTAGGTGTGTCGGAGTTGGAGTGCGAGGGTCTAAATAGCACTGATTTAATCAGTTCCCATCATTTGTGTCGGATAAAGCCGATTGTCGGATTAACGAGTATCGGATTAACGAGACTTGACTGTATATGCGACATATGGTTCAGATTTATTACAAGCTCTCCTTACAGTTTTATCCACGAACCCAGATGCTGTTCAATGTATAACACATGTTGAATGTGCCTATTACACCTGATTTTGTTAGATCCAATGAGATCCACCCAATTTGAATAAATCATTCACTGCTTCAAAATAACTTGAATAAATGATCAATTTGCTGAAGTATCACGTATATATTTCTAATATTTATTGCTCCTCATCTTCCTGTAGTGCTGCCAACTCCATACCCTGTATGTAAGTGAGTAGGTTTGGTTTTCAGCCACTTTATCATGTTTATATTCCAACACCAGAAATGGGCTTACTACATTGGGATACACCAGAAATGGGCTTACTACATTGGGGGACACCAGAAATGGGCTTACTACATTGGGATACACCAGAAATGGGCTTACTACATTGGGGGACACCAGAAATGGGCTTACTACATTGGTAGACACCAGAAATGGGCTTACTACATTGGGAGACACCAGAAATGGGCTTACTACATTGGGAGACACCAGAATTGGGCTTACTACACATTGGGAGACACCAGAAATGGGCTTACTACATTGGGAGACACCAGAATTGGGCTTACTACGCATTGGGAGACACCAGAAATGGGCTTACTATATTGGGGGACACCAGAAATGGGCTTACTACATTGGGAGACACCAGAAATGGGCTTACTACATTGGAGGACACCAGAAATGGGCTTACTACATTGGGAGACACCAGAATTGGGCTTACTACATTGGGGGACACCAGAAATGGGCTTACTACATTGGGAGACACCAGAAATGGGCTTACTACATTGGGGGACACCAGAAATGGGCTTACTACATTGGGAGACACCAGAAATGGGCTTACTACATTGGAGGACACCAGAAATGGGCTTACTACATTGGGGGACACCAGAAATGGGCTTACTACATTGGGAGACACCAGAATTGGGCTTACTACATTGGGGGACACCAGAAATGGGCTTACTACATTGGGAGACACCAGAAATGGGCTTACTACATTGGGAGACACCAGAAATGGGCTTACTACATTGGGAGACACCAGAAATGGGCTTACTACATTGGAGGACACCAGAAATGGGCTTACTACATTGGGGGACACCAGAAATGGGCTTACTACATTTGGAGACACCAGAAATGGCCTTACTACATTGGAGGACACCAGAAATGGGCTTACTACATTGGGGGACACCATGCTTACATTTCACAAATTCTTGTTTTATCAGGAATAATACATTCCAATATCGTGTTACTTTAGTTGCAGCTTTTACTATATATGATGACATATATTTAGAATGATAGAACCATTAGCATAGCACTTTGGTACAGGTGATGGGTTGTGCTGTATACTCCCCAGGGAGTAGGAAAAATCAGGGGCCCACTGACCAGGGTAAAAATAAAGTAGTGCTTTGAGTGAGTGAGTGAGTGAGTTTGGTTTAACGCCACTTTTAACATTATTCCAGTTACATCACGGCGTGTCAGCTTAATGTGGGAGGAAAGCCCGAAGTGATGCAGGTCTCAGACGTTTACCACTTCGGTTAAACCCACGAGCACGGGTATGGTGCTGACAAACCTAGAAACATGATCGGGGTGAACCTGGATTCGAACCCACAATCACAGGTTTCTGGCGTGCCTAAGCGAATCGCGGCGCCTTAGACGACTGGGCGACCCGTGCCCCCAGTAGAGCTTTGAACATGCCTGTGTGTAGTGTGGAAATATAACACAATATACCCTGGTAAATAGCCTCAATACAAGTAATGGACAGTTGATACATACACCCCTCACAGCCAAGTGCCTCTGATCATGACATTGTATAACTGTATTTATAAACCTGTTGCACTGAAACAGTTCATAGTGCACGGAGGCAGCAAACATGATAACCCGATAACCTACATAATGTAGTCTATGGTTCCTGACATTGGGTGAAGTGGGCATGAAGGATTTCAAATTAACTAGTCTGCTATTCAGACTAATAAAATTCAGGAAGGACTACGACTTTTACATAGTATACTTGGCTCCAAAAGAAAGTTTGTATAAGTCTAATCTATAAATCATATGCACACTTTCTGTTTAGCCTTACATACATGAATAGATGGTAAGTCTGTAGCAAAGCACTTTTGTGGTAAAAACAGAAATTAACTTTTAACCCTGCTCAGTTGACCTGATTAATCGGCCATGTTTGACTGAAGTAAAAGAGACAATCAGGGGAACACTGATAAAACCATCATCTGTCCTTCTTTCATGTTAAAATTAAAATGCATCTGATCAAGACAATTTTACATAATGAGTGAGTGAGTTGGGTTTAACGCCGCTTTTAACAGTATTCCAGTTATATCCCGGCGTGTCAGCTTAATGTGGGAGGAAAGCCCGAAGTGATGCAGGTCTCAGACGTTTACCACTTCGGTGAAACCCACTAGAACAGGTGCTGACAAACCCAGAAACATAATCAGGGCTAACCGGGATTCAAACTCATCATCCGTTTCTGGTGTGCCCAAGGGACGCAACTCTGCACAGCCTCCCGTGCCCCCTGATTCTCATGAGAGAAATGAACCTATCCCTGATGTTGTCATGTCATGAAGGTACTCACCTAGAATTCCTGTCCCCAGAATGGTGGCAATGGTCACAAAGTCTGCAAGTCAAGGAGCAGCCATTAATACACATTAGGAGAGCAGGTCAGGAATCTCATCAGATTTCGCTCATGTCAATGGGCTGTCATTGTAGACATAAGCCTCATATCCTACAGTTAATCTAGCATGTTGAGATTCAAAGCAATTGTACTTGACCAGTTGACTGCGTCTTCAAGTTTGAGACCAAAATTCTACACTAAGAAGGGTCTCCGAAGCAGAATCCAAAGTACAGAAATGTGCAAACTGACGTACATTCACACTCAGGGAATTGTTGCATGAATAAAACAGAACAATGGTTTATGACCATTTAAATATTAGGAAGGAGAATGCATGAATGTCAACTTATTTACAATGAGGAACACAACATTTCGGAGTATATGCTTACTCCTTCATCAGCCATGAACCATGAACATATCTTCCTAGGGCCTGGGACTCATTGGTTTGATGAATCTGTGCCACCATCCGTCTGTTCCTCATAATAAAGAAGTTGACATCAATGAATCCGCTCTCTTTTGTATAAAACTTCTAAATGTCATTCAAAGACTTCACTTTAAAATTGTATACATACAATGTACAATACTAAATGAGCTCTTTATTAATTTTAATACCCACAGGACTACCCGGACCTGTGTTAGTCACGTGACTATATTATTTAATTGCAAAAATTATCTAGAACTCTATGGTTACACTGTAAGTGATAAATATTCTCATTTCTTTCTAACTTTCCTTCTGACTTTATATGTTTGCATATGATAAAACATCAGTCAACTTCAGTGTATGCATGACCAGATCGGATTATACGTGTATCCAAATTTATTTTGACAGGAGTACGGTCAAACTATTCCCAATCGGACATACACATTCAACATCAAGTGTTCAACATCTGCTGAGTAGCGCATCTTGTCATTGAATGAACACGGTCACTGTGTAGCACGTGCAGACCGTGCTTGCGCTGTTCCTTCCACGGTTTTCTAAAAATATTATTATCTCCACAGAACAGAGTCTTGAAGTTCTTTGTTGAGTGAATGGTGAAGACATGGCATGGATTACCATGTCGGTCATTGGTATTGTGTTTTCTGCAGTACATGCCTGTAGGGTGTACAGTCCCTGACTATTTGTCCTAATCATTTGTATCTTGTTAAAAGCTAATTAATTGGTGTTGTACGTTTTGAACATTGGCAGCAAAACACTCAGCTTTCCCGACACCCTGGATCGTTTTCAAAATATTTTTGAAACGTTATAACCAAATGTTTCCGGAAAATGTTTCTGAAACGTTTCTGGAACCATACAAAATCTTGTGAATAAAATATTTTTGAAAACACACTGTTTTATTTTAACTTTTCATCACGACACAGGCACCAAACTTCAGAAAGACGACAGGCTGTTCCACTAGGTGTACAGTAATTAACATGAAACCAGTGCTGACATGCTGAGTGGGTACACTGTCAAGTCGACAGCTGTGATGACATCACACCTCATTATACCGCAACAATTCACGATCAATATGGCCATGCTGGCTGTTCGAGTACATGGTAGCCTAATCAACAATATAGATCTATAGCCTACTTGTTCTTTAGAAAATATCAACTTGATGCAAAAGATTTCCTCCCCAAAATCCTGTATTTTCACAGAGAGTTAAAAAATAAAGTTTGATTTTGGTTACAGAAACTGTTTTGAAAATTGTTTTAATTATTGAAGAATTTTTTTTTCGTTTTAATTATGTTGTTGTTTTTCTAAACATTATGATCTACGTGTAATAAAAATCGTATGGAAAGAGAAAATAGATAACAATAAAAAAACCTGATCGAAATAAAAACCATCATAGAAATATCTCTGATAATGCTGACTGACCCCGCGACACCTGACATCAGCTTGACAAGACGACACTTCAATTCACATGCTAAATAAGCTATCATAATTACTGACAACAAAACGTGCGCCTGGGTAAATCAACTTACAACATTGTAAATATACGAGTAGTTTCGAGCCTCCTGATGACCCCCTCGCATCCAATCTTCGCGGCATATCGTTTCAACTATCTTATCTCTATCCTTGACTTCGTGACACTGGGACCTGCCAAGTCAAACCATGGGCGCAGACATCTTGAAATTAGATCCGGTTGTTTTCATCCGCATATATTCATAAACACTAAAACGTGTTGTCATATCTTATCAGTTATTCCCTTAGAATAACTGGTATTGATATTCCTTACAGTATGGTACATTTGCACAAGAAATATTAATTTTTGATAATGATAGGTTGTTTCAGTTATAGAACTACTTTATGTGTCGCCATCATTTCCTTGATGGTGTTACGAGGCCTTACCGGCGTAATTCGAGGTGAGAAAGTTTGAGTAGCAGGTGTTGCCGTGATATAAACGGTAAATGAGCAATGACAGTAAAATATGTAGTTTTGGATGTAGTGGTTAATTGTCAAAGTCAATGTTAAAAATTATAATCGATGCGGTCTTTAACTCATTCGTGTGTATTTGGTCGTTTAAATTAGCCATGCCCCCACTCTGCACGCCAAATGTCCACATATATTCTTTACTCAACAATGCTCAAGGGTCCAATAGGCCCATCGTATCACCAAATAATTAATTTCTTGGCCCATATCACATTTTCGTTTTCGCCAATCGTTGCTGTTTTCGCTTGGTGCCGTTTTGCTGAGGAGCCGTTTTAGCTATAATCCCTACACCTCACTAAAATAAAATGGTTTGGGGGCCCTCCCCCTTGTCTGCAGGGTTAGAAATTAACACTCGCCCGCTAGCCCGGGGCTATTGGTAATTCCTGCAGGCTAGTACAAATTTCCAAATTGTCCCATTGTTTTAACATTAGAAGAGCATTTTATCTTTACCCGGGCTAGTAAAGCTTTTCAGTTTAGTTCTAACGCTGGTCTCCCACACAACTGGTTGAATTAAATGCTTTCGCAAGTAGATACTACATGTTTGTTAAATAGTTGCCCCAGTGGATCTCACTGATGAGGTCGTTACCCCCTGAACATGCTGAATGAGTTCAACATTACCTGCCATCAGTGAAACTCATGTTCATTATCAGTAATCTGTTCAAAGGTTGTTTATGAGGGTGCGTGCGGTATTACTGGTATATCGGTAAATTGAGGTTCATTCTGGCCTTTAAGTAAAGCCTACAATTTATGAAAATACATCATTGAAAGATTACAATATTTTGTTTGATGCAGATTTTGACATAAATAAATTTACTGGTATAAGCTGTTGGTATTCCTGCACATAGATAAATACAAGGATACATCAAAGACATATCTATATACGTCTTTGAATACATAAAGAGCAGGCATATGGCTGGCTACAAGTATTTTTTTCCAGGTAGCCAGTGGTAAAATTAAGAAGTCAAGCCAATAGTGTAGGTAGCCAAAAGCATTCGAAATTATCTTTGATCAAATAACTATTATTGTATATTAGTGGAAACTGTACTTGAGTTTTGTTATTTGTGACTCGAACAATGATGCAATTTATGTTAGTTGATTATATAGGTATATCCTTGCTTATCCAATAAACTATCGACTAAAATAAAATACTAATTATATTAATATTTATGTATTTCGGTTCATTGTTGAGTTTTGGAGGAATTATTTGTGAGTACAATTAGTAGCAGACATGTCTATTTTGGTGTCTAAATATGTGTAGCAATGGAATTTAGTTGCCACAAGATATTTTTCAAGGTAGTCATTTGGCTACCTCTGAATTTTAGACAGTAGACAAATTGAAATTTAGGTCGCATTGGCGACTGTTTTAGTCGCAAATTTGAGGCCTGAAGAGCACAGCTGGATGCGTATTGTCAGTCTAATTTAGAAGCTGTAGTGTCACTGAAAGCTGAGTCCCAGGACAGATTCCCTTCATGCTGAAGAGAATTCTGAGACACTGAACAGATTCCCTTCATGCTGAAGAGGATTCTGAGACACTGAACAGATCGCTGTTTCCAAGCTGAAATAAGGGCAGAACGGTGCCTTGTTGTCGAAGTATTTGCTGATCTTGCCGAAGACATGGTTTGATTCCCTACGTGGGCACAATGTGACAAGCCAATGTCTGGCGTCCCCTGCCGTGATATTGCTGAATTATTGCTGAAACCATACCCACTCACTCACCCAGCTGAAATATCTCTTTTATCTTTTTAGCAACCATGGCTACTCTAACAGAAGTTTCTTCCAATAAAATGTTCGGAGGTTGGCAGAAGGTTTTCAGCCATGAAAGGTATCGTGTTATACATATAGAATCTTATACATGTAGAGATGTGCTGATTGGTGTCACTTTGTGTGTCACTGATTCCAGAAATCTGTGTCACTATCTTATTACGAGCAGGTCTGCTGCTACTGCGAAACAAAGATCTCAGAACATCCCATCACGGGTTATCTGACCAATCAGAGCGAAGTTTGAATTATTTTTTTCAGTGAGGTCAATGAAACTGAAAAATGTAACACCTACCCTGGTTGTGCTTTGCTGAGCAATTTACTTCCCACATTTCATATGGACCATCTGACAGCTTGGTGGCCAACATGTCTGATGTGGTTTGTTTGTTTGTTTGTTTGTTTGTTTAATGCCTCCTGATCCATTTGGTTGCCTATTATGCCAAGGCTCGTACAGGCTTGAATAGGTCTTGAAATGTAAGGCCCCTTATGAGGCCCGTGGTGTCATTTACCACAGTGATAGATTTGATACCTTGCCAAACAACATGAACAACTTAAAGAGTTTATGACATACTTAAGTTTTTGATTTGTTGCTTGTGAAAATCAATCTTGTTTGAAAATTTGTGATGTTCATACTGCTTTTCAGGTCTTATAACAAATATAGTATGGTCTTAGGACTGATATATACAGTATGCTGGATTAGAAACAATATTGACAGACTGAGGCTAATAACCCAACTCAAGCCTTGAAAATGACACTTGAAAGCCTGGAAAGGCCTGGAATTTTAGTGTTCCATACAACATGTTTCTGGGGGGCATTTTCAAACCAGGAATCCCCACGGGGGTGGGGGTGGAGATGTGGCATCATCGGGGGAGGATGACAGCCAGCTCAGTTCAGCTGAGCTAGGGATGCTAGGGCCAATACTGACATGGAATCCACAAGAAAACTATCTTGACACGAAATACACCAGCTGAAAAAGTATTCACAACTGCTAGACCCTACTGACTCACTTTTTATCTGCATTGTGATGCTTGTTTAGAAAATTGAAGGATGAACGTTTGTTTCAGCTCCGAGGTGAAATGTACGATGAAGTTCGGCATCTATTTGCCTCCCCAGGCAGAGGGAGGGAAGATCCCGGTCCTGTACTGGTTGTCTGGTATGTATATATACAGCAGTTACCTCCCTTTGTTGTGTCCTCACTTCGGTCATTCCACAGCGTGTGGTAAAGTATGGAAGTTGGGATCACCGTAGCAATACGGTCGCAGGCTAGATTTAACAACAAATTTGTATGTAACCAGCAGGACTTACTGCTTAAAATGTTACTGGCCCTTTTCCAAACTAACTGGCCTACAACTAATGTTGGAGGCTGTGAAGTGGCCAAACCACGAAGCCACCTAGCGTGGCTCTAAAAAAATCAACATACACAGAAAAGGGGTGAAATTTTGACTGGCCAGTCATGCCATCTACTTTACATTTCGGCAAGCCTTTTGTAATTTTAACTGGTCATGGGCCAACAGGCCAGCAGTTAAATCGACCCATGTGATTGCTTTGAGGAATGGGAGCCATCTACTGTGTCGTTGTACCGTCCTGTAGAAACTGTTGTTTACCAGTTAGTGCATCAGTGTACATGGGGTTCTGTAGGTGAGGCTAAGGAGATGGTTGGTTGCTTCCTGTTACTATAGTTACCTGATTACGGTGCTTAGTTTGGAATTAATGAAGTTATTTTCCATATGTTTAATGTCTTTCTGGATACAGAACACGGGCGAACATGATGAAGTTTGGTATTGTAGATGTTGGTGAGTAAATAAGAAAACGTATAACTTTGTGGTTTATTGCATATTGCAGAAGTTGTTGTCCACAAAGTAATATCTTTTCTTGTTTGGTGTGATTCGTTTCGATGAAAGTCAGATAAAAAATAAGTGTTGTGACATGCCATTTTCAGTGTTACTGTTTACCGGTAATTACCAGTTTTTTACCTGTAAAATTTGATAAGGACCGGTAATTCATGTGACTGCCAGTCCCTGTGGACCGGCAAATAAAGTACCTTATAGATCTTGAATAAGTTGAAGAATTTCTTCCAAAAGGATCTTGAGCCTCAGTATTCATATATCAATATTCATGCGCAATCAGATTTTGCAACCGGTTTCAGCTTGGTCTGTCAACGAACAAAAGTTATGTATTTACACTTAAATATATATTTAACGTGGGTAATAAATAAAATACCACACTCATTCTCGTTAGATGCCATTTTTACGAAACTCGTGAACTTTCTAACGAGAATGAGTGTAGTATTCTCTATATATGTTGCCACCACTCCCCTCCCTCCCATCCCTCCCATCCCTCACTCACTCACTCACTCACTCACTCAACCCGTAAAGATCCAGGGTAGAATAGGTCTTCAGCAACCCATGCTTGTCGGAAGAAGCGACTTACAGGATTGTGTGGTCAGGCTCCTTGACTAGGTTAATGCATATCATCGTATCCCAACATGCGTAGATCGATGCTCATGATATCAATCACTGGATTGTCTGCTCCAGACTTGATTATTTACAGACTGCCGTCATATAGCTGGAATATTGCTGAGTGTGGCTTTAAACAACAAACAAACAAAGAAAGCAATCACTCTCTAGCCCATACGGTACTGCAAAACATCAAGTATTCGCACCGTGCATGTGGTTATTGTGGATTCCGGATTGCAGCTGTAGTTGTCTCATGATTGTTCATTGTTTCAGGCTTGACGTGCACAGAGCAGAATTTTGTCACCAAAGCGGGCGCCCAGAAAGTAGCTGCTGAGCTCGGCATCATCCTTGTCGCCCCAGACACGAGTCCAAGTAGGTGCCTGTTATACAATTATGGACTTTATAGGGGGTGATTCTGTGATCATTGACCCTAAAGAAGTAGTGTTGACCTGGACGAGGCCGTGACCTGGACGAGGCTGTGACCTGGACGAGACGGTGACCTGGACAAGGCAGTGACCTGGACAAGGCGGTGACCTGGACAAGACAGTGACCTGGACAAGATGGTGACCTGGACGAGGCGGTGACCTGGACGAGACGGTGACCTGGACGAGGCGGTCACCTGGACGAGACGGTGACCTGGACGAGACGGTGACCTGGACGAGGCGGTGACCTGGACGAGGCGGTGACAAGGCGGTGACCTGGACAAGACGGTGACCTGGACAAGGTGGTGACCTGGACGAGACGGTGACCTAGACGAGACGGTGACCTGGACGAGGCGGTGACCTGGACGAGGCGGTGACCTGGACGAGGCGGTGACCTGGACGGGGCGGTGACCTGGACGAGGCGGTGACCTGGACGAGGCGGTGACCTGGACGAGGCGGTGACCTGGACAAGGCGGTGTCCTGGACGAGACGGTGACCAGGACGAGACGGTGACCTCGATGAGGCGTCGACCTGGACGAGGCGGTGACCTGGACGAGACGGTGACCTGGACGAGGCGGTCACCTGGACGAGACGGTGACCTGGACGAGACGGTGACCTGGACAAGACGGTGACCTGGACAAGGTGGTGACCTGGACGAGACGGTGACCTAGACGAGACGGTGACCTGGACGAGGCGGTGACCTGGACGAGGCGGTGACCTGGACGAGGCGGTGACCTGGACGGGGCGGTGACCTGGACGAGACGGTGACCTGGACGAGGCGGTGACCTGGACGAGGCGGTGACCTGGACAAGGCGGTGTCCTGGACGAGACGGTGACCAGGACGAGACGGTGACCTCGATGAGGCGGTGACCTGGACGAGGCGGTGACCTGGACGAGGCGGTGACCTGGACGAGGCGGTGACCTTGTATAAAGTCCATAATTGTTGTGGCATGGTATGAAGAGACAAAAACAGATTCACCACATCAAACTATGTCGGCTGCTATAATGCTGGTTCCAACAGTTGGAGTCAGCTGATTGGCTTAGGTTTGAGGAATTCTGGGTATTTCGCATTCTTCAAGTCAATACCATAAATCATCAGACCTGAGATGGCGTCAACATGAGTTTCTGTCAAATGACACTGACCACGTCTCGGCAGGTGAATGTGGTGAAAACTTTGCATTATGTAATAATGGACATTGTAGTGACATCAGTACACCAAACTCTCCCTGGGGACATTCTCAGGTGAAATAAGACAGAAATAATATTCCCGAGACAGGTCCGCATGCACTTGACTGGGTACCTGTCCACCATGTTCTTTCTACTACTGATATAGCTGCACAGCAAGACATTGGATCAACCTAGAAATAAGCAGAAGAGATTCCTGTGCTTGCTATTAGCCTCTGAACTGAATATCGGAGCCACTCATAAACATACAAAAACTACAAGGAGCGCCATGGAGCGCCACAACTTTGTCAGTTGCATCCATCGGGGCTGTTTCAACAAATGGCATATTTTTCATTCAGACATCTTTTTGAAGAGACCGTATCAAGCGTGAAATAATTCCTGAGTGTGACGTCACATGCACGATTCAATTCTCAAACCACAGCGAAGCCGAAAGTGCAAGCACTGTACAGAGTAAACTAGCTTCAGTCTTGTTTTTGGTAGATGCAAATTGAAAAGAAAAAGAAACTCAAAGGTTTCTATTTTATTACATTTTTCATTGGGGAACAAATATTTTTTCACTGATCTATTCATCACTATATTGGGATTTTCCCAAAATGAGTAAACATTTCGAGACTAAAAAAATAAAATAATGTTTCAGATGTATAAAATGGTCCCAACAATAGGCTTGCCTAGGAAAGTAAATTATCTCATAATTGTGTTTCGGAAATTAGTTTCACATCGTCACATCTTACACAGTCCATTCTTGTGTTTTTCATCTGTTTCATTTTGGACAAGTCTGTATGTAGATAAACCTATGTTTAACTTTCATTGAGAAAATATCTAAAAATGTGATTTATCCATTTGCGTATTTGTCCTCCATGTCCAGTCATGGAAGCCCTACCGAGATCTAGATTTGTGTAAAGCTATATTGCCATGCACCTCACTGTCGCAGTTGTAGTAGTATATCTGTTTATTTATGCAAAACAATATGTTAAGCGCACCGAAAGGCTTGCATTAGGCCCGTGTGTTCTTATTTCCTGGAGAGAGGAAGGTCCGGGGTTTGATCCCCGGCCGCGTCATACCAAAAGACGTTAAAAGATGGTACTTGTTGTTACCCTGTCTGGCGCTCGGCATTAAGGGGCTAAAACAAGGACTGGTCGGCTCGGAGTCAGTATACTGTGTCTGAGTGGGGTGTTCATGTTAAACTGCGGCATGGTATCTCAGTGTGCTAGCACTATAAATCAGCATCAGTCCGGACTAGTACAAGCAGCCACACACACACACACACGTGCATGCACATCGCTATATAAGTGCAATTATCTTGGACGTGACGTTAAACCCAATTTCACCTCACCTTATTTCAGAGGAAAGTCCGGTCGCGTGATAAGCCTACTCCCACGATGTGGAGAAACAACAAGGCGAGCAGGGCCGAGTAAGCTCGGGGGTTATCGGCTATTGTACACAAACAGAGCTTCAGAATGGTCAATGTCTTGTCCTTTTAACTCTGTTGGCTCTGTCCATTTCAGGAGGGTGTAACATTGAGGGGGAAGACGAGAGCTATGACTTCGGGTCAGGAGCTGGCTTCTACGTTGATGCCACGCAGGAGAAGTGGAAGACCAACTACAGGATGTACTCGTACATCACTAAGGAGGTCAGTAGTCAGTGAACCCTCACCGACCTTGAAGTCAGTAGGCAATTGATGGTAATATAATCTTAATTGACCTTGTGTTCATTAGGTCATTGATGGTAATATCACCTTCATCGACCTTGTGTTCATTTGGTCATTGATGGTAATATCACCTTCATCGACCTTGTGTCCAGTAGGTCATCGATGGTAATATCACCTTCATCGACCTTGTGTCCAGTAGGTCATCGATGGTAATATCACCTTCATCGACCTTGTGTCCAGTAGGTCATCGATGGTAATATCACCTTCATCGACCTTGTGTCCAGTAGGTCATCGATGGTAATATCACCTTCATCGACCTTGTGTCCAGTAGGTCATCGATGGTAATATCACCTTCATTGACCTTGTGTCCAGTAGGCAATTGATGGTAATATCACCTTCATTGACCTTGTGTCCAGTAGGTCATTGATGGTAATATCACCTTCATCGACCTTGTGTCCAGTAGGTCATCGATGGTAATATCACCTTCATCGACCTTGTGTCCAGTAGGTCATCGATGGTAATATCACCTTCATCGACCTTGTGTCCAGTAGGTCATTGCTGGTAATATCACCTTCATTGACCTTGTGTCCAGTAGGTCATTGCTGGTGGTTGGTTTGTTTGTTGTTTAACGCAGCACTCAGCAATATCCAGGCTATATGATGGTGGCCTGTAAATAATTGAGTCTGGACCAGACAATGCAAGGATTGATATCATGAGCATCGATCCGCGCAATTGGGATACGATGACATGCATCAACCAAGTCAGCGAGCCTGACCACCCGACCCCGTTAGTCGCCTGTTATGACAAGCATAGTCGCCTTTTACGGCAAGTATGGGTTGCTGAAGACCTATTTACCCAAGGTCTTTAAGGTTACATTGACTTTGTGGTCAATAGGTCATTGATGGTAATATCACCCTTACTGACCCTGTTTTCAGAAGACCCGTGAAGATCCGGGGTAGAATAGGTCTTCAGCAACCCATGCTTGCCGCAAAAGGCGACTATCCCAAATCCCAATTGTGTCATGAAAACACATTTTAAATTTGTTTTTTTCTGGCTAGTAAAATTATGATCTAGATAGCCCAACTGGGTAGTCTAATTTTCTAGTGCTCTGTTATACTTAAGTCTTCCTCCCCATATCAATGTCATGTATTTCTGTTTTTTCTGCAGCTCCCAGCTCTCATCAACTCCAACTTCCCCGTCTTGTCCGATAAGCAGGGAGTCACCGGGCACAGGTAAAGGTGTTACCATGGTTACTGCTTGTCTTTTTTTATTTATTTGTATCAATAATGAGATAAATGTTGGAATGAAATGGTGTTAGTATATATTTAACTGACTTGCAATCCGTCACACAAGAGGGACTGAGTGGGCAAGCGGTCAAAAGCACGTGGCTGGCCAGCACCAGGTGCCGAGATCGTATCCCGCTATTGACTGGGTTGTTGTTCGGCCTTGGGACCAACAATGTTTACAGGTCTTTACTGTGTTGTCACTACCCCTATAAAAGTACATACACCCTGTGAACTCAAAAGAACTGAAATGGTGGAAACATGAATACAAACATACACCCAAAACACAAGTGTCATGACTTGTGTTGTCATCATGGGCAAGTGCCTCTGTTCAAGTGTGCCTCTGTTCAAGTGTGCCTCTGTTCAAGTGTGCCTCTGTTCAAGTGTGCCTCTGTGCCTCTGTTCAAGTGTGCCTCTGTTCAAGTGTGCCCCTTTTCAAGTGTTCCTCGGTTCAAGTGTGCCTCTGTTCAAGTGTGCCTCTGTGCCTCTGTTCAAGTGTGCTTCTGTTCAAGTGTTCCTCTGTTCAAGTGTGCCTCTGTTCAAGTGTGCCCCTTTTCAAGTGTTCCTCTGTTCAAGTGTGCCTCTGTGCCTCTGTTCAAGTGTGCCTCTGTGCCTCTGTTCAAGTGTGCCTCTGTTCAAGTGTGCCTCTGTTCAAGTGTGCCTCTGTGCCTCTGTGCCTCTGTTCAAGTGTTCCTCTGTTCAAGTGTGCCTCTGTTCAAGCCTCTGTTCAAGTGTGCCTCTGTGCCTCTGTTCAAGTGTTCCTCTGTTCAAGTGTGCCTCTGTAGAAGTGTGCCTATGTTCAAGTGTGCCTCTGTTCAAGTGTGCCTCTGTTCATGCCTCTGTTCAAGTGTGCCTCTGTGCCTCTGTTCAAGTGTGCCTCTGTTCCTCTGTTCAAGTGTGCCTCTGTTCAAGTGTGCCTCTGTTCAAGCCTCTGTTCAAGTGTGCCTCTGTGCCTCTGTTCAAGTGTGCCTCTATTCCTCTGTTCAAGTGTGCCTCTGTTCAAGTGTGCCTCTGTTCAATTGTGCCTCTGTTCAAGTGTGCCTCTGTTAACCCAGCAGGGAATGGGTAACCGACATGTGAGGGGGACGTGAAAACTTCTAGCGCCCGTTGACAGCTTGGGTTGTATACTCCCCAGGGAGTTGAGAATGCAAACGGATCCACTGATCAGGACACAATTAAAACCGCATTTGAGCAGATACCAGTACCTGGATACCTGCAGTGTATAAATGTATAATATAATAAAAACATGCCCCATTGTTTCAGTATGGGAGGCCACGGGGCCCTGATCTGTGCCTTGAAGAACCCAGGCCTGTACAAGTCCGTGTCAGCCTTCGCTCCCATCACCAACCCAGTCAACTGCCCCTGGGGCCAGAAGGCCTTCTCTGGTTACCTAGGTGACAACAAGGAGGCGTGGCAGGTAGGTCACATGGCATCGTCATGAGTCAGGGAGTTTAAGAAATTGGCTGTGGTGTGTTCCATAACATCGAAAAACTATATAATCCTGGACCTTGTAGTCATTTGTGGCTATGGTTATATTAGGGGACTTTATTGGTTGTAATGTTATTTTAATCACCAACTTTGTGTGGAAGTTAAATCAGTGGACTTCTAATCATTTCTGTTACCTGAGATTTGTTGCAGATTAATTGAGGTGGGTATTGCGTTTGTATTGCCTACTTTGTATCATTGTTTATTGTCATTTGGTTCTCTGTGTAGGAATACGATGCATGCTGCCTCGTCAAGAAGTACAACGGTCCTCCCCTGGAGATCCTCGTGGACCAGGTGAGCTTCCATATGATCCGAGCAGTCATTAAATTATTTTTTGACATGTCCTATTATTTGATACATTTGACATTTTATTAATTTATCGATCATATATGACACATGTTAATATGTATAATTTTTGAACGTATCCTTTCTCGAATTGCTTGATAGGCATTACTTAGAAGTTGACGGATGACAAAGTAGACACAATTTATGGATAACAACTTCTTAATTTTCGGTAAAGGTGACGTTTCGGTATAGATCCTTATACCGTTGTCTACTTTGTTATCCTATCTCAAACTATGCATTCCTTCCTTCTTCTTTTGATCCTTATATGGAAACATGCTTGAACAATGTTTCCAATTTCTTTCACCCGAACATATCCCTGCATCACCATGGCCATCACCTGAACAAATGGGTCATGCACCGAAATCCCAACTTGATCACCTGATTACCCCTGCCACATCCCTCTTTCTCTTTGCCACAGTGTAGGGACGTGCATTGTGCACTGGAGAATACATATTTATATTTTTTTGTGAGAGGTTCCTTGCAATTGTTTCTACATCTAGGATATTATGTGAAGAGTATGGGAACGGAAGAGTATGAGAAAAGCCCGGCCTGTAGAACTTGCAGACATACTTATTCCTGAGCCGATCCACATGTTCTTTGTTGAGGTGTCACAACCCTTGTAAACCAGACCACAAATGTTCTCAATGCTCCCAACTCTCTGAGGAAGCTTTCCACACACTTGACATCTGCCTTCCAACAACATGCAGGTCAAATGATTTTGCCCCCTCAGGACGCTACGACTTCCTTCATGACTCCTGCTCAGGTCGCTTATCTTGGCTCAACAGCTCCTATTCAGCCTGATGCTACAACAGCGCTGCCAGATGTCACCAGGGACCGTCAAGCCTCCCTGCCTCCTCACGGGCAGCTTCGACACCGCCGATCCAGCCATCATCCTTCCCTGGATTGCCGACCGGCTCCAACTGAAGCGAAGTCTCTCGGCTGATGACCATCTTACGGGTTTCGTTGTACCTAGTGCCACTTCGTCTGCCATCCGTTGGCTCCTTGGCCCGTTGTGTCTGGTGTCTCTCATAATCTGGACAGGGCTTTGCTGCTTTTCAACGCTTGAGGGATCAACTTCAAGCGTGTTCCTTCAACCTGTCTGATGCTGGCCCCTATGGGTTGTCTTCTATGGCCATTTCTCCGGAACTGGATGGTGACATTGCTACACTTAGCCCTAAGCTTAGCTCTTCTGCTTCCTCAATCATGGATGACTGAGACCTTGCACAGATGGTCACATCCATTGTAGTGTCTCAAACATCCTGTCAGCGATGGAAGCGATTCGGTGCCACACGCCAAGTCCTCTGAAGACACCCTCATGGACTTACTTCAGAGGCAGGAACAACAAAAGCAGCGCTGTCAACTTGTGTCAAAGAACAGTTCGCCAAGGACGCCAAGGACAACGGGGCTTCAACCTGAGTTCTGTCTCATTTGCTGCATCCAAGGATGTCAGAGAGCCTGCCAAGGCAAGAAACTCTTCATCCAAGGGACTCTCATCTGCTTGGGCAACTGCGACCTTCCGCCCCCAGTTCTACCCTTTGTTATGACTTCTTGTTTAGCACCAGCTTCCTCATGTACATCTCACGGTAGTAGTCTAATGCAGGCTAGGGTATCTGCGCCCCCAAATCCAACAATGGCATAAATGCATAGTCTGAGATAGGATAATTTTAAAAATTTGTAAATTTTACATTATAGTGTATGTTTTTGTCTGTTTGTTGTTGAACGTCGCACACAGCAATATTCCAGTCATATGATTGCGGTCTGTAAGTAATCAAGACTGGACCAGACAATCCAGTGATTGACAACATGAGCATCGATCTATGCAATTGGGATCAATGACATGCATCAACCAAGTCAGCGAGCCGATCCCATTAGTCGCCTTTTATGACAAGTACAGTCACCTTTTACGGCAAGCATGGGTTGCTGAAGACCTCTTCTACCCCGGATCTTCACGGGTCGTATATGTATAAATACTAATCCTATCTCAAAGCTATATGCCCTCTGACCATCCCCGCATCACAGCTCCTCTAGCCTGTCACCTCAAAGAAAGAGAAGGATGTGGCACGGGGAGTCAGGTGATCAAGTTGCACTCGACCGTGGTAATGCTGTGATGTGTTCGGGTGAAATGTTTTTAGAAGCTGGAAACTGTGTTCAAGCATGTTACATAAGGATTGAAAGAAGAAGGAAAATATGCAAAGTGTGAGATAGGATAAGTATGTTACTATACAGAAATTTACATTAACATATATTTTTCTATGTACAACTGTTGCTATGGTTACAGGGTAAAAGTGACAACTTCCTCACCCAGAACCAGCTTCTCCCTGACAACCTGACGCAGGCGTGTGCGGAGAGCAAGATGCCCATCGTCATGAGGATGCAGGAGGTACCAAGACTAATAATGCTGATTTGTTTTCGAATCATTGTCATCTGTAGAGGAGATAAGCATAATATTATCTTCCGACTAGGTTACCTGTAGATTTACCTGCGCTAAGTTTGAATTTTGAACTGAACAGGCAGCTATACTTTGAATATTAGAACTCTGCATTTTGTAACTTAAGACTGAGCATGTCATTATTTGGAAATGTCTACTGATATCATTGGACCTCCTCCATGGTGGTCGATGGGTCGATCCCTGGCTGTGTGATACCAAAGACAGTACTTGTTGTTACCCTGCCTGATATCATTGGACATCCTCCATGGTGTAGTGGATAGAGTGTAAGGTCAGGGAGCAGGTCAGTGGGTCGATCCCTGGCTGTGTGATACCAAAGACAGTACTTGTTGTTACCCTGCCTGATATCATTGGACCTCCTCCGTGGTGTAGTGGATAGAGTGTAAGGTCAGGGAGCAGGTCGGTGGGTCGATCCCTGGCTGTGTGACACCAAAGACAGTACTTGTTGTTACCCTGCCTGATATCATTGGACCTCCTCTGTGGTGTAGTGGATAGAGTGTAAGTTCAGGGAGCAGGTCGGTGGGTCGATCCCTGGCTGTGTGACACCAAAGACAATACTTGTTGTTACCCTGCCTGGGGGTGGGGGGATGGGTGGGTGCTAGAACAAGGACTGGTAGACTTGGAGTCAGTATGCTGTGTCTGAGTGTGGTAAACTGCACCATGTTGTGTCAGTTAGCTGATTCCATCGTGCATCAGATTGAGATCAACTGATAAATCTCAATCACCATTTCCCTGTCAACTTCCAATTGCTTGTGTGTGAACATGCAAGAATAATTTCAAAAAAAACGATAACTTCCCAAAGTAGCCTTTACAACTTGTGTACCTGTATTTTGTAATAGATCTTTATTAACTGGTCGAATACAGGCACCACACATACAAGAACTCTACTGTCATCAGAAACAGCAGTTTAGAATTGGTTATTGGCATATACAGTGATCGCTCGCTATTGCGCTCTTCGATAAAGCGCTACTTCGGTTGGCGCATGGCTCCCAAAATTTATGTACACTTTTAATACTGAGAGTTTTACACAGACATGATTGTATTGTTGTTCGTTGTTTATTTGCACATAACGCTTCTCATTGCATAATCAACGGTTTATCGCTGAATGGAGTTCTAATAATCTGTTTGAAAACATCCGCGGCAGGTCCCGGAAATACGATTGTTCTACTAGTTAACTTTTCACACTATACATCCTTTGATCTTAGAAGCGCATGCATGCAATAAAAGAGAACCACAAGTGAAGTTTATATTCTTAATTAGTGGGCAATCCAATTTAAGGCTAAACTGTCACACACATGTAGTTGCTGTCACAACACGGCGGTCATTCATTTCGTAATCGCGCTTTCGTAACATCGCCTGTTTTTTCCCCGTAGTTATAACAAGCGATTTCATTGGATTAAAATTTGTTTCTAATGACGCTTTCTTGCCGAAATCTGCTACAAGTTTCGTGATTGGTCAATTTTGAGCACGTGACCTCAGGCAGCCAATCAAGCTGTGATACAAAGCTCGTGTTTGATAAATTTCAGAAGTTAGCGAAAGATTTTTTGTTAAATCGTGTTATTCTGAACGTTTTAAGCAGGAAATCACGATATATATTAAAAATATGGAACTTTGCGAATGTATCGTGCTAGGTTACGAGCTGTGACAAAGATTTTTCATGCATATATTTTTGCATTAAACGTTGTGTCCGAGCCGAGAATTCAAGGCGACGAAAGCCGAGATGTCATTTGACTTACATTACACGCGATCGCACGAAACGATGGAAATAATAACTTAGATGTAAGTTTGATTACTTTTAGATATATTTTTGTTGATTTTATTTATCACTTTGTATAATATATTTAAAGATTTGCTTAAAATAGTCTTTATTTTGCTCTCTGACATGTTCGATGCGGACCCGTTGTCGAAATGTGTGTCCGAGAATTTTATTTTCAATAACATCGCGGGAAATAGTGAATAATTTTTTAATTTATTGATAAAAACTGATAAATTAGAATGGAATACGTATTTCAGACATTGTGAAATATGACAGATTTAATAAATGAATGATATTACAGGTAGATCTAGGTCTATAAAAATATATACTATTTTGACGTGACGTGAGATAAACACATAGGCCTATTGATGATTTGAGATTTGCCGAGCGCGCTCCCCCGCCTCGGCCTCGGTTAAACGGCTCATCGTCTATAACGCCCACCAATTATTTGGACCCCATTGGTAGCGCAATAGCGAGCGATCACTGTATAAGATAGCTATGAGATAAATCTCGAACAACAATGAAGAACGAAGCATGGTTTATTTAACGATACAACATTGTTCTGTCATTACAACACCGGTTAAGAATTGAGGTTTACTCTACCCCGTGTGCAGTGTAATTAAGTATCGTTTTGCCCTGAACAATAGAGTTCAAGCACGATTTTTCAAGGATGCGTTACAGCCCATTATGAAGTAACCTCGAAAGTGTACTGTATCGAATGATATATGACAGCCAGGCGATAAATAAAGGAAGAACGAAGTATTGTTCTACCATGATGTCATTTCTAGATAATCAAACATGCGCTCGCAACTTGATGACGTCGTGGACAAAGTTCCCCATAGATGTAGCTGGGTCATGCAGATGAACGCTGTACCCCTCATGGTTTATTCTCCCTGAACTGTTTCATTGTACGATAAACAACTCCCATGGGTCATTTATCTCTTAAGTATTGACTCAATATTATTATTATAGACAGGGTCCAAGGCAGTTAAGTTTTCTGAGTACCCATACTGTTAGCATTGTGCGAATGGGCTAAGGGGAGTAACTCTGATTACCGGAAGAGTATTTACCGGAAGTGTATCGAATGTAAATCGAAGTTAGATGAACGAATGGATTCGGAAGTTGCTAAGAGATAGATCGTAGGGTAAGTAATAGAATATGTGAGGTAATATTGCTAGGATATTGATGTATGGTTGTCAAGGGAGTAACGGATGTATTACAGTTAGTTTTGAGTATGAATTGAAATAAACAAGACGTGTTCTTATACTCGCTCGTTGTGTGCTGTTTACAATACCCATGTGAATGATAATTTTTGAGCATTCAATGGGAGAAGAAATGGATGGAGGGCTGGTGCTTGTTTAGTTTTCCCAAACAACAGAAAAGTCTGTTTTGATAAATAAGTGCAACCTTGTCTTGTTTCAGGGGTATGACCACAGCTACTTCTTCATCGCCTCCTTCATCGACGACCACATCAGGCATCATGCACGATTCCTCAAGGCCTAGGGGAGATAACTCTGTCCAGAATGAAACTGCAGTATTCTGTAGCCAATGCCTGTGTTTTATTCTGTTACACATAAATGTTCTGTTGATGTCTGGAGTAACTGGCTACTGCCACAGTGATTGTTTCATGATGGAGATAAGATTGAGTGGCATATAATGTCCAATTATTTGCACATAATTTACTCATTAATCATTGGGAGCTAAGAATGTGTGATCAGCTGAAAAATTACAGATGCAGCATAAAATTCTCTTTGCACCTGATCAGGATTACCTCCCTTTCCCTGGTAGACGTGGAAGACTGTACTCTCCTATTGTGAAGGTGGGAATGGGTTGATTTACTGATTGATCCCCAGAGATTGTTAAGATTGGTTATAATTAAAAAATGACCGGTGCATTTATGTTTCAGTTTTCCATGGATTTTAATTGATATATGTGTTTGTTGGGTTAGAGCATGTTGCCTGGATATTACATGAACGTATCGAGGTATTTAGCAGCCTGCTCAATTAGCACCACAACATGGTGTGGAGACATTATTTCCTCTTTGTCTGGAATAAACACAAATATTGTCCTGTGGTGGAAGTGGACTAGGGCCAAACTTTAAACTGGTTCATAGATTCATGGGGGGTGGGGGGTGATGATGTAAAACTTAAAGCAGATTCTTTTATTCCACAAAATGTAAACTGATGTGCTCGGTGCATACACATGGTCCGCCTGCAAGACAAGTTTAGCTAAAACTGCCTGTCTAGGACAACGCACCCAGATAACTTCTAAAAACAAACTCTGTAATGTCCTTTTCGTTTTATTTTCGGTTGACTGATCTATAAACACTCTGTAAACCGAGACAATAAAATAAAGTCAAAGAATAAAGTTTGAATGCAGCACGTGGCATTGGAAACCTTTTGGCCCCCAAGGGTCTTGACACTTGGAATATCAAAATCCTTCGACACATGGAACTGCAGTGTGTTTTAACACTTGGTTCAACACCAAGGATGTTATTTTATATACACAGAATAAAACCTTTTGTAAACTAGGTTGTGTTTGTCATATTTTGACTGAAGATATCAATGTACTTATCATATCCCTCCCCATGAGGATTCCATGGAGAGTGGGTCACAGTTTCCTTTGTTTGTTATACTGCGAGGGGAGGGTGTGCGGGTGCGGGTGCGGGGCATATAGAAACAAGTTCTGTCTTTCCGTCATATTTCCCTTACCAAGAGCATTCTCATAAACCGTTCAATGTGTCTTCATGAATCTTTGTATGCACACCAGGCCTAGTATGTTTCATTTTGTATTAAACCTGTGAAGATCTGGGATAGAATTGGTCTTCAGCAACCCCTGGATGCCGTAAAAGGCAACTAACAGGATCGGGTGGTCAGACTCGCTGACTTGGTTGATGCATCATATCCCAATTGTATAGATCGATGCTCATGGTGTAAATCACTGGATTGTCTGGTCCAGACTCGATTATTTACAGACCACCGTCATATAGCTGGAATATTGCTGAGTGCAACATTAAACAACAAAACAAACAAAACGTTCTGTGTTAACCCAGAAATCTATGCCAAAAAGTATTTAGTTCGAAACAAGTTACAAAAACATGTTATACAATCAACAATTGTATTATCTAATTGACGAGGTTTAGAAAATCAATACAAATTATCTCCCTTTATGGTTCACAAATAATACAAGGTGGGAAAACCCAGTAAGCAGTTCCTGATCCTGATGACTGAGGAAATGTAATTACTGCAAAGTAATCACAATGGCAGCACACAATGAACTGGCAGCACACAATGAACTGGCAGTGGTAATAGCGATGGAGTCTGTGATAATATTCGCCTAGCAGCAACAGTGTAAAGCTTCTGATGGGCCTAGGCTGGATATCCAGGGTGAAAAGTGATCCTCACACAGCCGCTGGTCTTGATGTAATGGGAGATGTGAGAGGAATAGATGTGCCCACTTATAAGGTCTAAATGCCTTCCAGAAGGTTCCATACCATGCTGGGTTAGTCTATAGCTGTTCTAGAAGATTCCAGATTACACTTGACTCCAAATGCACCATAATATAATAATTTCCTCACAGTTTCTTAGAAAGTAATAAATTCCTGACAACTATTTTTTGTTAAAACACGATGTCATGAACCTCGATTGAATCTTAAAAGAACATTTAAATTCAAATACAACATTGTTCAACAAAAAACACACTGCCATATATCAATTAAGTTTGAAAAATACTTGGTAATAAGTATCATATTTCCAGTGGCAAGAACTGATAAACATGTTATAATGTTGGAGTATATACAAGCACACTGCCATTTTGATGCTGAATCAGACAATGAAGCAAAAGATATGTCGGGCATCTACAATGTATCACAATATATCATGTCAGGTACCCACAAAGTATCACAATATATCATGTCAGGTACCCACAATGTATCACAATATATCATGTCAGGTACCCACAAAGTATCACAATATATCATGTCAGGTACCCACAATGTATCACACTATATCATGTCAGGTACCCACAATATATCATGTCAGGCATCTACAATGTATCACAATATAAGTCGGGCATCTACAATGTATCACTGTATATCATGTCGGGCATCTACAATGTATCACAATATATGTCAGGTACCCACAATGTATCACAATATATCATGTCTGCTACTGAAGCTGTCAGCAGTACTTTTTACTCTTAGGACACTGCTTATTACTATAAACTGAAAACATTTCTACAAAAGAATGATGTTGAATGCTAAATAAAATCTCAACACTCAACACTCAACATTCGTTGATAAAAGTGGAAAAACTCCTCGGGAAGCCTCGGAGTTTTTCCACTTTTATCAACGAGTGTTGATATATTTGATATCAAAAGACACGAGGGTGAGATTCTCCATTCTCTAACTGGCTCCCACAGGAGATATCCCTTGGGTGAGATCAAGCAGGAAATTCCATCACAGTGCTTTGTAGACCATTCTTACCATGACGTCACAATGAAATGACATCACTAATGGCTCTGGTACTGAAGAGGTTAGCAATCCTTTTTACACTTAAATGTAAGTGTTAAATTTTAAATAGAATCTCACCCTTGTGTCTATTGATATCAAATATATCGACTCGTATAGATATATTTGATATCAAAAGACACTTGGGTGAGATTCTCCATCTATCCTGTCAGGTACCTAAAATGTATCACAATATATCATCTCCAGTGCATCACAATATATTATGTCATGTGTTGTCTGTAGGACGAGGTACAGATTGTCGGAGTCCACACCGGGATAGTGACACGAGGGCTGACTGACAGGTTCTGAGCCTCCTGAAGACATCAAAATGCTATTTCTCAACATTTCCCCTTCCACATTGTTACGTTTTGTTGACGAGTCGAATTGGGTCCGGTTAGAGCTTTCGTCATGTTTGGGAACAGATGAAAGTCTGATGGAGCCAGGTCAGGAGACAAGGGTGGGTGCTGAAGGAGGTCAAGTCCCACTCGTGGGTGGTAAACATGGTAATGACTGGGTTGTGCACTGGCGTATTGTCGTGATGGAAGAGCACACTTTTGATCAGGTTTCCACGTCTTATGTCATCCCGTAATTGCCCTAAACGTCCATCATTATATGCTCCGGTATTGTCTGGGAGATAGTCCACCATGATGACACCCTCGGCATCCCAGCACACGGAGGCCGTAACCTTTCCAGCTGATGGGAGGTCTTTGCCTACTTGGATGTCAAATGCTTCCACTGATTTGATTGTTGTTTGGAAGTGGTGAACTCAGGTTTTGTCAATAGTCACAAGTCGCTGCAGGAACCTTTCTGGAATCAGCTTCCAACAGAGCTAGATTATAACGATACATGTTGTGGCTGGGCCGTTTTTGATGAGATGGCAGAAACTTTGAATCCAAACGAGCTGACACTTTCTTTTTTGCCAAAGTTTCGGTCATGGTGGACTGTTCTCATTCATGAGAAATGCCTACTGAAGTAGCAATATGAAGCTCGGGTATTCGCCGGTCGGGCATCACCATATTGAGGTTCTTCTGGATTATTCCTGGTGTTTCTGACGTGACCAGCTTTCCAGCACAGGGGTCATGTTCAAGACTCTCCCTGACACGCTTCAACCGTTGCCCACCTCATTACCGAGGCAGAGGTCGGGGCATCCTTCCGTCGTGTTGTATTCATATCTTCATTGGATTTGTTTGGTGTTACGCCCTTCAGTGCAAGTACTTGAATCCTGTACGATCCTCAGGGTTGTCCTTATTCCATAGACCCTTGCCTATTTTACTGATGTGTCACAACGAAACAAGTTGACTTGGGTTTTTGTAGATCTACCTCTGTGACATCATGTAATGTCCACAACAAACGATTTCACAGTAACTCTATTCCTTCTCTGTGAGGCTCGGAGCTTGTAAACCCTCGAATACACTGCGTCAATTATACAGACACTGGTTGCCTCTGAACAGTTGAAAAACCGACAGGGCTTCCTGAGAGCAAGTTCATACAAATCGCTTATAGGACCAATTTATTCACCACAACGATGAACAATGTTGTAACTGATCACCAAAAATATTCTTGTAGAGGAGCACCAAGGTTGATGACACAGGACTTTTGACATTGTGTTTATACTGATATGTTTTCACATAATACACAACCTACTCATTGGTTAAAAAGTCTCATGAAGACGTAATGATGGTTTGCTGTCATCATATTGTTTGTGTGCCTTAAAACCTTGTTTGAATGTTCAAGTTCCATTCACTCCAATTAAAGTTGCACAATTAAGTTTTTGAAGTGTGTCAGACAATATTGTCTGAAGCATCATCATTTGTTCAAGCATTATCGTGGACAATTGAGCGGTTTTGTTAATAAACTCACACACAGATAAATCTTTGTATCAATATAAAGAAAAAATTGCAAGAAAATGCAATACAATGTTAAATATGTTAACAAAATGTCAACTTTATATTGTAGATACCCGTTGTAAACACTTGATTGGCATCGAAAGATAGGCACTTGTTCCAACATATTGCAAGACAAATATATGACATAGGATATGAATTCGTCATGAATGTACAGGCAAACATTTCTATCTACGACTTGATCACGAACTACATCAGAGAGATACACTACTTTTTAATTGGACGAGAGGTCGGTCACATGACCGGGAAATTGACGTTCATACAGTTTGGCCCTTACTCTATAAAGGTTCATACTCCAATGAACTCACACAAAGTTGCTTAAATATATAGCTATATTTCACGAGACACGTGGAATATCCTATTTATGATATACATTTTGTGTAGTTCTTCTACCGGAAATTGAATTTTTATGATTACAAATTCTCCTGACCTAACACGCGACTTAAAACATAGTTCCGAGTTTGCAAAATCTTAAAAAAATATAAATAATAAAACATATTTAAGGTCACTATAATTCTTTAGCATATATTTGGATATGATTACATACAAAATCAACTTTAAAAAACATATTCTTGAAAGCTACGAGACTGCTGTTGGAAACGAAGGAATACATGCTGGTGAAGTAATACAACTGGCACTTTGCGAAGCGAACAGTCTCAATTGGCGAGTTAAATGAGAAATTTACTGTTCATAACGAGTTAGAAGCGATATTACTAACTCCATAAATAAACATCTGTCATTATTTTGCCTTGTCAATGTTTAACTAACTTAAAAAGGAATCAACAGTTTGTGTACAGGCAGACACTTACGATACCAACAGTTCCGTCCAAGTGCAATGTTCATTGCAGTGAAATATCAATATTAAATTATTACTTTTCTCACCTCAGTCTTTCACACTCAAGTATATAATAAATGCCGATATTTCACCGAAATAATGTGATTTTTTAATGATACACTCGTCGCATGTGGCGGCTTGTATATGTGACGAGCTGAGCGGGGATGAAGAAGTCCATTAAGCATTACAATACATTACAACTGGGCCTGCACGTTCACGATGAAACAAGCCCCGGTAAAGAGCCACCAGATCAGCTCTGAAAATAAATAACTTAAACTTAAGCTCTGAATGTTTAAGTTCATGAAAATGAAATTGTTATGTCGTGAAAATAGAAGTTTACATGAAATGAGAATGCATGAAAAAAACATATTAACCATACATTAATGACATGCAAATAGTCTATCTTCTCTACCCAAATAAACACCACTCCATTGACAGTCAAGTTAATCTCTTCTCCCGATCTATTTGAAAGTCTGGTTTGAAGGATGTCACGTTGTGTATGTAACAGTAGCGCATTATGCTTCGGTCTTACCCCAGCCTGGTTCCCTGGGTATGCTGCGCTGGCGTTACACTGATCAGCCTAGCGCCAGCGCAGCATACCCAGGGAACCAGTCTGGTCTTACCCTCGCTAAGAGCTGATGTATATATATTTTATGATTTCAAAATAAATCATAGAATATAAAAAATGAAAAGATGAAAAATCAGAGTGTTCTTAGACGTGATATATTAAGACGTATCCAGTAATATCGAAGGCAAAGATCTCGAAGTATTACTTCATTATGTGGGACTAATGGATCCAAAAGGCACCGTGGGACAGGTGGCCCAGTAGTCTAAGGCGCCGCGATTTGCTGTGCAGAGTTGCGTCCCTTGGGCACACCAGAAACCTATGATTGTGGCTTCGAATCCCGCTTCGCCCCGATTATGTTTCTAGGTTTGTCAGCACCATACCCGTGCTCGTGGGTTTCACCGAAGTGGTAAACGTCTGAGGCCTGCATCACTTCGGGCTTTCCTCCCACATTAAGCTGACACGCTGATATAACTGGAATACTGTTAAAAGCGGTGTTAAACCTACAACTCTCACTTACTTATAACACAGTTATCAAATAAAAATAGTTTAAACGAATTATACTGAGAAATGCCCTGATAGAAACCACGACAGCAAGGGCCTTTACTTACCAAGAGTTGTATTTGTGTCTACGGCTTGACCTCTCAGCATCACCCAGCAGACTGCAGGGATTATTGACACAGCAAAACACACAGCTCTTCTCCATTTGTTGACATGAGTTCCGTCTGCAAGCAAATCATACAATGTTATAATACCTGTAACTCCTTGGTCATCACGGGGATCCGGGATATCCCCCAGCCGTAAATGTTCGTCGTGCGAGGCGACTGTGTTGGTCGAGTGGTCATAGGGTCGAGTGGTCATGCTTGGTGATCTGGTTGGTTGTCTGTCATCTTGGGCTGGGACGGGTCCAAATTTACTACCCCCCTATTACCCGACACTACCCGGGTACCCACTGTAGGTCTCAGGAGATGTCTCAAAATGTCCGATTGGGAACATTTTTATCATAGCCCTGGCAAAACGTATTTAGATACACGTATTAAACAATCTGGTCATTCATACACTGAGGTTGAATTAAGTTATATCTTTATTCAACCATATGAAAAATCAGAAGGAATGGGTGCATAGTCAGAAAAAACATGCGAACATTAGTGTCTTGTAGTGTAACCATAGAGTTCTGGATAATTTTTGTCATTAAACAATATATCACGTGACTAACCACGGTCCGAGTTACCCGTCCCAGCCCTAGTGCCATCGTACCCTGACGGCGTGTGACGTAGCTGATATTATCAGTCACTGGTTTGTCTGGTCCAGACTCCATTCTTGGCGGTCTATCATATTGACAGAGTTTTAAAAACGTAGTTATGTACATATGCATACTTACTTGTCGCTGGTATGCTGCAAAATATATTGAAGACACAGTGCAGTAAAAAGACGACTGCCTCGAGAATGAAGAAGCGCAGGAAGTCTGAAACAATTTTGATTTGAATGTTAGAATAATGGTTTAATCAGACAATGCATCTGTTTAATTTACCCGTCAGATCTGTTACACATATTCCAGACATATTAATTTCATTTGAAACCGAATGGGATATGGAGTATGGTATGGTTTTGAATCGATGTTCGAAACGTCCAAATTGAACAAACAGTGAATTTATTTACATTTTACAATTACAAAATATACACGAATCTTGAGTGGCGAAAATAAACAGTGAGATGAAGGGACCCCCTTGCAGCGTTTATTGGTAAAGTATGCTGTGACATCTTGGAGGCGAATCATTTGGTGGCGGTAAACATTACAGCGTATCTGTTACATCTTCAATGTTGCTCATGTTGAAACCACAAACGGATTTTCGAAACGTTTATAATAATCAGAATTCATATTGCGAACCGGTTGGGATTGGAAAAGCGTTACATTCAAACAAGTATTTCCTTCCACGGTAATTCAAGGATTAAGATAAAATGCTGGCTATATAAGAATTTCACTCTTGTGCTGTAACAAAAACACTTTTGTGGAAAGGACTCCAGAACTGTAACAATGGGAGAAGGCATCTCCACTTGCGATTGCATTGATTACGTTTGGCTTGTTCATCAGTAAAGAGCATTCATCTGGAAATGTATGAGCCACCCCTGCTCCAATACCGGATGCTGCTCTGACCGCTTGCTGGATCGGAATGTGCTTGTTAAGGGAGAAATGTTCTTCGTCATGGTAGATGCACATTCTAAATTTCCTGAAGTATTTGTCATGGAGGAGACAACATCTTCGAAAGCTACTGCTGTTTTGAGAGAAATCTTCAGTCACAAGGGTATACCAGACCAGGTTAGAGGGACAATGGCCTGCATTTCATTTCAATGGCGTTAAACTAATATATTTCCAGGACAAAGTCATGAATAGAGGTCCATATACCAAAAAGGAATTATTCAAAATGAAGTTAATGGATGGTGATATATAATAATTTTGTGTCTCTGAATCTGAAAACATAAACCACGTATATGAAGAATGCCGTTTTGTGAAGGAATTCTGGTTAGAAATTAAAGTGTACCTAAACTCGAAACTTGCATATGATACTCATATTACCATTCTTGATAAATTATTTTGCTACAGCAAAAACAAATATCTCATCACCTATATAATTCTTCTTGCAAAAAATGCATTCACCAGTCAAGCATTAAGAAAACTCCAGTATGCTTTCCTTTCTTCATAAAATATTGAAAGTTGTGTGTAAAATAGAAAACTTTATAGCAATTAAAAATAGTCAGTTACAGTATTCTATATATAAGAAGTAAGATATACCTTTATTCTTCGAAAGAACAAGCAGTATGATCCACCATATGAGGAAGATCATAAACCAAATACAGGGGAGCAGTGGACAAACGATCTTCAACTTCTTTTCCAGCTTTTCTGAAAACATGTTGGATCTTTCTTTACTGTACACATATAACATTTACTTTACATCCAACGACGTTTGCTATGACTTTGCTGAGGTGCTGCACGTCGCTGTGCCGACAGGTGTCCCTCAGAACACACAGTGACATTAAGAAAGTGGTAAAATGTAACAAATGTTATATTTGGGATAACTCCTTTTTAATAGTAAAGTACATTTTGGGGGGTTGAGTCTCATCCTGGATTCGAACCCACTCAACCTCAATGGGACTCAAGCCCCAAAAGTACTATAATATGTAGCTTCGCCAAGAAAGTGTTATTCCAAATAACAGATGTGACCATTCGATTTTCCATGATACAATGATCGTTGTTCCGAATACCAGATTCGCACTGATGATGGTCGTGGTTTTGTAAGCACGATGCCTCTGCTCAAGTGTTTCAGAGATAGTGATGACGTGTAATGCCTGCACCACTTTGGAGTCTGTTCGTATATTAAGCTGACAATCCTGACAAATGAGACGGTACAAAACACACCCCACTCATTCGACTTTAAACTAACTTACTCACTCACACCGTTATAGATTTTTCAGAATGTGTATGAAGGGTCGTTCAGTTTTTACTTAAAAATTTCTTGACAACTACTATAAATCGGATTGTTACCAAAGTTAATAGTTAAACACCAACCTGCGAAATCCGAAGTCTGACAGAGTGCTTGCAGTCTTGGCAGTTGGACATAGAGTAGATCCGGAATTGTCGATAAAATTAACGGGACGTAAACACAGGTCATTGTTGACCAGAAGAAATGGAGGCTCAGATCTGTTTCCGTTTCTGCAAATGTAAATATGTGGAATTACTTTTATGCGGTGGCAATTAGGATGCCGCTGGGCCTATTTTGACAAATGGTGGAGTGGGTGGTTGGGTGTTGGTGGTTGGATGTGGGGCGTGGGATGTGGGGCGTGGGAAGTGGGGTGTTGGGTGTTGGGTGTTGGTGGTTTGGTGTGGTGTGTGTGGTGTGGGTATGTGTGTGGTGTGTGTGTGGTGTGTGGTGTGTGGTGTGGGGTGTGTGTGTTCAATAGCACGTGGTGTATTTCGGTGTACAGAGTTGTGCCCCCTGCCAAGTTCCTCGGGTCGTTTGTGGCACGTAGTTGTGCTCCTGGGACCAGGGTGTTTTTACATAAGAATACAGTAATAATAGAAAACGTAAATTTTCATAGTGTAGTTATTATCAGCTAAATGTAACCAAAAGAGAGTCATTCTAAAGGATCAAGTCACGTTGGCGAAGAACAACAGCTGGGAGAACTGACAAACCAAGGGAGCTTTTCTAAAATAAGGAAAACACGAGTAGCAATCTTACTACTCAAGCAATATGGGAGATGTAGGTACCAAAATAGGGCTGGCCATAAGCTTTACATTTACAACCAGATATGAACAATTAGTAGGTGGCAAATGTGACTATAAATACACGAGAAATATCAACATAGTACTAGATAAACCCGCCCCTGCGTGAAAATCAAAGTTACTAAACACTTTTAATACATGAATAAGATTGCATACATATATGTGATATCACAATAACGTCAAAACAAAGCCAGAAAACTCTAAGTACATCATGACCATGTGAGTAGGAATCACAAATAACTGACCCGTGAAGATCCGGGGAAGGAATTGGTCTTTAGCCATACTTGCCGTAAAAGATGACTATGATTGTAGTAAGAGGCGACTAACGGGATCGGGTGGTAAGGCTCGCTGACTTGGTTGATGTAGGTCATCGTATCCAAATTGCGTGGATCGATGCACATGATGTCAATCACTGTCTTGTCCATACTCGATAATTTACAGACACCCGTCATACAGCCGGAACAATGCTGAGTGCGGCGTTAGACAACAAACAAACAATCAAATAGTGAAGATACCAGGTGTTCGCGAAAGCCATGACTAACTCCTTTACCCCCGGCACATCAATAGTGTAACAGCATGTTGATTTTCGCAATCAACAATTGTGTTTAAGACACTAGGACCTGCTATGTCGTAATACAGATATATAATAGTTGAACGTGTAAAATTTGTAATTAGGGATCCACAATTTTGTAGCAGAATGCTGCATTCAACATGTTCATTTTGTTAGTCAATCGTAGGATTTTCACCCCACCTCTAGAATATCATATGGTCGACTCACGCACCTAATTTACAAGAACTACGAATGCACCTGAAAACCTTAACTTGACGTTTTAATCAAAAGGTGTCAGACTCAGTGATTTGTTTGATTGCGTATCATCGTACCCGGACGGCCTTGGACAGTGCTCATAATATTAACCACTGGTTAGTCTGGTCCAGGACATTGCTGTGGTCAGTGTTAAACAAACAGACAAAAAAAGAAAGTACCAACGAGCCTTACCTGAATCGCTGTCTCCAACCAGGATAGAACCCACTTCTCTTTCTCCAAACAAACACCGAAAGAATGCCTTAGTATTGCTCTCGTACTTCAGTTCGCTGGATGTACGTACATGACACGCATCATGCATGGCAGTTGTTACTGTATAATTCGCTGGATTAACATTGGTATACGTAGTTCCGTCCATGCTAGTTTGCCACCACATCTTTGTGTCCGCGGCACCCGTGGGAGCCCAACATGTCAGAAACTTGTACGTTTTTCGATTGGTTTTGACGACCCCTTTGCCTGAGAGGATAAACAGAGTAAAGTTTCAATTAGAGTACCGTGCAAACATTATTATTATTATTTACAGATTAAAATAAAAAATGCAGTAAAGGGGGTTTCGGTGATCCTGGCACAGTCAGGCTGGTAAGCTCATCATCAGCTCAGGTCCCTTATCCCCTCCACACGCATCCCAGACAGCAAATGAGACGGAAGCGCTGCCTAGTCAAACCCACCGAGAACATTTCGGAGATTGTGAAGACTCCCCAACACTGCAGCCTTCTGCATTACCCACATTGTCAGAAGGGCTGTATTCCTGGTAGCAAGCCCGGGTATTCTTCCAATGTCAGTCAACAGATTGGGAGGTACCAAACCCAAAGTACCGAGAACAACGGGGAGTCGGACCACTTGGTACTTGGGATGCAAGCGTGACATTTCGAAAGTGAGGTCCGCATATTTTGCCATGTTTTTCCTCATTCTTGTCAATCACATTGGTGTCAAAGGGGACAGTAAATTCAATGATATAAATGATTTCATTGGAATTATCAAAAAGAACAAGATCAGGTTTGTTGGCCTGGATATGTCTGAGGCCGTATATGGGCCTATTCCAAAGAATTTTGTATTCATCATTTTCCATGACGCCCTCAACATATTCCGGGTCGTACGATGGATGGACCTCTGTGTCAAAACCACAAACATTGCGAAGACGGTAATAAAATGATCAAGCTACACCATCATGTCGTTTAAGATACTGTGTTTGTGCCAAAGCTGGGCATCCACTGACAATGTGTTGGACAGTCTCATTAAATTCATTACAGAATCTACATTTCATATTTACATTTTGATGCAAAATCACACATTGACGGTTTCGAGTGGGAAGTGACTGGTCCTGAGCAGCAAACAGAAAGCCCTCTGTCTCACTGTTCAGGCCAGACGACTTCATCAAAGCAAAGGACTCTCCAGGATTGCACATAAACCCGGTGCAGTGGGCGTTCAGATAGCCTCTCCTTTAAATACTGAGTCTGGGCCAACTTGATAATAATTTCTGGACAGTCCGGCAGTACAGAACAATTAACAAAATCAACACCGACATTGAGGTTATGTCCCTAATCCTTTGAAAACTGTGGAATGCCTTGTTTTCATCATGAGTCCTGACATGCTTCACAAGAGGATCATAAGACAAATAAATGTGTGCAAAAGTGCACAAAAAAATTCTATCATGAAGAGCCCCAACGTTAATCAAACCACGCCCTCCCATAATGATTGGTAAATATAAGCGATTGAGGGAAGAGTGAGGGTGGTGGGATCTATTGTCTGACATGATTTTTCGTGTGAGGGTGTCAATACCCTGAATTTCTTGTTTCGTCCAATCAACATCACCAAAAGAATACGATAGGACGGTTACATCATAAGTATTTGTGGCTTTGACTTTATTGCGAGCGTTCAGCTCTGAACTCAAGATTTTCTTAAGTCTACATTTGTACTCTGCCGGAAGTTTGTCCTTGATATAGGTATTCTGGAGTTTGTCTCTAATCTGCATCCCTAATCTGCATCCCTAAGTACGTATATGCCTGATCTTCCACAAGATGGTCAATAACTACTCCTCCAAGTAAACTGCTTGATCCTCTCTCTTCTACCTTGCAACGTTTCAAATGAAGAATGTTGCATTTGTCGAGTCCAAAGGACATCTCGATATCATTAGAAAAAGATTCGATAAGCAGAATCTGTTTTTTGAGTGTAGATCCTCCACTGGCAAAAAGTTCAAGGTCATCCATGTAAAGGAGGTGAGTAAGGGATGTTGGAGATCTGTGCTGAGGTCCAGGATGATAACCTTCCTCTTTGCTGAGCAAAAAGCTTAAAGGATTCAATGACAAGCAGAAAAGCAAACGGCTAAAAGAATCGCCCTGAAATATTCCTCTTCGAATAGAAATTGGTTTCGAAGTCACCACCTGCCCCTGCGAATACATCTCAAGTTGAGTTGACTAGCAATTCATTAAAGACTTGAGTAAAACAAGTAGTCGCACGGGGAGGTCAATACATTCCAGTGACCTCAAAATCCATACGTGTGGTACAGAATCATAAGCTTTTCTGTAGTCGATCCAATACAGCCTATTCAAGAATCATTTTCTGTACTAGTAGATCCTTACAACTCCAACATCCCTTTCTGGCTCCTTTCTGCTCCATGTAAATAATACCATTGGATGTGCAGTATGATGACACAATATCTGTAAGCATCCTGTAAATATTTTGTACTGTGTATTCAGACAAGTAATTTGGCGGAAGTTTTGGGGATCAATCAAATCACCTTACTTTGGGAGAAGTATTGTTCGACCTTTGCACAACCAAGGCTGAACATCCCCTGTATCCACAAAAGAATTAAAACAGTGAAGTAATGGTGTTTGGACACAAGGAAACAGTTTCCAAAACGGGTTTCAAAATACCTTCAGGCCCTGGCACCGTATTAGATTTAGACTTTTTAATTACATTTTTCAGGCAATCAGGTGTAATAAAAAACACAAAAATGGTGATTTTATTTTTCCGTGTCCAGAATCATTATATTCCTCTACCCATGGTTCCTCGAGGTTACAGTTGCCGGGTTTAGACCACAACTGTTTCCCAAAGTTTTCACTGGAATCCATGGTGAGTCTTTTCTCATCACTGCCATTTGGTCAATTTGGTTGCCTGTAAAATTGTTTTTCATTAGATTTAAACGATTTGTTTTTTCTTGTTCTTGTTGTTCTTGTTCTTGTTGTTCTTCTTCCTCCAAAAACGAACCTCCAACCTTCCGCTCTCCTGGCAGAAGCTCTACCACTAGACCACGGAGGCGGTCGCGTTTACATGAACAAACCCTCAAAATATGTCTGCTAATTTGAAACAATAGAAAGCACATAAACAATAAACAAAAGCAAACCAAACTAACAAATCTAAACTAGAAATGTTATTGTGTACCACGTGTGTCATTTTGGGCTTCCCTCATACATTTGAAAGTTATCAGATGCAGCCACATCATTTAATCTTACTCTTAACAAGCTCTTGTTTGTCACATGATTCATAACATAAGACAACAGATGACATATTTTGCTGCATTATTTTGGACATCAATGTGTGTGCGTGTGCATTTTTCAATACTGGAAGACCGTGAAGGACGTGATCGCCTAAACAGACTAAACGTAAGTACATTTTGAGGTGGAGGCAGATTATCATACAAAAGATATGTCTAAAGTCTTACCGTCAAATTCAAACTCGAATTCTGGTTTGGATGGCACATGCTTATACTCCGTTTCAAGCAAACCATATCCTTCACACTTGATAGCACCAACCAAGCTACAGTCAATCTGTCCTTTTCCTACAAGGTATGTTCCGTTGTCAAAAAGACAACTGACTGAAAGATTCCACAGGTCTGTAGAGGATGTTTTCGTTTGGGTTTTATTGTCCACAGTGATGGTGATATTGCCCATAATAAGCGATAGTGCGAAGACAGGATAAAATCTGCGATCACTATAGCAGGTGATGATCACGGGAATAGGGTTGGCTTCAACTGGCGTTTTGTTATATAACACAATAACCCAAGCTGTAAAGACAATATTATGATGTTATGCATCTATCGTTTGTATAACATCGTGTTATATAACAACATCGTTAATACAGTGAAGACAATGTAAGATGATCTATTATATCTAGTGTAATAGGGACCTATGGCTCACAAAATTTCATGTATACCGACACATTAATAGATACACCATAAAAACATATGATCACATACACCAATACAGTGCTATAAAACGCTAAGGTTCATACAGTAAAGATATCCTATTACGTTTATATATTAATTGTCAGCCAAACTGAATAGCACAAAAAACACACACACTGAAGATATGATATTATCAGACGCACCCACTTTGTCATATATAACAACAAAGCCCATATATATCATAATTTGTACCTACACATCGTCATAAATGAAGTTGATACTCATGAAGTGTCTAAAACTTAGCAAAGTCCACAATGTTACCACCCGTATTAGCGGATGGATGCAACCCGTTTTACTACGAGCGAGAAAAACGTTATCGGGGATATGTACTAGCAGCGCACATGTAGGTTCTCTGACTATGCCGTATTTCTAGGGAGCCTTCAGTGCCGATCACCCTAACGAATGGGTTTCTGACAGTGCACCTTCAATGCTCCACTGTGCAGTTTTAGTACCTGCTTAGATGAAAAAAATACCCACTGGCACTCCTAGAATGTAACATTATGGTTCTGAAATCATCTGTAAAGATGTTTGACATTACTAAATTATCGCCCCTGTTTAGTAAACTGCGTTGTTAACTCATGGCCAAAAGAAAGTATACAGTTATACATTGATTTTCTCCCCCAAACATCCCCCCCCCCCCCCCCCCCTAATTGAACACTTATGGGATCATCTGAAATGTCAGATCCGAATATGTCCACACCAACCAGTAAACAAGCAACAGCTTGCCGACGCTGTAAGAATTGAATGGAATCGGATTCTCAATGGCGTACATTAGTGCTCAGGGTGGTCATACTCGTTACTGAGCGAACTAGGTATCCGTTAAAGACCACAAACCTATCAAGGCAGTACCTGGTTGACTCTGAACATTCCTATGATCTGTGATCTGCCTACCCCCATGTTCATGTAAACATGATGTACACGTCACCTGTTTTGAGTTTCGCACTGACATTGTGCATGGACTATCGCATGTGACCCTATTAGCGAATACATCATCGAATAACGTTCTCTTGTTTGTGATCATTGTATTGACCATGAAACGTGTGTATACTTTCTTTTGCCCACTAGTTTATCTCTCCATCCCCTGTAAACCGATTAAATTATTGCAGAGAAACTCTTTTTAAGCTGGTATTGAATAACACTGTTAATTTTGGAAAAAAATAATTACATTTTTGTCAGAATAAGCTTGGACTTTGAGTTAGAATAGTTAGAAATCCGCAACTGTTTATAAAGTATTGGTGTCAAAGTGTAAATCTTACTTTCAAAATTGTGATGCAAAGATAATGCCTATTTTAAATTGTGGATCAGAACTTTTGGGTTATGTTAAATATGATTATATGGGAAAAGTATATGCATGTAAAGGGGGGATGTCGCTAACAATAGATACTCCTTCCTGATCCAATTTGGGCGCCTCTTCAGTCATGGTACGTTGCTTGTTCATCTCCCCGAATAACGTTCCTCTCGCTCTTTATTTGCCGTTTAACGACGCACAGCTAAATGAAGGCGGTCTGTAACTAATCGAGTCTTGACCAGACAATCCAGTGATTGACATCATGAGCATCGATCTTCGCAATTGGGATACGATGACATGCATCAACCAAGTCAGTGAGTCTGACCACCCGATCCCCGTTACTCGCCTCTTACAACAAGCATAGTCGCCTCCTACGGTAAGCATGGGTTGCTGAAGACCTATTCTTCTCAAGATCTTCACGGGTTCGCTGTTAGTAAAATGAGTACCATTGCTCGGCTACAAATAGCTGGGATAGTCCCTAGCGATCAAATAATCGTAATCAGTAAAAATGACTCAATTTCCGATTGTAGACTTAGTTAAGTTTTAGAATTCGACCTCAATACAAACATCAGTTTTAAACTTGGCAAGTCTGCTTTCAGAAACTTTTCACAACTCGAAATTAAGTTGTTTGATAATTACGGCCCCAAAATTATGCTACTATCATATATGTTGTATAGTTTATTACATAAGTCGAAAACTTACGTAGCAGGAACAATGCTCCAAGCTTCATTGGTTGCATGTTTTCTTAAAAATCCCAGATGTTTCAAGTATGGAACTTCTCAGCTAACTGATCCTCTGAAGTGGAACCTGATTCTGAAATTATAGAAACAACGTTGAAGAAACATAAAAACAAGTTGTTCATCCATATATCTCATCCTTACTTAGTACTCCAACTTCAAAGAATTTATAGAAACAACGGTGATTATTTCTTACAAGTTATTGTATTATCGCTGTTTACATGTGTTCTGATAAAGAGTCTAAGATAAATGAATAATTTTATGCTATCGTTCAAATGATGGTCGTAATTTCTTGTCAACTCAAAGCTTAGGCACTTGGCGCAATGCATCAGTTGTACGTATTAGTTATTATGGTCTCGTGACTATTCAACCCAGGCAGACATCGTAGCAACTTTGCCACAATATTGCAAATATACATCATTGTACCCATATATGCCGTAATGCATCAAACACTGTTTGTGATATATGCGTGTGTGTAGGGAGGCATGGAGACGAGCAACAAAAAGCTTTTGTGCATCGAGAGTGAAACATTTATTTACTTGCCCCGTTTTACGGCCACGTACGGGAACACGTCTACCACTGAGATTAACAGTGTTGTTTCTGACGTTGTTGGTTGTAAGCGGTGATGTTGAAACACATCCTGGTCCCAGAACCCTGACACAACCACACAGCGCAATGAATAGAATGCAGACGAGATTATCTGATACTGACGTGAGCCGACAATGTTAAACTTCTCCACAGCCAGACGGAAAGCGAAACAAGCGGCACTGACAAGCCTGAATGACAAGATCGATCGTTTTGCGAGTGATTTCAATGACCAGTTACGAGTGCCTCAATCTGAAAATCAGAGTTTATAACTGATATAATACAAATTAAGTTGGGTTTTGAGGTTAAGCAAGTGGATAAGGACACACAGAAGGCTCTGGAACAAGATGGGGGTCACTACTGAGGTGTTGAGGCAGAAAATGTGAACTTTCTGCCCAAGAGGCAAGCGAAGGGGCTCTATGTGCACCCCGGTATAAGAACACCAAACGGGTTACGTCTATGTGTACGCCTTGCAGTACTGACACTTACGTTATTGATAGCAGCTGGGGATGTGGAGTTGAACCCGGGACCACCTACACCCCAACAAAGTGACACTGTACAATCTCGTCTTTCATCCAGGAATATCAGCGGCAGCATAGAATGTGAGAGATCAACGATGCTGGAAGACCTCGCCAAAACGCTGTTCTCACTAGAGGACCAAATTACCTCCCTTGATAGGAAAGTGGATTTGTTTACATTCGACTTGGACCAGAAGATGAAGGCACTCGAGACTGAGAACAGAGATCTTAGATCCAAACTACATCATATGAACCTGGGAATGGATAACATCGAGGCACAGTCACGACGGAATAACCTCATCGTCCATGGCATTACAGAGGACAAGGGGGAAATAGAGAAATAATTATTACATATAAATTATGATTATGGTGATGAGTGTAAATAATATTATGTGGGGACTTCAATGCGAGAGTAGGACATGGAGAGGATTTTATTCGAGATGACAGTACAAATAACCTCCCTATTTCTGAAGATTGTACCAGCGACTCATTTAACCTTCCAAGGGATGTTTGTGATATAGATGTGAATACTTATGGAATTTGTCTACTTGAATTATGCAAGTTATTTGGTAATCATATTGTTAATGGTAGAATGAAGTCTGACATTCCAAGCAATTTCACTTTTGTCTCGCATCTAGGCACAAGTGTTGTAGACTATTTCCTTGTGTCAACAGACATATTCCCCAAACTGGTAGATCTCAAAGTGTGTTCAAGAACAGATTCAGACCACATCCCTCTGATCTGTACTATGTCTCACATGTTTGATAATGTGATTTCTAATACTGACCATATAACAACAGTATCACCCATTCCTAGATACAAATTAATCTATCAACATGCTTAGAAATATAAACAATTACTACAGTCTACTGATATATTTGAAGAATTTTACACAGCTTTACAAACAGATGTAAATACTGCAGTCAAGACATTGGGAGATATACTGATCCACATTGCTTGTTCTTCTTAAGTTTTTTGTACACTATTCAACAATAAATCCAGAAGTCAACCAATTGGGTTTGACCATGAATGTACTCAACTGACAAAGGAAAAATATAGGTATCTTAATTTATTCAAGCAGTTCAAATGTAATGAAAATTTGCAAAAATATGTTACAGCCAAAAGAAAATTCAAAATATGCTGTGGTCAGAAAAAACAACAATTTGATGGTAAAATAGTTGAAGATTTGAAAGATGCTGCAAAACATGGTAATTGTAAAACATTTTGGAACTCCCTTAAACGGATTTTATGTAACAAACACTCTAAATGTGCAATATCTCCCGATGCTCTTCAGTCATATTTTAAAGATTTGTGAAACTCTACTCTAATGTACTTGTAAATGAATTCATTGACAGTCACTCTTGTGATAATTGTGATAGCTTACCCTTTACAGATGAGTTGTTATCAGATATTATTACTGATGAAGAAGTAGCTGTAGCGTTAAAAAAATTAAAAATCAGGAAATCACCTGATGAAGATGGAATCCCTCCAGAATTTCAGAAACAATTCTTATTAAATACTTGGCACCTTTATTTAATAAAATATTAGATACCAGTATATTTCCTGAAGCATGGAACATTGGACTTATAATACCTATACATAAATCTGGTGTTACCTCTGACCCAAACAATTATAGAGGAATATCCCTGCTAAATGCAACTGGGAAATTATTCACGTCAATACTTGATAAAAGACTACGATCATGGATGGATATAAACGATTTAAGACATGAAGCACAAGCTGGATTCAGATCCAACTATTCAGCATTTTCACACTCAACACTCCAGGACCTTTGCACCAAATATTTAACAAAGCGAGGGGGGCGATTTTATTGTGCTTTCATTGATTTCAAGAAATCCTTTGACTTTCTGGAAAGGAAAAAAAATATTATATATGCTCTTACAAAAAGGTTGCCATGGCAAGTTGTATGATGTCTTAGCTAGTATGTATTCTGCTGTTGAGGCTTGTGTAAAAACAGACAAAGATAGAACAGATTTGTTTACAACTAGCTCTGGTGTAAGACAAGGCTGTATCTTAAGCCCACTTCTGTTTATCTGCTTTATTAATGAGCTTGTAACTGACATTTATAAAACGTGTTGTCATGGTGTGTTTGTTTCAGAAAGTATTGCAGATATTATGCTACTACTTTTTGCCGACGATGTGACTATGTTCTCATATACAGTTATTGGTCTACAAAGACAATTAGATATCTTAAGAACATTTTGCATTACCTTGGGCCTAAGTGTGAATCTTGATAAAACAAAAATAATTGTATTCCGAAACGGTGGCATTATACGAAAAAATGAAAAATGGTTCTATGGTTTTATAAATGTAAAACTTGTCACTTACTACAAGTATCTTGGAGTATTTTTCTCCTCAAGGCTAATCTAGTCAATGGCCTGTAAAAGCCTAGCATCACAGGCTTCTAAAGCCACTAGAGCCATTTATCATGCTTTCAAAAGAAATAGCTATATAACATTCGAAACAGCTTGTACAATGTTTGGTTGTAAGATTGCTCCTATATTACTTCATGGGGTTGAAATCTAGGGGGCAAAAAATTATGAACGTATAGAAAAAGTACATACGTCCTATTTTAAAAAGTATCTTTCGGAAAAAATGCCTCTAATAAAGCTATTCTTGGTGAAACTGGGCGATTAAATATTTTTGTGTTTAGCAAAATAAGGGTACTTAAATACTGGTTGAGATTGCTACGTATGAATCCATGTCGTTATAATCTACTTAAACAGTTAGATGATAATGATAAACACACCATGGGTGTCTGATGTAAGATATATTTTGTTTTCTTCAGGCTTTTCATTTGTATGGATCTCTCAACATATTGGCGATGAAAATCTATTTTTACTAAAAATAAAACAAAGGCTGAGTGATATGTATTCTCAATAGTGGCATGACTCTATTTCTTTATCAAAATATCTGTCACATTATGCAAATTTGAAATAACTTTTACAGCCAGTTTTTTTACAACAATAATCTCACGAATAAATCACTCAGGAGAGCATATTGTAAATTAAGAATATCGCTACACGGTTTTAAGGTTAACATGCTACGAAAGTCAAAACATACAAATGAAGACTTAAGTCTATATCTATGTACCCACTGTAAAGGGAGGCAATTAGAGGATGAATTTCATGTTTTGTTTATATGTTCAAAATATTCTTCTGTCAGAAACGACAATTTGCTTTGGTTATCCAATGTCCATCATGATAATCACAGTTTATGTAATCCACTCAACTCCAAAAATATCGACATTGTAAAGGCTTTGGCCTTATACTTAAATCATTTATTTAATGTGAAATAAGACTACTTGTATTTATTTTCCTGACATCACGTGACGCAGCATTTATTGTTATTGTAATTGTACTCTAGGCCACATGGCCCCAAATACTGAATAAAGAATCTTGAATCTTGATTCTTGAATCATTCTGAAAATGATATATTGAGAGATAGAGTGCAGTTCCTTGAGTCAAACAACTCAGAGGCAATGTCAGATATATGTTTGCAGCTCTTCTAGGTAATGTAAGTTCAGCGTGTGTTGGTGTATTCAACTACAAATGGTAATATTGTCCTTATTTTTGTTATATAAGTAAGTCACATGTGATCTTGGTTATGGATTTTACTAATTAATCACAATTTTAGACTCAAGATACAAGTTATTATACTAGCGAGTTTATGAAAGTTTTACATATATACTGGCACTTTTGTCAAGTTAGTAAAACTTCTTTCAATATGCTTCTACTATTCTACCTACTGTTTAGCATATTCATTATTTGATTATTTTTAGTAGTTCCTGTGGTGCTAATTAGGAGTACATATGATAGTCTTCTCCATACATTCTATTCCAGGTTGCACGTGATGTGGTAAGCAGAAACTCATGTGATGAAAGTGTGATTGCAGCTTTGAGGTCTGTGTTCTGACCAAAGAGGACATACCCTTAAGAACGTTTTATTAACTTCAGACATTACAGGAATAGGGTCCTATCATGAAATTAGCGGGTGCGTAAAATGCTACATACACTATAAGATCAGCAGGAGAGGAGTTTCAGGCATGTTTGGCTTGAGCTATGCGTGGAGAGATTTTAAGCAAGATTAGAGAAGCTAATATGTTTCTCTATTTAGGTTAATGGGAGATTATTACAGTGCTTACATATATTGCAGTGTGTATGCAGATGACGGTGTATGCTTGTATAGTGGATGCATCATTCACGCCACAAACACATTTTCGAAAAAACACTACCATTGTGGATTCTAAGTCAGATGCAGAAGCAATTTTCAATGTCAATGAAAAGTGTTTCAGAGAGGAAAGCCTTGATATCAGTAAAGTGAAAGGGTTTAGATCAGATGGAGCCTCTGTGATGGTTGGAAGACACCATGAAGTTGCTACAAGAGTCACGGATACGTCCCCCACAGTGTTGGCAGTTAATCGTGCAACATCCCAAGCTTCAAAGAACATATCATTCATGATGGACTCTTAGAAGACTCTCAGTGACCTGTACAACTTCCCTGGAAGAAGCCAATCTGGACACAGAAAATGTGATTTGAACGAAATTCAAAGAATCCTGCATGATGAGAATGTCAAAATGAAAGAATGCCATGGAATTGCGATCTATGAGGCTGTCAATGTAGTGTATAAGTACCGTGCCTCTTTAGTGACTTAATGTAAGAGACATGATGATTAAAGGTCTAAAGTTTCACAGTTTCACTGATGGACATGCTGCCATCTGTGGTACAGATGTCAATGGTGTTACAGATGCTGCTGATGGACAGAATAAAGTTGGCACCCACTACCAAGCTGAGTTTAAGTAAAATTCAAAAGAAAGTGAATGATGATGAAATATAGGAAATAGTCTACAAGTTGGACTTTGGTAATTTGAAGAAAACTCCTAAGGCAGTTCATGAAATAGGAGTGAAGTTCTGTAACAACGAGAAGTACAGATAATAGATTCCTCAAGAACCTACCAGTGTTTCTTCAGCTTTACGTGTCTTTGGCTTGACAAGTGGGTATGTAATGCATGGGGACGGCACAAAGTTGGTAGATACTCTCGAGGCTTATCAGTCTCTATTCGGAGGGATATCTCTTCTTGCTTTCAAAGAATCTACAGCCACTGGAATAAATGTATCTTCTTTAAAGCAGTTATATTATTATTTTAGGTAGAAACTCACGAGCAAAAGAGAGGAACGGGTCAAAGAAAAGATCAAGAGAGTGCTCTCCATTCAAAGGTAAAAATATGACATAATTATTTTTTTTGAAATTCTGAAAAATTGGTTACTTTGGTTGGGTTGAGTACTTAGGAACGAGGCTTGCTTTCAAAGAATCTACAGCCACTGGGATAAATGTATCTTCATTAAAGTTACAAAAACCAAGCAAGTTTATATTTTTTTGGTGACTTTTATGCAATTACGGCGAGTGAACCTGACTTTATTTTTAATGACGGATCTGATTATCTCCCGGTTGGTTCTGATGAAGTTTCTTTTCTCCAATAACAGGGCTTGATCTCCAATGGCCAGCAGTGGTTTATTCGCAGTGGTTTATTCGCAGTGGTTTATTTTTATTTATGCAATCTGATTGTCTGGCTGAGAGTGGAGAGCTGTGTCATCGTGTTTTGATTGGCTGTCTAAAAATTATTGCTGGCACTATTTTCGAATCGGGGATTCCCGAGGTCGTCTGGTGCAGGGAATACTCAGCTGTCAAAACATTAGGCCCCACCGTAGTGACGATGTTTTAATCTCCAAAAGTTGGTGATCAAGTGAAAATGTGTGGGGGAGGAAGGGGTGTGATATGTAGAGATGTATCAGAGAATTTCAGCTTCCCAATGTTCGAGATACAGTCGCAGAATGGGAAGACGGTGACTGGAGCGAGATACCGCTTTGATATAAGGGACCAGGTGAGCCACTCCGGTAGATTCTTTATTGGGCGTTTTCAATGCTAATAAAACAGCTAATGAAACAGTCAATTAATTTATGTAAAAATACTGATAAACTACATATTGTTTTTGGTATTTAAAAAAAATAACCATCAAATACATAAGCAATGTCACGTTATAAACGAAGTGTTGATCTAGAGCCGATCGATCGTTTGTGTAACCCGGCGTCCAAAACATAGCAGTTGTCTCCCCTTACAACAGGTAGAGTTTATCCAGATCAATATAATTCATTTATTTTGGCCTTTTTTTTAACTTGAAGACTTCATTTATTTAAACATACTATTTCTGGAAAATTTTGAAGCTCCTTTAGAAAACAAACAAACAACATAACCATATTTAAACTTGAATGTATTAAGTTATAAGTACCTTGATCTATGAAAACTCAAGAAAGTAATATATGTATTATTTTTTTTCTTAACTATTTTGATTTCTTATAGGAAGCAGTTATATTATTATTTTAGGTAGAAACTCAAGAGCTAAAGAAAGGAACGGATCAAAGAAAAGATCAAGAGAGTGCTCTCCATTCAAAGATAAAAATATGACATAATTATTTTTTTTGAAATTCTGAAAAATTGGTTACTTTGGTTGGGTTGGGTACTTAGGAACGAGGCTTGCCGAGTCCCTAACCATGACCTATCACAAGTATAAATATATACAATAAAATATACACATATAAATCATAAGTAAATCCAATATACATACAGTATTAACAGATTTTCAATCCATTTAGGTTAATCATATTTGATAATCATCATTTTGCAGAAATTAAAGTTACTGTCAAAGTCAATGCTGTTGAGTATCTAAATCGATGAATAACTGTTTTTAAATCTAATGTTTATTTGTAGATGTTAGACTAGATGCTTCAGATGATGAGTTTGATGAAGAGTTCAACAACTGGATGTCATCTAGCAAGGAGGAAATACAGCAATTCATCAAGGCACAAGAAAATAAGAACACAGCCAAGGAAACTAATTCCAACATGACAACACTTGTCAAGTGGTTAGAGAAAAATAGAGGAGAAACAAGACCCCTTCAATCCATCCCTCCACACAGACTTAACAGTCACCTTTGCAAGTTTTTTACGGATGCCAGGAAAAGTAACGGTGAAAACTATGAACCATCATCCCTTAAAGGTAAAATTACGCACTTTAGAAACATTATTAAAGTAATATCCAATATTATAAAAACATGGGTCTCAGATTGGCAAGTTTTCACTATAACATTTCCAGGTGTTAACAAACATGATAAAGAAATTGAAGTTTAATATTTTGATAAACATCCACATCATTCAATAACTGTCATTCTGATAGCAATGTACAGTATATATTCCAAAACTAGGAACAATCTTATTGATAGTCTAATAGATGGCACATAATATTTGAACATCTTAAATTTCAAAGTAATTATTCAAATCTAAATATAAATGTATTGTTATGATGATTTTAAGTTTGATTTATTCTACATTAGGATAATGCACTTAATATCACATTATTATTTTATGAAGCATGCTTATCTTCAAGTTTTTAAAGACATTTTACTTACAGGAATGTTATCATCATTCAACCGACATCTGAGGGAACATAATTACACCTTCTGTCTCATTAGGAGCGAGGAGTTCTCCCAGCTTAATATGGTCATTGCTTCCAAACAAATGGAACTGAACAGAAGTGGGAGAGGAAACACCTGGTAAAGCGGAATGCCTCAGAGAGAATGAAGTCGACAGGCTTTACTCATCAGGTAAATCCATGTTATGATAAATTTATTAAGCTCTTAACATCCAAATATCCTTTGACAATTAATTCGTTGCCATGAAAAATATATGAAAACAGCTAAAACTTTTGTAACGAGCAAAATGGTGCTCTTCACATGTATTTTATAAAAGGTCTGTATGTAATGTATAATGGGCCGGTGTTCTCTTTACTGATATAAAGTCTCCCTCCCTCCCTCAGGTCAACTGGGATCACACACACCGGAGGCGCTCCTGCACACTGTATGGTTTAACAATACCATATACTTTGTATGAGAGGAGTGCAAGAGCACCATGATATGAAGTGGGGCGATTTGAAACTGAAGCAGGACGGTAATGGCGACGATTATGTCGCCTTCTGTGAGCGATCTACAAAAACAAGAGGTGGAGCAGATCCAAATAATATCAGGTAAGGAAAATAAATTTGGTGATGATTTGTTAGTATGAATATTATATAAATACAACTTAATGCGCAACAAAACCAAAATATTCAATTGTTTGAAATATACTTAAATAAAATTGATTTTACTGTAATTTGAAATCATCTTCTGGTAGGTTTTATGGCCCGAAGAAATGTAACTCATATGAATTATAATGAGTGACCTTACACTAATAAATCTTTAATTAATCAGTAAAATAGATCATCAATGATGTGAAAGATACTTCAACTATTTCTATCTATCATGTATTTGGCTTACAGACAAGTTGAGCCAAAGATGTGGGCTACCAAGGAGAACCAAGAACGTTGTCCTGTAAGGATAGTCAAAAAGTATTCAGAATTGAGGCCAACACACTACATGAAGGAAACTGATCTCTTTTATACAGCAGCTTGTACAGACATGAATAAGTCCAAGAAGTGGTTCAGGGGACAGCAAGTAGGGATCAACAAGTTGGGTTCCCTCGTGAAATCTATGGCAAAAGCAGCAGGTAATTTATGTTTTCCATCTATATGATCTAAATATCAATATCATAAGAGAAAATGTAAGTTGTTCATATCAATACATGAGAATGTTTACACTACAGTGATGCTAACTTGATTTAATTACTAAATGTAGATTTGATATAACAAATGTAATACATTTTTCCAATAAACCATTATGATTCTGGATTGACAGATGGAGGACCACAAGCCAAAAGGTTGACCAACCATAGTCCGAGAAAATATGTTGTTCAAAAGTTGTGCGAAGCTGGTGTTCCTAGCAACCAAGTGATGCAGGTGAGGAGCTTCACTAAATGTTAAATCCATTAATATTCAAAGTTAAATAATCAAATTTAAAGTTTGAAAACTTTTAAAGATCTGTGCAACTTATTTATGTCCTCGTTCTAATCGTGGCAGATTAATCACTTGTGTTACCGGGTCGCTAGTATCTTTAGATAATAATGGCAAACATACATCAGAACAGAATTATTTTCCTGTAGTTTTTCCTATGTTTTGATTGCCCAAAATGTTGTAATAAGGGGATAAGTCATAATTTATTTCTGCCTTTATACAAAGACTCAATGATATTTTTGTTCAAGGCTGGTCGAAAAATATTAGATCCTCTCGCGATCTTTCACATTATGCTTCCATTCTACGAGTGATGTCTTAGTTTAGAATCTCTTTCACATTGTTTAAAAATACAAGGTATTAGGAACAACAAAGACATAGACTATTCAAATATTATTTGCACATTATTATTGTAAATATGGGTCCATTGAAGACGAGTTCCATGTTCTGATTTTCTGCGATGCCTTTGCTTCCCAAAGAAAGAAGGCAAATGCATACATACATCACCAAGTCATGCACAATATTCTTAACTCATGTCATGTAAATACTATTAGGTCAGTAGCCATCTTTATCAAACACATTTTCTATAAGAAGTGTAACAGTTGGTAAATTAGCAAATGTCCTGTCAGTCACCTGTTTAGCAACTTTATTTTGTTAATTGAATTGCCCTCTGGGCCATAATGTCGAAATACTGAATACATTCGTCTGTCTGTCAGTTGTATTAAGTATCTAAGTCTGACTTCCACAGGAAATATTTCTTGCGTGAGATGACACAATCATTCAGTTAAACCTCTCAGCAAATAAACATATTTAACAATTATTTTGATATTCCTGGAGTTAGCGCTATTTCCTTTTACGTACGCTTCTTACACTCTCACTCTTACACCTATCTCGAGCACACACCTGGGGTGTGAAGTGGACACCTTCACAATGTAATGTTTTTGTCACAACACAGCCGAGGGAAGACCTCTTTGCTCCCTCGACGACTGGACATCAATTGATATTGATGCCATTATTACTTATCAAAAGACACCATGACACCAAGACTAGGTAGTAACCTTAGAACTCACATTTCTGTGCCAGGTCTTCTTGATTTTATTCCGTTGACTGGGTCAATTCGTCATCCTCGCAATCTCGCATCCTCGTTTAACACCGCGATACCTCGCGAGATCTCGTTCTGACATATGACCTTATACAGCTGGAACCTTCCAAGGAACAGCAAATTTATCAATTAAGTAATGCATGCATGCATACGATCTCGGTATATATTTCTCTCTGAAATTGATTTTGAAAGTTGACCTGTCAGTAGTACATTCCTTAGCCGTCGTTAAATAAGCTGAATGCGGCGCAATACAAATCTATCAGGCTATTGAAGATGCATGCATATGCCACATGCTGAGTGACTGAATAGCTAATGTATCGCTTTACGGCAATTCATGCCGTACACACGCCCTGCTTTTGTGAACACACACCCATGGCTACACAAACACAAAAGGCAGTGAATGCTCCAACATTCCAATTGTGTTAACTGCATTTTTATCGCTTTGCGAACACTCTGAAAGGTTTGACACTACTGCTTGTTCCCATTTAATCCATTACCAGGAAAACTACGACTTCTCGGAAATCAGGTGTATAGAGGCGTAACTTTTAGTTTCTCGAACAATCTATGAACATCGCGTCAAGTATATACGTGTACATGAACATCATGAAACACCAGATGGCACACCGAGAGCGTGTGTGTGTGTATGTGTTTATGTCTGTGTGTTTACATCCACATATATAACTAATAGACAACAGTGACCATGATCATGCTGTGAGTTCTGCTAGTTTGGTTCTGAAGAAGCATATAATCAAAACCTTATTAAAGATTAAAGAAATCTACATATTACTTTGATGAATAAATTTCTTTCCAAATACCTTTCTAAAATATAAATTTTATCTGAATAATGTTTTTGTTCTTTACACGGGTCGTGGTGAAATGTCTTGTTATTTTCATTCTCCATCAAATTTGTACAATAGTCTTGATAGTGATTCATTGACAAATGCTTTTGAAACAGTATGAAACATCTTTTTTGTCACCTTTATCTTCATAAAAGGAAATAGCGAGGCGCGACGTTTCATTTTTACCCAAGTATGCATTACATCTCTGTGTGTTGTTTCGTACATAATTAGAAAGTCATGTAGACCATTTCGTCATTATTATTTTTCATGATCAGTTAATTATATGATCACATTTAATTTTCACTCAAGTCTGTAGAGTTGAAGGTTCCTTAAAATTGACATTGATATATCTCTCTCATTGAATACGTCTCTTTGAGAATTGATTAAAAAAGGGGAATATAGGTTTGGTGAAAGGTTTAGGGAAGTCTAAAGAGCCATTCAACAATAAAAAACACAAGATTATTTCCATTATCATAAGAATAAGAGTTATAAGCAATTGTTTAGTAATCACTATCAAATAGTGAAACATGTGCATCTCACACTTAATTTTCAACATAATACGTGAATAAGAATCTTCTGAGAAGCCATAGGAAGAAATTCGCATAATCCATCAGTACATACTATCAACTCTTGACTTGACTCTAAAACCCGAAGACTTGTCAATTCCACCAATGAACTTGCTTCCAAAGCACCATAAGATCCGCACAGAGAGAGATATATTGCTGGAACCAGCAAATGTACCGTCAAACCCCTTTGGCAAGCTTAAAATCAAGGAAGGACTTTCTTTGTAGTCGGAGAAAGTATTTGACACAAATGGAGTTAATACAAAGTGGATACCCGTGTTTTTCAGTTGAACAATTGACTTGCCTTTGCATGTGTTTGTGGCAGGTGGCACCGATGGGGCATGGTACGCTCCCCCTTTCGCGAACACCTGGTATCATTACTATCTGATAGTGATTAATAATCACATGCTCGTCATGTAGTCGGAATCGTACAATGGACTCTGCTTTTAGCAGTTATTTCTTATGATTATGGAGATGTATTTCAAGGTCATAATTCTATAACCTGGAGTTTCAATAAAAATTAATCAGGAAAAAACAAGACACTTTCTTATAATTTCTTATAATCTTTTATTGTTACAGGCATCATCACTGTTTATACTGTTACATATATCGAATATATAGAAAGACAAAGAAAAGTTATTTCTTTCAGACACTCATTCATACTCACATCCACACACTTTCTGCACTAAACCACAAAAAATAAATGAAATGGAAAAGCATCACCGTAGGCGGTCACATCACGTGTTGTCTTCACTAGTTTGTGAACACATCAGGGGTTTGTACATATTTCCTGTAATCACTTTATGTTCTGTGTTAAACAATTTAGGACAATTCGATTGGTGTAGGTTGTCCTTGTTCCTGGTGTGATCTTCCTTATTCGGAGAGTGTCTTCTGTTACCTTTACATAATAAATAAAATATGTGTTTTAATTATTGCTATTGTTATAATCATTATCATTATAATAATAAGAATACCCTTGAAATATTTCCCCAATATTTTAAAACATGTATTCAACACAAACAATAAGACTGGTGGAAAGATGAGAATTGAGCAACACTGTAGCATGAATACCACAAGAATGTGTTCTTAGATACTCGCTACGTACATAACATACCTATGGTCTTCCAATATTTCTGTAGGATTACCACCAAAATCACTTCACACGCGAGGCAGGTAAGCATGATCATAAACTGGAGCCACGACATGCCGTCCCCTTCTAAATAAATGAAAAAGACAACTCAGATTGTAATAATCAGTTGGCCATCACGCTCCAACTTTGTTTTTTTACATTATAATAATTGGAACTGTCCATGCAAATAAAAGCAAGATAGCAAAATGTATATTGGCGAAAGGCACAAATGGCTCTACATGTAAATTCAGTCAGACATTTTCCTTACAAAAATGCATAACCTAGTCAGGTGAGTTAAATATTTATAAAAGGTATACCGGATATTGTGTTGTGCTCTTCAGGAAATTCACCAATCCTAAAATAGTCTTTATTTGCCTCTTCAAAAAATGTCGTGGATCTTGGATCTGCACACATGGATATAAACATTTATGAAATAGCATATTGTAAAGATTATACTACTTTTAATAGAAATTATTCTAAACCTACGAAACCATTTCCATGTTCATAAAAAAAATCTCTGCTGTCGATTGTAAGATTCCGACTATATCATGAGCAGGTGTTTATGAATCAAATAGTGATGACACCAGGTGTTCGTGAAAAGGGCAGAGTATCCTGCCCCACCAGTGGCACCCGTCACAAACATATGCAAAGGCAGGTCAATTGCTGACCCGACAAAACACGGGAATATATGGTATAAGTCAATATAGGAAATTGCATCAGACATAACTTTTATGACTGATGCTTCAAATTTAAAAAAATGTTTTGAAAGCTTTACTGAGGCCTTGAATGTTATAACCTTGATCAAACAACTTGCCATATAATGTTGCAGTAGTGTTTACTCACACTAAATCTTTCTGCATAGGTCTTAATATGAATCAGATGAAGCGGTCTCCCTGATATTTCTAGCTCAGGTGGGAATTGGCTATTTGCTGGTTATTGAACGATATCAGATCATCGACATACCTGAAGCATAAGTGAAATATCTTGGCCAAATTACCCTTTTTGATGTTGCAATCCCAGCAGAAATTCATGCTGCATTAAGCATAAAGGTCCGACCGATAATATGTGGATTTAAAGTGAAGTGTCTGTGCCCGAACAACATTTCCATTTTAGGCATATGCGAAGCATCGCTGAACCCAGCACAGTGATGCAATATTTACAGAATAACATGGGTACCTGTAGTGGGAAGTTCTCCTGTAACATCAATTCGAACGCTCCTTGAGAAATTCTTTAGTCGACAGATCAAAGATGAGCTCTTCGTAACGTGATGCAGGAGAACGCTTGAACAATTGAACATCTCGCCTTCTGAGGCACATTCTTCTCGGGACCTGACAACTGTGTCATTATCTGCTGAGGACCAGATCCAACCTGATGTTTCATGTTTCATCAGCATGAAGCATGTTACTCTCACCAGGTCCCCGGGTCGGTGTTTGTGTCTTGGGTGAACGAGGCTGTCCATGAATGGACATACGTTACCTGAAACATTATATCTTTAGTCATTAACGCCATCCGTACATTCAGAGAGAGAGAGGGAGAGAGAGAGAGAGAGAGAGAGAGAGAGAGAGAGAGAGAGAGTGAGAGAGAGAGAGGGCTCGAGAATGAGAGAGAGAGAGGGAGAGAGAATGAGAGAGAGATAGAGAGAGAGAGAGGGAGAGAATAGTGAGAGAGAGAGGGAGAGAGAATGAGAGAGAGATAGAGAGAGAGAGGGAGAGAGAATAGTGAGAGAGAGAGAGAGAGAGGGAGAGAGAGAAAGAGAGGGAGAGAGAGAGAGAGAGAGAGAGAGAGTTGTTGTACGAGCTATCACAGTACACCTTTCATCTTCAGATATACTCTGACGGATCCAGAGTTCATGCTGGAGTGTTGTGTTCTGACGGCCATAATGCACGAGTAATCACCAATGTCATCACAAGTCACATCGGGCAATGTTAGCTGCAAGTAGGCTTCTGGCGTTGTGAGTGACGAATTCACCACAGCTATGTCCTTCAATCTTTTATCATACATCTGAGTCTTGCGGTCTGTAAATGCCACAGCAAGCGTAGTCTCCTTTCTTCTGATCATGATAGAATATACCCTTACAACTTCTGAGAAGAGCAAATTAAGTCTACACCGGATTCTGACAGGTACAACATTAGTAGGCGTGATCACTTCCGGGTTTACCGTTAAGTCTATGGTACAATCTGAAACAAAGTTGGTTCTATGATAAGATTGAAACATCAACATTCGACACAATGCAAAGATAACCTCCTTCAAAGTGATTTACACAACAATAACCTTTGACTACATATTGAGGCAAGTTTCCTTACAAGCATGAACACAGTGTCGTCAATTATGTCCGCATAGTAATAGTATTAAAGCAGCACACTGCACCTTTGAACGCTCCACTACGTCACCTCCATAATCATGTTGTCACGGTGATACGCAGTCTACTCATTCACACCAGAAACGGGGGCACGGGTGGCCCAGTCGTCTAAGGCGCCGCGATTCGCTGTGCAGAGTTGCGTCCCTTGGGCACGCCAGAAACCTATGATTGTGGGTTCGAATCCCGGTTCGCCCCGATTATGTTTCTAGGTTTGTCAGCACCATACCCGTGCTCGTGGGTTTCACCGAAGTGGTAAACGTCTGAGACCTGCATCACTTCGGGCTTTCCTCCCACATTAAGCTGACACGCCGTGATATAACTGGAATAATGTTAAAAGCGGCGTTAAACCCAACTCTCACTCACTCACTCACACCAGAAAAAGGTTTGCTGCATCATGCAACACATTCTCAAGGATTCATGTTCAAATGATTAACGCACTGCAAAACCGAAAATAGCTTTCATTTGCATGGAAATATTGAGACAAAATACATATTAAAAAACAACACAACACTGCTAGATATAACAATGGGATACTAGTATACCTAAACTACTTACATGTCAGCTGGACGAGGATTACACATACCAAGCACACCATAAGTCGTCCCATATTGAAGCTCTATGTTTACGTTGCTGCTCTCGTCGTTGGATGCTTTGTATGAGTGCGCAGTACATTTCCGCGCAGCTAGCAATCTTTTTTTACCTTGTGTGTCATACTTCAAATAATTTGAATGGGCGCAATATGCCTGACGGGCGGAATGACAATAACAGAAAATACGAGTGTGCATTTATGAGTGCATCTTGATATGCTCTAGGCCTACACAGAAATGAGTCGAAGTATTTTTCTCTAGAGAGAGCCACACACACACACACACACACACACACACACACACACACACACACACACACACACGGTTATGAATACTGAAACTGGTCGTAACAAAATATTGATCATTTATGTTTTCTTTCCGGCTATGTGTCATGATATAGTTCCCCAGACAATTGTACCCCGCTGCATATCCCAGCTTACAACGCGTAGTGTACATTTCCAGTACAAGCAGCGAAATGATTTTGTTACCTCGGATGATACTTTTTGCGTTATTGGGTCGATGCTGTGGTAAGTTTTACCTATTGGCACCAGAGTCTGTTGGTCACGGCGATTGGAACAGTATTTTTGACAGATCATGTTGTGTAAACTTGATGTGCGTTTGTTTAATTTAGTGTTGCTAGACACAACGTTGTATGCAGACAAATACACAATTACATAATATTTGAAATATTATGCCGTGTGTTTCATGGCACACCTTGTATAATGTATATATGCCTAGTATTATAATATGGATATAATGGTAAATATATAACGTCAACACCAGAGAATAACCAGTCTCGATTATCCGCCTAAACAGATTCCATTGGAAGTAAAAGACAAAACTGAGGTTAAAATTATATGGACGGCGTTATATGGAATTATATTGTAGAATCGATAGGATTACATGTATGTAATGGAATTAAAGGAATGATGTGAACTTCCTCATTATTGTCAGCATAATAAGATCTGAGTACATCACGTCCATTGTAATACAAATGTAACTCTCGGCCGTTGGCTAACACTTACGAAATGAACCGAATTGAATATATTCATTCCATTAATTCCATAATATGATTCCTTATCTTTCCTTTTATTTGTGATGTCATATAAATGGATTTCATGTAATGCCTGCAATGCTCATTACAACAATATAACATGTTTCTTATTGATATTACAAGTACATTGTCATGATTCAACTTCATTCCTTTTATGCCAGGATGCCATATTCAACTTGATATCCTGCCGAAAACAATTCGTCTTGAAAGTTCACGCCACGTGACTCTACGATGTAGCCGGATACTCGCGAGAACGGAGACGGTCTACTCTATAATGCTTAAAAAAGGAGAGGCGACCGTTGTTGTTTTATTGCCGGAAAGAATTAAAGATTTGACGGAAGGAAAGTATAACATCACTGGGTCCGTGACAACAATATCTTCATCCGCTGTTTTCCTCCAACTATTCCTGGATAAAGTCACGTGTCTTGACAGGGGAAATTACTCTTGCATCATGGCAGTAAACACTTTGGGTATAGCTACGACTATGGAACCGGTTTCATCTCGTTTGGAAATCAAAGGTCAGTGTTCCCATTGCTGTCTCTGATTATGTGTTTGATCGCATTGGTATTTTCCTTGCTATAAGGTTTGAATACATCTTGGTACTGGTAACAAACACACCCAATGTAACGGAGTTAGGCCTACGTGTGTAGTGCAAGTAGCCTCTGTTCTGCACCGGTGTTATTAAAGCTATCGAATGTATTTAACATCCTATTAATATTGCTGGTATGTACCGAATATCGCATTGAGACATTACAGAACAGCAAAAAAAATGTTTTTTTATGACTACGACATAACAATTCCTTCGTAAAACATGACTTCCAAACCCTTAATGGACGAACCGTCATGATAATACATATCTATATACACAATAATAATCTGTCATGTGATTATAAATACTCAAAGACACATGCATGAAAGTGAAACTTCCATTTCCGTCCAGGTGAACCCAGGGGCATGTTCCTCATCCTGACACCGGACACGCCGGCCTACACTGACGGGGAAGTGGTTAACATCACTTGCTATGTGCTCCTGAACTCACATCAAGCCTTCTGGTCGTGGTCTGCGCCAAATGAAAACGAGCACACAGAACTGAACAACTGCACATACAACGAATCTGAATGTATATACATGTGTATTAGTTCAGTGTTATACACTGTAACCATGCAAGGCTCAGGAAGTCGTATCACATGTCAAACTGGAGGATTCGTAAAACATATAACATTAAACCTATCAAACCCTCATGGCGTGAACGGTAAGGAACCGACCTGATATATGGGTGGGGTTGGGGGTGTGTGGGGGTGGAGGGGGGGGGGGGGGAGTGGGGGGGGGGGGAGTGTGTTGTGTGGGTGTTGGTGTGGGTAGGGGTTGGATATTATTTTCAGCTACACTGCATAACCAGCTGTAATTAAAAATTTGAGCCAAAATATTTTTTCCTAAATAAACTTTTGCAACAATTGCATTTTTGTGGTACACAATTTCTTTTTTTCAACAATTTGAAGCATTATTATTTGTCAAGAATGCTTGGGCACAATGTTTTTTCTCACATCATCGTACATTCTAGTGTTTATTACTTATGTTTACTTTAACAGAAAGAGAAGGGATAGGAATGATGGTACTATATGTTCCTTTGTCGGCGTTTATTTTCAGCTACAGCTGCAAAAACTAATATTGGTAAATATAACTATGATCCAAAGTATTATTATAATAAAACACATTGCAGCAAGGTCATTCTTGGTGGTGGACAATTCCCTTTATTCCAACAATATGAAGCAAAATTTTTTGCCACAAGAAATTATTTGTTTCAATAAAATCCAAATATATAATAGGTATGGATAACTCCAATCAATATATTGAGAATGGAACACGTTGTGCACTTTGCAGTTTATACACTTTCAGGCGTGCCAATGAATAAAACAACCAATGTTCCGTTGACCGACATGACACTTGCCTCCTCGGGGAACACCACGCCACCAGGTAGGTTGAAGAATACCGCATATGTATCTTGAGCAGTCACTCCCCAATTCAGCCTAGATAACTTTTGAATCTGATTCTTCAAAATATCCTGAGTAAAATATATCAACATTAATTCTGTTTTCGTACAATTTATACCTGAATTGACTGATGTTGTTTGGTAGGACCATTGAGATCTTTGTCTAAAGCTGTCAATGTTAATTTCACGCAGATACATACAATGTAAATTCGTAAGATATATACCCCTATGTAGCATCATCGTACATTCTAATGTCTATTACTGTTAACTTTAACAGAAAGAGGAGGGATAGGAATGATGGTGCTATATGTTCTTGTGTTGGCGTTTGCTGTTGCCCTGGTATTCACGCTACTCTATCTCTTCTTATCAGGTAAATTTGTTTCATAGTGTCTTTTCATTGTAAATCCTGGATACACAATCTGCAGTCAACTCTATTTCAATGTTGATAAAATGGTTTCTTACATCTAGAAAATACGATGATCATCGACATGATCCAAGAACAGTAGTTAAACATGTTGAGCGTAAACACTTTACATTGAAACCATACTTCTTGATATGCCGTTTGGAATTCTGGAGCAGCCTGGAATTCTTTTGAAAGATACATAACTACAAATCTTAATTGGGCCTGTTTGTGGAAAAAATAGTAAGTGTTCTCTGGAAATGCAGTATGTCTTGAAAAAAGTATATTATGTAACGCTACACTTTGGTTAAGAGCAATGGTACATGCACATCAAACATCCTTGCCTTAATGGTAGTGATTATCACGGTGACTTGAAATAACAACTTGTTCGCTTTTATTTCTAGATCGGAAATGTAAATGTCACAACCATCCTTCAAAGAACTCTCACTTTTCGAAAGGAGGTGAAAGGGCCCGTACCGACCGTACAAGACCGAGAGTAATGGTCATTCAACCCCGAAACAGAACTCGTCCACTTCCTAACCAGCACAGAGGATATGATGAAACAGGATGTCATGAAACTGCCTATCTTCATCCTCAACACTCTGCAGACAGCAGCGTGTCACAGAATATTGAACCTGTATACGATGAGATTGATTAGACAAGAACAGTGTTAATAGTGTGTACATATTCCAACAAATACATTTAAGCTGTCAACATGGTTGTTACCTAAGCACATATGTCGTTGGCGAGTGGGTGAAGAAAACGCGGCTGTAACGTTTACAATCCCGATACAAGTAGAAATTGGTCTCAACACGTAGTGGTTCTCCACATTAGAGTTTTCTTGTTCTCAATTTTGACATGTGCCACACGGTATTCATACATGTTTTAACAAAAGGAGAGTCGCAGGTGTTTAGATATCGCCCTTGTACTCTTTTTACAAAATTGCTCAGGAATAGTGTCATTCGTTCATTGATTAATATATACTGCTAAAAAGATGCTAAAAGGAACACCCAATTCATTTATATGACTACAGTTAATCTGTCATGCCACGACAGATTAAACATAGTCATATGAATGAATCGGGTCCTGTTCTTCTACTTCTCTTTTATAACCGTGCGCAGGGGTTATATAAGAGAGCTAACTATGCAAACGCATTCATTGCTATACCAACCAAATGACCCGTTTACAGCTGTTTGAAATAAAATGTCAGCTACCAGGATCTTAAACTCGTTGCCGCATAATGCGATAAGGCTACCTGTACCTTTGATGGCAAACTGAGTTTATACTTAACATACGCCTTATCGTCCTTTGTACGATGTCCAATAGATTGCAGTCGTCTGGATGAAAAACCCATAAAAAGGATCACGTCAAGTTATCTAATCGTCTGTCTGTTCAGTGGTATTCAGACCGGGTCCTGTCTCGACTGATATTTGAGTCGGTTTCACATGTAACCTGCAGGATGCATGTAGTCAGGCTTGAGTTATCTCCCATTACACTATGAAACACTGAGTGCGTTCGATTGTGAAAATTTGAGTGACTTCAGTCAACCGAGGTTACCAGGGTTGACTAGAGTTAACCTGGGTTAACTATTGTTAGTCAAGGATAACTGGGGGTAGTATACGAAATAGAACGCGTAAAATGCAACCTTAGAAATAATAACGGCTTCCAGGAGACGGAGATACACAACAACCATCTACTATAACACACAACTATGAGAAGTTAACAAGCGTTTACTTTCTTTACAAAGCTGTCATTGTATCTTGTCTATTGAATACATGTGTAGCCGGGCGTGGTAAGGTATGTCTAGCCACTGAGCTGCTTGGATTATGAAAACGTTTATTCTTTGTTTTTATCAGATGATAGGAGGGAAGCTTGAAATAGGGGAACCTCCCAGCAAAAGCGTTCATGCCGAATGCATGAGGAGAGCAGGATGTCAAGATGTTACATAGTGATATGGAGTGGTGGAAGTGACCTATGATATTTGCATCTCTATCCGCATATGACCCCAACGGATATCGTTTTCATCCGTTGGCTTTATCCTGCCGAGAAACCTACCTATTGTATGATAAACAATCAATACCTTCTTCATTATATAACGCATTTTCTTTACCGATGACGTCACCTGGAGGCTGCTAACCAGAGTACCACACCCAGGGGTCCAGTTGGTATGGGCAACCTAGGTCAACCGAAGTAGGACGTATATGAGTTGTGCTAAGGTTAATTTGGGTTATACCTTGGTCACGGGGATTCACCTGGATCGTCCAGGGTTTTCAAATCGAACCACTGCTCGTCACACGTCCATTGTATTGTTTAATCCCATATTTGAAATCAAACTAATTGTTTAATTACAGTACACACTATCCAAACTTCAATACTTAACATCAATCAATTAGGCTACAATAAAACACTCCCCATCTTTAGATGCATCAACCATAACGGCTTCTACCCCTATAGTTCGAATCCAAGTATATCCCTTTAACACAATGACCCATTGTTATATAGAGAATCTCACCCGAGTGTCTTTTGATATCAAATATATCAACACGAGTTGATAAAAGGGGAAGAATTCCGAGGCTTGCCGAGGATTTTTGCCACTTTTATCAACGAGTGTTGATATATTTGATATCAAAAGACACGAGGGTGAGATTTTATGTATCATCCAACATCATTCTTTCAACTTTTTCAATTTGTAGACAGTAATTAGCAGTGTCTTCAGTGTAAAAAGTACTGAAAAACGGCTTCAGTAGCAGAGCTATTAGTGATGTCATTTGATTGTGACGTCATGGTAACCAGTGACGTCACAATGGTCTGCAAAGCATTGTGATGTAATTTCATTGCAGCGATATCTACAGTGTAGATATCGCTTGATCTCATCCAAGCAATATCTCCTGTGGGAGCCAGTTTTGGATGATAAAAATATATATGTAACCATGTATACGTGTGTATGTGTATGCGTGTGCGATACTGTATATATGTACATGGGTACGCGCGCGCGCGCGCGTGTGTGTGTGTGTGTGTTATTCTAACTACTTGTATATAATTTCTCTGCACTGTACATTTATTCTGCACCATTATCATTCACAAATGACAATGTAATGAAATGTATGTGGGAGAAGGCCTCGTAAGTGTGTCACTTGAGCCTAATCCATTTGATTTCTTGCAATAAAATATGTTTAAATCAAACCAACTGTTGGCATTAGATGGTCATTTAGTAAACATTAAGTAAACAAATATGTTTTCTTTTCCAATTTTAAAACCTCGATACATTTTCTTAACATTTATGATTTTTAACAGCTGTTAGATCACCCTATTATATTTGTCTGATAATTTCATAGGTTACGAGCATGTAAATTTGCAAGTGAACATTGTATTGTTTACAGGTATCTTTGCAAACTGTGTTGCGTCATTACGCCCTTGGCCCGCCTGCACAAAACACACTTTGCTACAATCGATTATAGACTCTTAATACAAAATCGCGACTAAGCCCTTTCCATATCATTCATCGGAAATGTCTGTCAAAAGCAGAGCCGATTGTATGATTCCTACTATGAATTGAACATGTGTTTATTAATCACTTTCAAATAGTGATGATACCAGATGTTCGCGTAAAGGTGAACGTATGCTGCCCCACCGTTGTGACGCGTCTCAAACACATGCAAAGGCAAGTCAAACAGGATTTTTTCTCACTGATGCCTCAAATTTGGAAATGTCCTTCATAAATCATTTTATAAAGATTAAATGAGGCCATGTATGTTGTAATCTTGGTTAAACAACTTCTGAGCAAGTGTCGTATGACGCTTTTTGAAATCTTGGTAGAAATGACATGATCGATTGTACCTCAAAAGTTGTGAAATGAAGACACCAAAGGCTGGAGCTGCTTGAATATTGCTCGACATAATAAGCCATCCTTCCAGTACTTCTGTCTTGTGGAGAGTGTTTTGTCACTCTGTATCTTTATGCATAGATCTAAATATGAAATAGACGAGGCGGTCTCACAGGTCTCCTATATGTATAGTTCATGTGGGTAAATCAGTGGTAGGGAATTGGCTATTTGATGGTTATTGACCGATATCAGATCATCGATATATCTGAAGCTCAAGTAAAACTTCTTGGCCAAATTACTTCGTTCTGGCTTTGCCAATCCGACCAGAAATTCCGATTCATACACATAAAGAAACAGACCAGCATGAATGGGAGAGCAATTGGTGTGAAGTCTACTTCTTGTCTAAATGTCTTACCCCAAAATTCACAAAGATGTTTTCAATGAGGAAGTCTAGCATTTTACATGTTGTTCTAACGCCACCTTGAAATGTAATTGCAAAGTCAAATTCCAAGTTATCAACAATTTCAAAGGAATTACATAAAATTCTGAGAATTCTGTAACGTTGACGTAATGTATCCATAGATAGACGTTGCTAGATAGATAGACCATAAGTGGTTGTGGGTTTCACCAAACTGGTAAGGGAGGAACCAAAATACTTATGGAGGGAACCACAAGTTGCGATAAGTTACTAAACCTTCGAAACCATCTTGGTTAGGGGCTTCTTGACTACTGTTTGAACATTTCTTTTCGCGAAGACCTGGTGTCATCACTGATTTTCAGTGTCCATTCATATTATTTTCACAGCTATTTTGCCCTTTACACTAAATGGAACCTGTTTCGGCGGATATTCTCTTGCATTTACAATTTATGTCATAATTTTCTGCATCATATATATATAATACTATGTCTGTGGTCACCACGTTTAGTATGAAATGCCCCATGGATCAAGGAATGAAGTTTTCCCTTATGTTTTTCATGTTTGACAGTGGTGCACAAAGTTGAAAGACATTGTGCCAAGGGTTGACCAACAATAACGTGAAACATTGTGCCAAGGGTTGACCAACAATAACGTGAAACATTGTGCCAAGTGTTGACCAACAATGACGTGAAACATTGTGACAAGGGTTGACCAAACAATAACCTGAGAGATTGTGCCAAGGGTGGACTAACAATACCGTGGATCAATAAGAACGTGAAACATTGTGAAAAAGGTGTCCCTATGTAAATTTGCTACTTGGTTACCTAAAACTGTACCTGGTAGCATTACTTTTTGATAGAGGTTCATAAACACATGCTCAGGATATAGTCGGAATCGAACAATCGACTCTGTTTTATGAGGAGATATATATTGGAAAGGGTTCTGTCGCTTTAATTATATTATCATGAGTAGTATGTACATATTGAAATAGATAAAAAATCAGCAAAAAGGGTTTGGTTGATCCTGGCACAGTTTGGCTGGCTAGGCTCATCATCAGCTCAGGGCCCTTACCCCCTATACACGCAGCCCAGACAGCGAAAGGGACTTCTCCCAGGAAGCGCTGCCTGGTCAAACCCACCCAGAGTTTTTAGGAGAATGTGAAGACTCACCAAGACTTCAGCCTTCTGCATTACCCAGATTGTCAGAAGGGATGTATTCCCGGTAGCAAACCTGGGTACTCTCCCAATGTCAGTCAACAGATTGGGAGGTACCAAACCTAAGGCACCGAGAACAATGGGGACGACTTGGTACTTGGGATGCAGGTGCACCGTCCTGTACGGTGCACTGACTGACCGCAGTATATTATTCAACATATATCCACATTATTGTCAACATCGTCCACATCACGAGCACCTACAGCATCATGACCATCAACACATCGTAATTTATGTGAATATAAACTCAATGCTTCACATTTCCAACGTATATATATATAATATTTACAGGCATCGCAGCCTTATTACGGATTCTAATGGGTCGTCAGCGCATGCTCATCAGAGTATATCCCAAATCCATACTCTAACAACTGGAGTGTTCGAAATTTAAACTATGGATACCGATCCATCTCACAACCCGTTCCAGATCTAACCTGGCGGCAAAAGAAAGTATAGGTCGAGAAGAAGTTTTGTTGTGAATTACAATATAATCTAGGGAGGGGTAACACATGATTGATCAACCACAATTTGAATGAAATTGTGCAATGTAAGCTCAGGATAAACAATGGTGGGATAAGAAATTTCATTTTCAAAAGTTGTCTGAAATGTCACCAAAAAATTGTCAGACACACTAAAAGTTCATTGTCGACACAGTTGCCTTCAATAGCGTGTATGACCTCCAGCTGCCTCAATGCATGCTGTGATACGCCGCCTCATCGATGACGTCAGTAGACTGGAATCCGTTGCCACTCGTCTCTCAGGGCCTGCTGCAATTCTTGTTTGTTGACGGGAGGCTGATGGCGTGCTCTAATCTGTCTGTCAAGATGGTCCCACAGACGTTCAATAGGATTTATATCTGGTGAGTGGGCAGGCCAGGGCAAAACGTCAACGTTCTTCTGGTTTAGAAAGTTACGTGTCAGTCATGCATTAAATGGCCTGGCATTGTCGTGTTGAAACAATGTCCCCTGCTGTTGGTTTTGTAAGAACGGAAGCACAACTGGCTGCAACAGTTGGTCTCTGTACTGCACAGCGTTCAGGTTTCCCTGTATAAGCACCACATCAGTCTTCTGATCTCCACAAATACCGCCCCACAACATGACACCTCCCCCGCCGAATGGATGGATCTCTCGAATACACGCCGGAGCCAAACGTTCCCCTCTGCGTCGATAAACTCGTTCTCTGCCGTCATTTCGAAGCAAGTTAAACCGACTTTCGTCAGTAAACAGCACTCGACGCCAATTTCTCACTTGCCAGCGTCCAACCTGCCTTGCCCATCGCAGTCTCAGGCGTCGATGTTGAGCAGTTAGTACCATTCCTGGCTGTACAGATCTAGTGCGTCATGATGTACATATAGGTGATGCTGTGTCTGTGAAACAACATCTCCACCGGATGTATCCAATCAAGCTTGAAGCTCTGATGATTGGAATTCAATACATGCTGGTCAATGCCATTACACTATGCTAGTCAAATACAAAATTAATGTTTTTGCCGAGACTTTAAAACTGCGCACCACTGTGTTACAAAGCGAATATATTTCTCAACGTGTTTCTTTACTCATAAGCAACAAAATCTCTGCACTTGAACACAGCAGACGTAATTCAAAATTAACATACCGTTTCATTAGTTTCAACAAAATCAGTAATGGTACTCTCGTGTCTCTGCAGCCTGACCACCCGATCCAGTTAGTCGCCTCTTACGACAAGCATAGTCACCTTTTACTGCTAGCTTGGGTTGCTGAAGACCAATTCTACCCGGGATCTTCATAGTGATATCACGTCCTTGATTTAGTGAGTTTTAACAGTATTCAAGTTATATCACCGCGTGATAGCTTCATTTGGGAGGACAGCCCGAAGTGATGCAGGGTTCAGACGTTTACCACTTTGGTGAAACCCAAGAGCACGGGTATGGTGCTGACAAACTTAGAAACATAATTCCATAATCAGAAGTTTCTGGAGTGCTTAAGGGACGCAACTGTGCACAGTGACGACGATAGGAACCCTTTAGATTTCTCAAAGATGGAACATGCAGATATTATAAAACTTAAAACAGATCCGGTCCACGAAGTGTCAGTACCATTAGAAGACCAGCACAAGCGATGGGAACTGATCTCATATCATTATTATAGCCCAAACATTCGCAAATGTAAGACGCCTCATCTGTGCACTTTACAATAGACTACTGATTGCTGATCACACCCAAGGCCCGGGTTCTATCCCAGTCTGATATTATTGTATTGTCCATTGGTGGCCTTATGTCCCGCTATTTATTGTGCTGATTTCCGTCTCTTGACCGTGATATTTAATTCAAACCAAGATAAGCTATGATTGAGATGTTTTTCATGCTCGTGATTTTGGGCTGCACATCCCTGGCAGATGTATAAATCCTGAATAACGTCGGTCATTCACATGTACATTAAGTTACACGCCTTGAATTAACTTCATGAAGTGTCAGACCAGAAAATCTTCTTCAGACAATTATGGTTCTATATGTTGTTAAAAACCGAAGATGGCTGCCGATACCGCTAGATTAATAGACAAAATCAACCTACATTCAGATAGAAAGCACGGTGGATTAACAACATTGAGCTGTTTGTCTAAATTAATTACGTATCCTTAAAGATTCTCGTTACGCGCTTACTTGAATATACTTGAATATATATACTGAACCGCAAAAGAAACGTCACCATATGTTTTTGTCCAAACACTGTACATATACTTTGAGACATATTATAAAGATGAAACTTGGCAAAATTGATCATCAAGGTTGAAATTAAAGTGTCAAATTTTCTTAAAGTGAAACACTAGTCTCTGAGAAAATGTCATCACAATTCAGTATCTCGTGTGTCCGCCATGTGCTTTGATGACTGCCGTGCAACGTCGATACATGGAATGGATGAGATGGTTGATGAAGGCCATAGGCACTCGAGCCCACACTCTGATGAACGCAGATCAGCTGCAGTTGTCAGGCTTGGTCGGACGTCATTCAGTCGTCTTCTAATCTCGTCCCACAGGTGCTCAATGGGATTTAAATCGGAACTGAGGGCAGGCCACTGCATGGTTCTGATGCTCATTTTGCTGGAGGAAGCCTCTTGTTGCTCTCGCAGTGTGGGCACGGACGTTATCATGCTGAAACTCGTATTTGCTGCGACGTGCCAAATGGGGTATGGCGTGTGGGCTCAAGACTTGATCAATTTACCGAGCTGCTGTGACACCATTGCCTCTCCCTGGACCGATGTTCTGGAAGACCACAGGGCCGACCCTCTGTGCAAGACCAATTCCACCCCACACCATGATGCTCGTACCACCCAACGAGTCTCTGTCAACAACAAAAAAGGCAGGGCGGGACAACTTAGGAATGGCCAGGAGTCCGAACTTGACCACACAGAAGGAAGAGAGCTACAAAAACATGTTTTATATCATTGGAAAGCTCTCGAGGAGACGAATCCAAATAATGTGTGTCCCAGTGTGTTCACATGTTCATAAGCTCAAAAATTGGCTCAGAAAATGCATTACTGCAGAAATTTCTGGCCGAATTTTTTTTTTCTGCAGAAATTTCTGGCAGTATTTTTTTTTTCTACAGAAATTTCTGGCCGAATTTTTTTTTTTCTACAGAAATTTCTGGCCGAATTTTTTTCTGCAGTAATATTTAGCAGAATTATTTTAATTCAGGAGAAATAAGATTCAATCATTGGATAGTTTGAATTGAATTCAGCAATTGAAGATATTTATCTTGGTATTATATTTACCAAATTTATCAAGAAAAGTTGACGTCACTCGAATTAAACAATGGAACAACATGTTGGCCTCATACTTTTGTATACTAGACAGATGCAAATCATTGAACCTTGAGCTTACCCTATCATTATCTAAATTATTATGAGAATTTGTGACCATCTTCAATGGCCTTTTGACGACTTTGAAGTGTACAACATTAAAGGTGAATGTGATTCTCAAAAAATAAATTTCATAATTATTCCATCGGGCCAACCAAATATATAATCCCCAGTTGGAATTCAAAGAAACAACCTACATGTGATATACGGTACTCTGAAAGTAGGTTAACTTCAGACATGGAAAAAAATAGAACACAACCAAGATTTTACAATATAACTGCATATATTGTTTCATAAATTTCTTTGTGCACATCTCATCTTATATATGTATATATATATATACAATTCTAAATACACAGCTTTACTAAGAAACAAAAACATACAAAGTACAAAACTCCTGCAATGCAATCCTCGGCAATATCTCAGCCACATAGCTTAGACAAAAAATATGTTCATTTCAGCAAAACTTGCTGCTCCTTCTTTATTGTTCTGATACTGACGCTTGTCTTCGGTGCTTTGTCAGAGTGATCTGAAAGTAAAGAAAAAAAATGTAAAGAATATGAGAACATAATTAAAATCACTGCATCTATACAATAAAAGCAAAAATAGTAACCTCATGAAGTTGGGTTGTTTCTCTGCCCACATTACACATATTCTAAGTAACGCTGACTAACCCTAATATTACACATCACAATACATATTTCAAAAGAAATGCAATATTTATTGAAATTACCTTTGATTGTTTTTGCAGTTTTTCATTGTTCTTCTCTATTGCCTCTTGAACTTTAGTTGGGAGGGTTGTCGCTTCCCTTGGGGCAGGCATGAAGGGCTTGAAGTCTGATAGCTTGGTGGTGGGTGTCCGGATGTCCCCAATCTTGAAGGAGGGCATCGCGGGTTGTTGCAGGCTTCTGTCTAAGTTCCCTTGCACTAAACACTTAACAGTTGATCCAAATCTTCATGCGTGTGCCCCACCATGAGAAAGAAAGTTTCACCTGAAAATGGTATTTACATCAGTATTATCACTATGAAAACAAATCAAATTGTACAAAACTTGTTTATTTTTACAGAATATTGATTTGAATATTGAGAGAAAAATCAATCTTGTGCATTTAAGTTTCAACATTGTGTGCAGATTCTTTTATACTTAGGATGAGCAACTGGACATGAAATACTTGCTTCAAAACAATTGTAATGTGGTTTAAAACAATTTACATAAATTATAAAAATATTAACCACATGTGACTTCAGCATTTACTTTGAATTGTATAGTATAGCCTCAAGGAATAAATATGCTATACATGATATTGTATGTGGAGTCATATACCAATAATTTCATTGATAACTATCTTCATGATAGCACTAAAAGTGATACCTTGGATTGCAGCGTCCACTTTTGACTGGCCGACAAAGTCTTGCAGCTTTACTGGTCCTGGAAATGTCAAATAAATATTTAAACAATACATAAATTGCAACTTTAATGTAATTGGATAGTCATACAAATATAACAATTGCCAATTTCCATTCTCAAAAATCCACAATTCCTCCAAAATTAGACAAGCCTACCAGACAAACATTGAATTTATTCAACAGGCCCGTACCAAGCATTTAGCTAAGACAAAGATAAATTTCTATCCTTCTAAACGTGTGTTACAATTATAATGTACAAACAAATGTATTGACATACATGGCACGATCCCATTACAAAACAAATCCCATTACATCCTTTACTAATAATATTGGACAAACTACAATAACGTAACCCATATATGTGCACTGTGGATACTAAGCTCCACTGGTTTCTAAATAAGAATCTACATAACTCCCTACCAATAGGATATGTAGACAGTAATATATGTTTTGGTTTGTTTTGTTGTTTACTGCCGCATTCAGCAATATTCCACCTATATGACAGCGGTCTGTAATTAATCGAATCTGGACCAGACATTTCAGAGATTCATATCATGAGCATCAATGCAGGTCAGCGAGCCTGACCACGCAATAGTGTTAGTCGCCTCTTAAGACAAGCATAGAATTCACTGGAAACTGGAAAGGAAATATCACAAAAAGACATGGTGTGCTTGGATACCAATTACACAATAATGACCCATTAAATCGGGATTAGTGCACTTTACCGGGCGCACTTTTTCAGATCCAATTAGCGCTGTTGGGGCTCGAACGCGCTTCGCCGACTCACCGGCTCTGCTAATTAATGCGTTAATTAGCCGACGCTCTACCACTGGACCACAGGCGCTATCACATGTAATCAGTGCTCGTTTAACAGGTCATTAGAATCACCATTGACATGCATGTGTAATTGAGAAAACAATGAATTGCGCATGCGTGTGACGTCATGGCCCGCTCTCCCATTCATCTTTTCTTGAAACCACACCCGCAATTGTTTATGTCAACAACCAATGGGATTAACTGAATTAACGCTTGAAAAAGTAAGAATTTATGGCTAACCCTTGCCCAAAGCCAGCTAACCCTAATGACCGAAAAACGGGTGTTGGATCGTAAAGACGTGTAAGTTTCCCTAAGACCTAGAACGGGTGTTTGATCGTAAAGATGTGTAAGTTTCCCTAAGACCGAGAACGGGTGTTTGATTGTAAAGATGTGTAAGTTTCCCTAAGACCGAAAACGGGTGTTGGATCGTGAAGCGAGAGTCACCAGAGCGTGAGGCACGGTAACGGTATAACGAGACAGCGTGGCACTATAGCGCGGTAATTGAGCGGATGGTAGAGCTCGGGCTGCGCCCGGTAAACTGCATTGTTGCCCAGAAATTCGAGAAGAAAATTCGCGAAATTCGATATCGACATGTCCTCTCAAAACGAAGAAAGGGTTCTATCACTAGGTCCACGCGAGAGTATGTCTCGTAAACTTGCCTAGCCCTACGCCTACTGTTTGCACCACCGAGTAGACCGAGCCACCCGCCAACTCGCACCCTAATTAAGTCATGGCCCTGTGGGCAACGAGGGCAACACTTACCTGGTATACTACGTACGTAACACCAATATAATGCCACGCGAAGCCATATATATATAAAGGCTACACAATCCGCGTATGTTCGCAGAGCCCTGGCTCTTCCGCTCTTCCTTTCCTAGCTCATGTTGACATTTTGATAAAAAAACAAAACATGCACCGTGCTTTGATTCCGAAACGAAATTTAAATTGGCAACACAGTCGGTGGTGGTAAAAAAACCCAGCGCAACGAAGCCGATGGAGTACCTCACCCCTACATTCGCCGTACCAGTTTATTTTCGCGTTCGTAGCTCAACTCTACCTAATAGTGCCGATGCAATAAATGAGCTATAGTTAACGACATTGCACATAAGCATTACTTACCAATTTCAGTGTTTTTCCTTTTGGGCAGATTTCTTGAAGAAAGATGTCTGCCTTGACTGTTGATGACGTTGGTAAGATCTGTAATAGGGTAGCAACATGTTCAGTGAATATGTTCAAAAAGAAACCATGATCCAAACAGAAGGCAAAAGTTCTTTAAGATATATACAGTGTTTGGTGTACAAAAATAGAATAAAATGCCTTACCCATGTCAACGTTGTTGAAGCAGAGCTGGTGAACCCTCCTCAAGGTATCCAGAGCTTCTCACTGCGACCAGAACTTGGGTTTTCGATGTGATTTACCGACTTGTTGAATAGTTATCGTTTGATCGTCTGACAGAACGTTCTCGACGATTTAACGATATTTAACGATACCTGATTAGGGTTAAATCTATATATACCATTTTTATGGTCGGGCGTCCACGGCTGATTGGTATATCAAATCAAACACAAGGGTGTATATCATGCCCCTGAGTGTTCACGCCTCACTGGGTGGTCACGTAATAAGGTGTGGCACCAGCATCTCGGGTTACAATTTGATATTAATTCAAGTACTCCACTGATAATGTACATAGGTAGTTAACTTAATTACATTCAGTTTTGTCCGACAAGGAGCGAGTTTACTTTTTTTTAGACACAGACTTTGTAACAGGCTCTTCCCCTGGAAACACATATATTGTAAATAAATATTTTGCCGTTTCCATCAACTTTATCACGTGATGTTCTATAACTGTTGTCTTGTACACTATCCATAGTGTAAGTCAGCTGGCTCGAGGAATTTTCATATAGTATTATCATTAAACAACATACCCTATGCAACAGTTATGTTGCTACCCAGACAAAACTATTTTTATATTCTATGTTAAATGTAAACGATCAGTTTTTATTATAAATACAAAACCACCTTTTAAGCGGTAATACCTATCACGCATTAAACAACATATATGAACAACCATGTGATTATAAAGTCTCACGTTGGTTCCTCCGTGCAACTTCATGCCTGACTTACATTCATATTGTTCTTTCACCACACTTACGCTTCTCCACATTTAGAAAGAAGCTGTGTACACAGTGTTCTTGCGAGTTAGAATAACGCGTCCGGTTTGGCGGCAACTTCAAAGAGTGGACATATGGTTGCTCCTTCAGGTAGCTATAATTACCCTCTCTATAGTGCAATATCGTATTATCCATTTGTAATGAATGACAGTAACACTAAATCGGATTGGATTCAGTTAAATCTACATTTCTCAAGGTCTCTAACATCGAGATTTGAAATATCTTTCATGTAAATACCTTCTTTGTCATGTGACTTGTATATATTCAGAATCGTACCTACGAACAATGTCTTTGAACAATGGCACAAGCAACGTGGTCTCTTTCTGTAAAACATAGCACTCTTTATTTCAGCCACAGCAAAGATCCCGAACCACGTGCAGTCAGCAGAGTTACAGCGTCTGGTTACCGTCTTGCAGTTACGATACAGGTAAGACGTCAAAATATTTATTGTTTTATTTCTGGAAACGCCGACCCTAGAACGTGGAATTTTGGTAACACGGTTATTTCATATAACAACAACCAAATAACAACCTGTACTCCAAACAGTGAATGTGTGGCTCTGCTGCCATGCGAAACGCGATTTGTAAGAGTCTAATTTTAGTGTATTTATTTCTACCACTTTTGATAAAAAAATACGCAAACAATCTAATCTGAAAAGGAGATATCTCCATCCCCTATGGTGTTATTGCGACTCGTATACTGTCTACATGTACATTAGGCAACTTATTGTAGCTGTATGGCGACACTTGTAGTGTAGCTATGTGACCATGAATTTGCCTGTGGTGATCAGTGAAAGTGATAACACGGAAAATTACAAAATACCAATCCATGCAGTATTTTGATGATTTACATGCGAGTTTTCTATTATTTATAACGTTAGAAATATTTAGATAAAAATAACTTTATAGACCCTATGTTTATTAATATAACAAATTGTTGTATTAATGTTTTCCTAAAATAAACATATATATCATCTTTTCTTATTGCCCCATCAAAGCTGGTGTTGAGACAATATAGAATACCCAAACGACGCATATTGTACGTGCCGTGCCGCCAGACTTCCTGCCAACTTGGCAATTAAATATCCTCGGGTATTGTCACTTCATACGGTGATACATTGTCTCGCGCACGTGGTCGGTGGGTTTTGTCTATCAGCGCCACGATCACGTGATCGTTTTGTTAATTACTCTGTGTTACGGTCTCGCCGATCCTAAACTTTCAAAGCCTTCAATAAAATTTATGAGATCATTATCTTATCTTTATTCCGACTGAATCCACCTTTATTTCAGACGTCCCCTCACAAACACACTCCCAATGCAAATTCACTGAGGCTTGACCGTTACCAATTAACAGCTGTCAATTAAACAGTTCGCATCTAAGTAGTATGTTATCGAATATATTGAAAACCTTTAGCGTGCTACTTTAGGGGGGGGGGGGGGGGGGGGGGGGGTTAAAGGAGGGTGTTGGTTGTTCACAGGGTTACTCGACAATCACAATGTATACCGGTATTTCAATAATTGTATGATATATTTAGTCCTTGGGCAGCCCCAATCTAAAAACAACAATAAAATCCTAACTCTCACCGACTCCCTTAGTGGACTAAAAGCCCTCCAAAACAAAAATACCAAAAAACGACCTAAATTAATAAACCAAATACTTAAAAGCTCCGACGACCTAACAAAAGCAGGCAAACAAATAAAGCAGCTAAATTATCTCTCAAAATACCAGTAATAAGCCTAAACCTACCCATCTCAAAATCAGAAATTAAAAGTGTAAACAAACAAAAAATAACCATAAAATGGCATAATCAATATCAAAACTCAAATAGCCAAATCAAAAAAGTGCTCAGAAAACCACTAGCCAAAACCTAAAATCCTACACCTCTCTAAAAAAATTGACAGATTTATTACAAAACTCCAAACAGGACACACGAACCTAAATAACCACCTAAAAAAACTTAAAAGACACATCACAGGCAACTGCCCCCACTGCAAACAACCCGAAACCACAGAACACGCACTCATCCACTGCACCCACTACCAAACACACAGAACCACACTACAAACCACCCTCAATCTAAATAAGGTTCCTACTCTAGATGAAATAACCCTCAAAATATACCAGAAAACTTCAAGGCCCTAGGCGTATTCCTAATCAAAACAGACCTAATTAAGCGCATCTAAAAACTAATTATTCTACCAATCCAAAATCCAATAAACATACAAACACCCACCTCACCCGGCTCCCTTAGTTCCCTCCTCCACCCACCTCGGCATTTATTCCAAATTTAAAAATTCCAAAACTTCAATATAAGCAACCCCTAAAACCCCCCTCTTGGGTTGCACACATCACTTTCACCCTTTTCGGAATACAATAAATGGTCCGGCCAGGCCCGTGTGCGAAATACGCTACAGTCGGAAAGCGCACGTTAAATCTCCTATATCAGTCAGTCAGACCCCAGTGTTTCATATCATTTTCCCACCAAACTAAAAAAGAATAACCCCCAACTGGATATGTTTCGTTTCGTCTGTCGATTCATATTTTCGAAATTCAAGGGGAACCACTCCGGCTTATGCAGCACACACATTTGAGAAGGTTGCTTCAATAATAATACTACTTCTTACCATGGTTTCACTGTCGTTCGGAACTTTTTTAAGATCTGACATCAGATTATGCTGTCCGAAAATTTATCTATTTTTTTTTAGTGGAGACAGGCCTATCGGAAATTCGAACTTGAACAGCAACGCCAAAACCACATTCCGCCGCAGTGACCAGCTGCTGATGACATAGACTAGGCTAGCTTTACACTAAGTCTTGTACCAGGCTGGCCCCTCTGGGTAGTAGGTCTGGTCTCTCCTTTGTCCTTGGACCCCCTTTCCGATCATAAGGGTTGAGTACCCCTTGCCAATGAAACACGTGTTTACCACCCTTTTACCTTAGAGCACCCATTTACGACACATGGGGTTAGTTTTGAGTTCGGTTATGGTTTAGAAGTCTCTTGATATAAACATATTTATTTCCATAAAGTGGAGGGATTGGCAAACAAGCAAATTTTGCTTATCTGAATGCCTCTCCCAAACATGATACATAAGTCTCTTTTAACGAATTAATCCAATGTAATTTTCGCAGTATACTCATCCTTATATAATTTCAGCTTCATGACAGTGTGAACATTGAGTGCCCCCTACACAAGTATGCAGTCACTGACAACTTATGGAGTGACCTATACAAAACGGAAGATGCAGACGACTAGCACAAGCACGCACGCACACACACACTCAGACGCACGCACGCACATGCTATATAAGTGCAATTATCTTGGACGTGACATTCAACCCAATTTCAACTCACCTCACTTATCTTACTTTGTTCATGTGCCTAAAGTTTGTGGAATGTGTTAATTACTGAAATGAAAAGCATTTTAATGTTTTTTTCATATCTTTTCAGAATATGTGCACATAGCTTTCAATGACCAGACGAAAAAAAGAATTCATTTCAAGTATGTTGAGAAGAAAACGTAAGTAAAGCACACTATTTACATTCATAATACATTTTATTCCGCAGGCTCTATTGTAAAGTTAAACTCTAGCTGCGTATAGGCTGCCATTATCCATTATATTAGACAATATGGATCCACTCATCTATACATCTATTTTCTTTTGTGACAGGACCCATCTCTGAAAAAATCACCTCACCCAAGAAAATACGACTCAATTCATGAGAATGAAAAGTGCAAAGTCTCCCAAGAAATTGTCTTGAAATATAGCATGTGAATAAATAATTTTTTGAAATATCTCACGAAATTAGTTTTATTTTATTGCTTGTAACCATGTGAACTAAAAATGTTTGTTTTGAGGAAAAAGGTCATTTGAAGCAACTCCAGGTTAAACTATCCAATGATTGAATCTTATTTCTCCTGAATTAAAATAATTCTGCTAAATATTACTGCAGAAAAAAATTCGGCCAGAAATTTCTGTAGAAAAAAAAAAATTCGGCCAGAAATTTCTGTAGAAAAAAAAAATACTGCCAGAAATTTCTGCAGAAAAAAAAAATTCGGCCAGAAATTTTCTGCAGTAATGCATTTTCTGAGCCAATTTTTGAGCTTATGAACATGTGAACACACTGGGACACACATTATTTGGATTCGTCTCCTCGAGAGCTTTCCAGTGATATAAAACATGTTTTTGTAGCTCGCTTCCTTCTGTGTGGTCAAGTTCGGACTCCTGGCCATTCCTAAGTTGTCCCGCCCTGCCTTAAAAGCATCCGAATAACGTTCCCCACGGCGTCGCCAGACTCTCTGCCATCTGCTGTTGAGATACATTAACGGGAAGAGAAGAGGACTCTTCTCCGCTGTTGTTGGCGCCAATGCTGGTGCTGTGTTGCCCACTGTCTACGGTCCCGGCGATGATGTGGTGTCAGAATGGGTTCTCGGTGTGGCCTGTGAGAGAGGAGATGTCTGCCCATCAATCGTCGACGCACGGTGTCCGCACTAATGTGTTGCTGGTGTGTCGCCATGGTCTGTCGAGCAGTTTCCACAGCAGTAACAAAGCGATCTAGAAGATGCTGTCGCACAATCTGACGATCCTGACGTCGGTTGGTGACCCTTGGTCTTCCACTACGTGGTCGGTCATCTGTAGTGTTGGTGGTTTGGTACCGTTGCTGGAGCCTGTATATGGTCCTTAGGTGGAATTGAAATGCATTGGCTACTTGCCGGGCGGTTTGGCCAGCTTGCAATCGTCCAAGGGCTTGGTGTTGCTGATTTCTTGTCAATTTTGGCATGTTGTAGCAATTTACCAGCTATACTGATTAACTGTCTGTTGGTGTGAGAGTAACATGTACCGCTCGTTTGGGTCAGTGCACATTGTTTCAGTTGAAATTCGGTGGAAGCTCGTTACATTGTATTGGGGACAAGCATTATTTGTCAGGAATGTAGTATTATTTAATGTAAGCAGTGGCGAGGAAGTTTAGCTATATTTAGCTGCTGGTATTGTGCGTAAACTTCCGGAAAAGCATGGATGGATGTCAAGCCTCATGGAAACATGTAGAATATTTTGTGATGTAATGACAATGTGTATAAAGTTCTGGAAGCTATTTATACAATAACATTCAGCATCCCAGTAACAACTGTCATTCAGTTAGACATCAGTCAGCACCACAGTAACACAAATACTGTAATACAGTTACACAACATTAAGCACTGCAGTAACACCAATACTGTAATACAGTTATACATCAGTCAGCACTGCAGTAACACCAATACTGTAATACGGTTATATAACAGTCAACACTGCAGTAACACCAATACTGTAATACAGTTATACATCAGTCAGCACTGCAGTAACACCTATACTGTAATACAGTTATACTTCAGTCAGCTCTGCAATAACACCATAATGTAATACAGTTATACATCAGTCAGCACTGCAGTAACACCAATACTGTAATACAGTTATACATCAGTCAGCACTGCAGTAACAACAATACTGTAATACAGTTACACAACATGTAGCACTGCAGTAACACAAATACTGTAAAACTGTACAATAACATTCAGCATCCCAGTAACACAAGTACTGTAATACAGTTATACAACAGTCAGCACTGCAGTAACAACAATACTGTTATACAGTTATGCAACAGTCAGCACCCCAGTACCACCAATACTGTTGTACAGTTATGCAACAGTCAGCACTGCAGTTACAACAATACTGTTATACAGTTATACATCAGTCAGCACCCCAGTACACAAATACTGTCATAGAGTCATACAACAGTCAGCACTGCAGTAACACCAATAATGTAATACAGTTATACATCAGTCAGCACTCCAAGTAACACAAATACTGTAATACAGTTATACATCAGTCAGCACTGCAGTAACAACAATACTGTAATACAGTTATGCAAAAGTCAGCTCTACAGTAACAACAATACTGTTGTACAGTTATACAACAATCAGCACCCTAGTAACACAAATACTGTAATACAGTTATACACCAGTCAGCACTGCAGTAACAACAGTACTGTAATACAGTTATGCAACAGTCAGCACTGCAGTCACAACAATACTGTAATACAGTTATACATTAGTCAGCACCCCAGTACACAAATACAGTGATAGAGTCATACATCAGTCAGCACTGCAGTAACAACAATACTGTATTACAGTTATGCAACAGTCAGCACCCCAGTACACAAATACAGTCATAGAGTCATACATCAGTCAACACTGCAGTAACAACAATACTGTATTACAGTTATGCAACAGTCAGCACACCAGTAACACAAATACTGTAATACAGTTATGCAACAGTCAGCACCCCAGTATCAACAATACTGTTGTACAGTTATACATCAGTCAGCACTGCAGTAACAACAATACTGTATTACAGTTATGCAACAGTCAGCACCCCAGTATCAACAATACTGTTGTACAGTTATACATCAGTCAGCACTGCAGTAACAACAATACTGTATTACAGTTATGCAACAGTCAGCACCCCAGTAACACAAATACTGTAATACAGTTATGCAACAGTCAGCACTGCAGTAACAACAATACTGTAATACAGTTATACATCAGTCAGCACTGCAGTAACAACAATACTGTATTACAGTTATGCAACAGTCAGCACCCCAGTATCAACAATACTGTTGTACAGTTATACATCAGTCAGCACTGCAGTAACAACAAAACTGTATTACAGTTATGCAACAGTCAGCACCCCAGTATCAACAATACTGTTGTACAGTTATACAACAGTCAGCACTGCAGTAACAACAATACTGTAATACAGTTATGCAACAGTCAGCACTGCAGTAACAACAATACTGTACTACAGTTAACATCAGTCAGCACTGCAGTACACAAATCCTGTGATACAGTTATACAACAGTCAGCACTGCAGTAACACCAATAATGTAATACAGTTATACATCAGTCAGCACTGCAGTAACAACAATACTGTGATACAGTTATACAACATTCAGCACCCCAGTAACACAAATACTGTAATACAGTTATACAACAGTCAGCACTTCAGCACCAACAATACATTAATACAGTTATACAACAGTCGGCACTCCAGTACCAACAATACTGTTTGACAGTTATACAACAGTCAGCACTCCAGTACCAAAAATACTGCTATAAAGTTATACAACAGTCAGCCCTCCAGTAACAGCAATACTGTTCTACAGTTATACAACAGTCAGCACTGCAGTAACAACTATCCTGTCACACAGTTATAAAACAATCAGCTCTCCAGTAACTCGAGTCCTCTGTTCAGTGTGCATGTCCGGGGTAAACACGCCTCTGTAGACAACACTTGGCATTTGATCTGGTGACTCGACATCTGACTATGGACCTGTTCCTCGATGCAACAGAGCGTAAACCCGTACGAAGTCTGCACCACCCGGACGTCTTCTCGTATATAGTTTCGACCGCCTACAGTCTATTCAACTGCGGTTACATTGTTCAGGCCTACCCTGAAAAGCTTCACAAGCTATACGATTACACTGACATGATTCAGGTGTAGCCCCGCCAAACGTTCAGTGCACAAGCTGTACAATTGCACATACACAACTCGGGTGTAGTCAATCGATAGGTATTGCCTCGCTAAATCCGCATTACCTTCCAGAGGAGATTGCATTTCTGATGAGTGTTGTTTGCTGGTGATTATGTTAGAGGGACACTAGCTTGGCACTTGATGCCACTGTGACAACAGTCTGTTCATGCTTTGGGTAAGTCGAGATCCACTTATTCAGTTACAGCCATATTAGACTTGTACACACAACTCCAGATATGTCGTTGAAATTTACAAAACCACTTACTACAGAAAGCGAGATGCAGCATGCCAACATCACGGCAGATCCACGTTGACATAATACAGTGCAGTTTAATATACCAACGTGGGGGACTTGAAGGAATGAACTATTCAGGGTTTGTCCCGCTATCGCTGACCAACTTTTCTGCAGGCCAGGCAATGAGGAAGTGGGACTCATGGCGGCCATTTTGTGAATTTGAATGTAGGTAGTTGTGTGAAGCCTATGTATGGCACGTCGGGATATTACTGGAAAACACCTTGAATGGAAAAAAACATTCTTCTTGCTATTTATGTTTGTTTGTTGTTTCATTCAGCAGTATTCCAGCTACATGATGGCGGTGTGTGAATAATCGAGTCTGGGCCAGACAATCCTGTGATTATGAGCATCAACAAGCAAGGGGTTGCTGAAGATGAATTCAAACCCGGATCTCAACGGGTCTCTTTGTACTTATGTTTTGAGATCTATTTTTATGAATTGTATTAGCAAAATATAACTTGTAACAGTGTAATCTTAACAATTGGATGATAACGTGTGGTTGTTTTGTTTTGTTTTCTTTCAGGAGTTATTGTCTACATGCTGAAATGCTTGGATCGTCTTTGCTGATCATATTGGGTAAGTTCCCAGGTTACCACTACATTATCTGCTATATTTACCCTTGCAGGTAACTAAATGTATATACTTCTTTAAATGACACGGCAGAAGCTACAGTGAAAATGAAAACGAAGTTGACTTTTGGCTTTCAACTTTTTTATTCTATCAATGCAAAGTTTCGATACAGATGCAAGTATATATCTTTACCGCGGCAATAACTCGGTAGAACAAAGTCGCTTAGCTGATACTTGAATGATGATTGACAGAAGATGGAATCCATTATTCAACCCTGTCTCCATACATATATGTTCACTCAAAATGAGCGACAACTTGGTCGGACAAGATCATACAACTGATACATTAATGAAAAAGAAGAGACGTCTAAATCCACAATCCAACCTTGTCTCCATACATGAATCCACACGAGAACTCATCCAGACTGTGTGTTTGTATTGTTACCTTGTTATGTTTACCTAGGCTGAGGTCGACCTGTCTTATATAATATGTATGTATTGTGACCTTGTTATGCTTAATAAAGACTGAGGTCGACCTGTCTTATATAATATGTACGCATTGTGACCTTGTTATGTTTAATATAGGCTGAGGTCGACCTGTCTTATATAATATGTAGGCATTCTGACCTTGTTATGTTTAATATAGGCTGAGGCCGACCCGTCTTATATAATATGTAGGCATTGTGACCTTGTTATGCTTAATAAAGACTGAGGTCGACCTGTCTTATATAATATGTAGGCATTCTGACCTTGTTATGTTTAATATAGGCTGAGGCCGACCCGTCTTATATAATATGTAGGCATTGTGACCTTGTTATGCTTAATAAAGACTGAGGTCGACCTGTCTTATATAATATGTAGGCATTGTGACCTTGTTATGTTTAATATAGGCTGAGGCCGACCTGTCTTATATGTATGTCTTGAACAGTGGAATTGTGCTACCATACTCATAGTCATGTGATCTTTCTATGAGTGACTTTGGTTCAACACTGTTTTGACGACATGTCAACTAAATGTGGGAGGATATTCCTACGTGAAGCAGGTCTTTGATGTTTGGTACTGAGGTGAAACCCACGGACAGGATGTGGTGCTGACAAACCTGGACACATGGTCAGTGCGCATCTGGCGCACCCACCTACGTGTCTTAACTCCTTACGTGGTTGGGGCCGTCATGACCCCGATCTATTGACTACTGACAGATATTTTCACTAGCCTAATCATGCAAGCTTCAAACACGTCGGCAATATGGTAGATATACATGTGATTATATTTATGCGTTTAAAACATAAAACTAATCCAAGGGAAGTAACTCTTCTCTCTTGAAAACTTGATCCAACTATTGCCACATTAACTTCAAATGAACTTCTGTTTTCAGTTTCTACAGTACAGTATGTCCCAGTGTGCGAGTGGGGCAAGTATGGACACAACTGTGACCGACTATGTTCAGATCAGTGTAGACTTCATCCTGTCAGAAACCTTCGACACTGTCACAAAGATACTGGGAAGTGTTCAGAAGGGTGTGTTCGTGGTCGGCATGGTGACCACTGTGATAAATTTTGTAGCCCGAACTGTATCAAAAACTCGTGCATTCAACTCAATGGGAAATGCAACATCGGGTGTATGGAAGGATACAGTGGATATTTCTGTAACATAACAACAGGTACGCAAATACAGACAACAGTCCACAGATACTATTCTATACACAGATTCTGATGTTAGTATTTTTACCTTACCTTCTTTATCTTTCTTTCTGAATATGAGATTGTTATTCTGTCTTCAGTTGGGATGAACTTTGAAGTGATGGTTAGTAGATCACTTTCATTGAACTGTTTTCAATGAGACTTTTGCAGTAATTTCTACACGAGAAATATGCTCACTTATTCGATTCCTTTTCACTGTTGGTTGCACAGATACATGTGATTATATTTATGTGTTTAAAACACAAAACTCATTTAAGGGAAGTAATTCTTCTCTCTTGAAAACTTGATCCAACTATTGCCCACATTAACTTCAAATGAATGTTTGTTTTCAGTTCCTGCAGTACAGGGTGTCCCAGTGTGCGAGTGGGGTAGGTATGGACACAACTGCGACCGACTTTGTTCAGGTGACTGTGGACTTTACCTTGGCACAAAGCTTCGACCCTGTCACAAATATACTGGGAAGTGTTTACAAGGGTGTGTTCGTGGTTGGCATGGTGACCACTGTGATCAACTTTGTAGCCCCAACTGCATCAACACCATCTGTAACCAAGGCAACGGGGGATGTACCATCGGGTGTATAGATGGATACAGTGGATATTTCTGTAACACAACAGCAGTTACGCAAAAACAGACAACAGGTTAATAGATACAGTTCTATAAACAGATTCTGATGTTAGTATTCTTATCTTACCTTTTTTATCTTTTTTTCTGAATATGAGATTATTATTCTGTCTTCAGTTGGGATGAACTTTGAAGTGATGGTTAGCAGATCACTTTCATTGAACTGTTTTCAGAATGTGCTCACATATTCGATTCCTTTTCACTGTTTGTTGCACAGATACATATGATTATATTTATGCGTTTAAAACATAAAACTAATCCAAGGAAAGTAATTCTTCTCTTTGAAAACTTGATCCAACTATTGTCCACATTAACTACAAATGAACTTCTGTTTTTAGTTTCTACAGTACAGGGTGTCCCAGTGTGCGAGTGGGGCAAGTATGGACACAACTGTGACCGACTATGTTCAGATCACTGTGGACTTTACCTTGGCACAAAGCTTCGACCCTGTCACAAATATACTGGGAAGTGTTTACAGGGGTGTGTTCGCGGTCGGCATGGAGACTACTGTGATCAACTTTGTAGCCCGAACTGCATCAGCACTATCTGCAACCAAGGCAACGGGGGATGTACCATCGGGTGTGTAGATGGATACATTGGATATTTCTGTAACACAACAGCAGGTACGCAAATACAGACAACAGGTAAATAGATACAGTTCTATAAACAGATTCTGATGTTAGTATTCTTATCTTACCTTTTTTATCTTTTTTTCTGAATATGAGATTATTATTCTGTCTTCAGTTGGGATGAACTTTGAAGTGATGGTTGGCAGATCACTTTCATTGAACTGTTTTCAATGAGACTTTTGCAGTACTTTCTACACGAGAAATGTGCTCACATATTCGATTCCTTTTCACTGTTGGTTGCACAGATAAATGTGATTATATTTATGCGTTTAAAACATAAAACTAATCCAAGGGAAGTAACTCTTCTCTCTTGAAAACTTGATCCAACTATTGTCCACATTAACTTCAAATGAACTTCTGTTTTCAGTTTCTACAGTACAGTATGTCCCAGTGTGCGAGTGGGGCAAGTATGGACACAACTGTGACCGACAATGTTCAGATCAGTGTAGACTTCATCCTGTCAGAAACCTTCGACACTGTCACAAAGATACTGGGAAGTGTTTACAAGGGTGTGTTCGCGGTCGGCATGGTGACCACTGTGATCAACTTTGTAGCCCGAACTGTATAAGAAACTCGTGCATTCAACTCAACCGGGAATGCACCATTGGGTGTATGGAAGGATTCAGTGGATATTTCTGTAACATAACAACAGGTACATAGATACAGTTCTATAAACAGATTCTGATGTTAGAATTCTTATCTTACCTTTTTTATCTTTTTTTCTGAATATGAGATTATTATTCTGTCTTCAGTTGGGATGAACTTTGAAGTGATGGTTGGCAGATCACTTTCATTGAACTGTTTTCAATGAGACTTTTGCAGTACTTTCTACACGAGAAATGTGCTCACATATTCGATTCCTTTTCACTGTTGGTCGCACAGATACATGTGATTATATTTATGCGTTTAAAACATAAAACTAATCCAAGGGAAGTAACTCTTCTCTCTTAAAAAACTTGATCCAACTATTGTCCACATTAACTTCAAATGAACTTCTGTTTTCAGTTTCTACAGTACAGGGTGTCCCAGTGTGCGAGTGGGGCAAGTATGGACACAACTGTGACCGACTATGTTCAGATCAGTGTAGACTTCATCCTGTCAGAAACCTTCGACACTGTCAGAAAGATACTGGGAAGTGTTCAGAAGGGTGTGTTCGTGGTTGGCATGGTGACCACTGTGATCAACTTTGTAGCCCGAACTGCATCAAGACCACGTGCAATCAACCCAAAGGGGCATGTACCCTCGGGTGTATAGATGGATACAGTGGATATTTCTGTAACACAACAACAGGTACGCAAATACAGACAACAGGTACAAAGATACAGTTCAATAAACAGATTCTGATGTTAGTATTCTTATCTTACCTTTTTTATCTTTTTTTCTGAATATTAGATTATTATTCTGTCTTCAGTTGGGTTGAACATTGAAGTGATGGTTAGCAGATCACTTTCATTGAACTGTTTTCAATGAGACTTTTGCAGTACTTTCTACACGAGAAATGTGCTCACATATTCGATTCCTTTTCACTGTTTGTTGCACAGATACATGTGATAATATTTATTCGTTTAACAGGGCGGTCGGGTAGCCTAGTGGGTAAAGCATTCGCTCGTCACGACGAAGACCCGGGTTCGATTCCCGACGTTGGTACAATGTGTGGAATATTGCTAAAAACGACGTTAAACCATAATCACTCACTCACTCACTCACTCACTATTCGTTTAAAACACAAAACTCATCCAAGGGAAGTTACTCTTCTCTCTTGAAAAAACTTGATCCAACTATTGTCCACATTAACTCCAAATGAATGTTTGTTTTCAGTTTCTACAGTACAGGGTATCCCGATGTGCGAGTGGGGCAAGTATGGAGACAACTGCGACCGACAATGTTCAGATAAGTGCAGACTTCATCCTGTCAGAAACCTTCGACACTGTCACAAATATACTGGGAAGTGTTCAGAAGGGTGTGTTCGCGGTCGGCATGGTGACCACTGTGATCAACTTTGTAGCCCAAACTGTATAATAAACTACTGCATTCAACTCAACGGGGAATGCACCATCGGGTGTATGGAAGGATTCAGTGGATATTTCTGTAACATAACAACAGGATCACAGATACAGACAACAGGTACCGGAGACAATTCTTTAAACAGATCCTGATAAGAGTTGAGTCAGAACATAGGTACTTAGGGTAGATGTTAAGAAGATTGCATACAGCAGATTGGCAGCTCCAATACGTTGGTTCATACGACTATTTGGATTTCATTTGTAAATGTACAACATGTTTTGACATAAATCCAACCATACTTTTATTTGGTTTTACGCCAATAGATTATTAATTTTTACGGGATGTAATATGTGAACTCCTCACTAAAATGCACTTCAATAGTGACACCTAAGGTAAAATATGTCAGCTTCCTTTGAATGAGAAATGTTACTGTATACGAATGTGCCTACTTTCTTTGCACCGTCTGTACAAGTGGGGTGTTTTTGTTACATTAATGACATACTTATATAACGATACGGTCATAACAATAAATAAAATGATTAAAATAATACTAGGACATGAGAACATTGGAGTTTCAACGTAGTAATTAACAGTATGTGTCGAGTACTTCATCTGTTGAATGTAAGCCAGTGAAAGCCAGCTTGTCAGAGGGCGATAACATTATATGAACATGTTCTGTCGAAATTACTGATCTGAGCTGTTAAAACAACCAACAAAACCCCGCAAGTCACCTTGGTCATTGATAAGGAAATGGGCTGCGATTTGGAGACATATAGAGTACATGTTGGATGTTACATGGCAACGTTTCAGCATTTATGAGTGGCAGAGCAAGACGACGGTCAGTTATGCGTGTCCCTATGTTGCACATGTCGCACAAGCTACATTGGACAGCTCACGGGAACCGATCTTGAAAGAAGTAATAGCTGAAATACAAGGCATGAGGAGGGACATGCCAACTAATTTCGACAAAATGAGCACTATAACTCAAGTAGAGAAAGAGGTACATATTCTATCTGATGAAAATGGTGACTTTCGGGACCAACTTACTAACTTAACTCGTAAAGTGGACATGCTGGATAGCCAGGAGAGAAAGAACATTGTAATTGTTTATAACGCCGAGGAGACATTTAGAGAGTTAACAGTAGAGACAGGAAATAAACTGCTTGGGGTGATTGTTGATAACATGGAAATACAGGAAGAAACAATATTTGATAGAGTGAGTCGGCTACCAACGAAATCAAGTGGACCAAGGCACATTTTAGCTACGTTCAGGACTCCAAAACAGAAAGCCACTATCATGAGCCAAGTTAAAAAAATGGAAAGGCAAAACATAGGGATCTCCGTCGATTATACAGATGCAGTGAGACGTACCTGACAAACCTCCAATCCCTTCTTGGAGAAAGTGAGGGAAGAAGGCAAGTTTTCTATTTTGAAACATGACAAACTACAGATAGACAATAAACTCTACATGCTTGATGGGACTGATGTGGTCAACCTGGTACTTACATGCGTGAGAACCTTTAAACCTAGAAATCCAGAGTTGATGGGAGCAGAGTGAAATTAACAAGTAGGTCAACGCCCTAGCAATGCTAATGACACAACTGTTAGTAACTGTACAGTGTGGAATTTTGAAGATTTACAGAAGAAAACGGAAATACCCTCATTTATTGACTTTGTCCTGTTTTACGTTGTCACAGGAATTGTGGCAATTTGGGCAGGTCAGAATGATATATTTAGTCTTCCTGGTAACACCCAGACCGGGTCAAACCAGACCAAGACCCGCTGGTGCTTTTAGAAACTCTTGAGGACTCCTTGCTGTTGATAAAAAACCAAGCTTGCGTCATCTTGTGATCTTCATACAAACTGCAACACAACAGATAATATCATGTGGTTAAAGGTGATACTACAAACGACATCCATTTTTTTTGGCACTAGTGTATTACACATCAGTCAACTGAAGTGTACATTCAGCAGAACCTGTGTTGGATATGTTGGACAGGGATAACACACAAATCAAACAAATCATCCTGGTTGTAATATCATTGTAATGGGAGATCTGAACGCCAGGACAGGTTATAATGCTTGCCATGATTTTATCATTAATGATGACATTTCATATTTACCTATTGATGATGACCTTCACTATATCGAAGATTGTGAGTTCATTCAACGTGTCTCACAAGATTGCACTGTAAATAAGCGAGGTCTTAAATTACTGGATTTGTGCAAAACAACTGGTTTCAGAATCTGTAATAGTAGGCCTGGTGACGACGCAGGATATGGAAAGATAACATGTATAGCTAACGACGGTAAGAGTGTAGTCGACCACGTTATGGCTACAGAACATTCCTTTCCATACTGTACATCGTTTACAGTCTGTGATCAAGTAGAATCTTCACATTTGCCAGTTCTCTCCAAAGAAACGGTACATATACTAATACATATGAACATTTGTCACCAAAACAACGATTTATATGGAAAGATGACTTCAACGATGAGAACACTACCAAGTAAATTAATCTACCTGTTTCAATCCTACAGGATTTCCATTTCCAGCTGACTCAGCAAAACATTGATAATGCGGCTTCAATGTTTACAAGCATGATGACAACTTGTGCAAGCACCCGCGACAGGATTCTCACAACTCGTGCATCAACAATAGATTAAGGGGAGACAACTGGTATGGCCAGGACAGTCGAGAGGCAGGTGCAACCACTCGTTGATGGCTTCGCGCATTTCATTCCAGTAACAGTATATTTGTCAGACAGCAATACCTATCAGCTCGAAAATATTATAAAGACTTATGTATGGAGAAAATGGATGATGCATTTAATATGTTTGTTGAAAAATTAAAAGAAGCCATCTGTGAACACGACAGTAAACAGTTCTGGTCCATGCTTTCGTGAACCAGACCATAAAACAAACTCAATCACGCCAAAGGACTGGATGTGTCACTTTGAGACTTTTTTTGGATTCATGGGAGATATTGATGACTCTATTGATTTCTATACAACTATCGATGACTTTCTTAATAATTCTATTGATGAATATTCATTTATGGACCCTGATATAACTGAATCTGAACTCTGAGAAGTCATCCAGGATACGAAATCTGGAAAATCATCTGGATATTGTGGTTTGCCAATTGAATTTTTCAAAAATATACCCCTACCCTGTATTGAAATGTTTAAAAATTATATGATGTTGTACAAACCTTTGTATGGTGTTGTTAAAAGTAGGCTGTACTGATTAACACAAATTATGCATGAACACGGTGCAGCTCGTATTTCAATGGATGCTGGCTATGCATACTTTTAATATGTTAATATGGGTTGAGGCAGGGATGTCAAATGTCACGTTTTTGTTTTCTTTTTTTGATCAATGATATTTATTTTAAGTTCTGACGGACAAAGGGGATCACCATGGACCAATTGGAATTGTTTATATTGCTGTTTGCTGACGATATTGTCATGTTTGATTTCAGACAAGCTGACCAACAAAAGCGTTCATATAAATGTGCTATTTATCATAACAAATGGAAATTGAAGGTTAATATTGATAAAAGTAAAATCATTGTTTTTAGAAATCGTGGATCATTACGGTGTTATGTTATGTTTGTTTTAACACAAATTATCTTGAAATAGTTTCTTGCTATAAATAACTGGGTGTTCATTTTTCCTCATCTGCCTCATGGTACTTAACCCCCAAAATCATCAGCGCATCAAGCTTGGAAAGTTATCCAAATACTGCAATGTAAATCTTTTATGTTTCAAAAGCCAAAAATATAATATTATTCTTATGCATGCCCAACACTTCGAGTTGAACAAGGCCGAAATGGGGAAAATGCTGGGCTTATGATGTTAAAGACGTGTCATATAAGTATGGTTTTGGAGACGTTTGCCCTCATCAAAGTGTTGGCTGTGTTGATTTATTCATTGCTCAGAATCAAAATTTGCTTAGAATCAGTAGAATCAAAATTTGTGTGTCCAGTGTCCATTCTTTGCAGGTAAAAGAGAGTATTATTGTGTCCATCCAGACCAGCAGAAACTTAAAATGCTGTTCTTCAGCTCAAATCCGTATTTACTCAACAGTCTAGGGAAATATACTTTCTTAGCACTTAAGAGATGTCAGTAATTATCCTAAGTAGTAAAACTGTCCACTATTGTACATCCTAAGGCAGACATTCTGTGTGTGTGTGTGTGCGTGTGTGCGTGTGCGTGTGTGTGTGTGTGTGTGTGTGTGTGTGTGTGTGTGAGTATATACAATACAACATAAATATATTTTATTTATTTTTTAACAGTACTTCATCACCAAAGAAGGTCATAACATGTAATATTTCTTATCTGTGAAAGGAAAATAGTGTTTTTGACCATTTTGAGGTACACAGTATTTTATCAAAGCTGATCGGCATATCTTTGAGAGGCCCGATTTAAGGAACGACTATAAGCACTTTGACTATGACAGAGGGAAGCAAGTCTTTCAAAGAAGAAGTCGTAAACTTTAGGGGATGTACGTTGAGTATATAAGACAGACTATTTCCTCATACTGTGTTTGTTTGTTACAGGTGAGGGGCACATTAGACAGACTAATTAGTCATATTGTGTTTGTGTGTTACAGGTGAGGGGCACATTAGACAGACTAATTAGTCATATTGTTTTTGTTTGTTACAGGTGAGGGGCACATTAGACAGACTTATTAGTCATATTGTGTTTGTTTTGTTACAGGTGAGGGGCACATCAGACAGATTAATTAGTCATATTGTGTTTGTGTGTTAGAGATGAAGGGCACATTAGACAGACTAATTAGTCATATTGTGTTTGTTTGTTACAGGTGAGGGGCACATTAGACAGACTTATTAGTCATATTGTGTTTGTTTTGTTACAGGTGAGGGGCACATCAGACAGATTAATTAGTCATATTGTGTTTGTGTGTTAGAGATGAAGGGCACATTCGACAGACTAATTAGTCATATTGTGTTTGTTTTGTTACAGGTGAGGGGCACATCAGACAGATTATAATTAATTAGTCACATTGTGTTTGTGTGTTAGGGGTGAGTGGCACATTAGACACACTAATTAGTCATATCGTGTTTGTTACAGGTGAGGGTCACATTACACAGAGTATACAGTGGATGTGGATGTTACCTGTTGCGGTCTATATCTTTTCGACAATTTGTTGATGGAAGAGGTGAGTTTAATTTGTTTGGTTCGGGTGCTAACCTCAGACTACTTCAGCATCTACTCTATGATCAGTTCGGTTTGTTCAGCGTAACTTTGACATATTTTCCATGGATATAATTTTGTACTGGAATCAGAGATTTCAGGTTTACGAATACACAAATATTATTCTATATTTACCATGTTGCCATCAGTGATGGCAATTGTATCCGGTCGTTCTTTGATGGCAATTTTCATTCAACGCATGACATGGTTTTACTGGCAAATGTGTATACGTATTTGTGTGGGGTAACCCGAAGGGGTTGGTGTATACGAGGAAATGTCAAACAGGTACACTGTGTATTAATAACTAAATCTATTTGCATTGCTCGATGTAGAAGAACGTTTGACAAAGGGTTTACATGGCTGATAAGAAGGTAAGTCTCACGAAGACTTGTTCTTTAAAGCACGCGGTAGTATCTTCTGTAAAGATCTTCTGATTGTTGGTAGTGTTAGTGAAGAGGTGGGTGAGTAAGTTTGATGTAACACCGCCTTGGGCAGCAGTTCAGTTATATCACGTCGTGTCAGGTTGATGTGGGAGGAAAGCCGGAAGTGATGCAGGTCTCAGACGTTTACCACTTTGGTAAGACACGGACATTGTTATGGTGCTGACAAACCTAGACACATAGTCAGGGCGATATGGGATTATACGATCCTAGGTTTTCGCCATGCCTGAGGGACACTACTTAAGTGACACCCACGAACATGGATATGGTGCTGACAAACCTAGACACATAATCAGGGTGTTCTGTGATTCATACGATCCTAGGTTTTCACCATGCCTGATGGACACTACGTAAGTGACACCCACGGACATGGTTATGGTGCTGACAAACCTAGACACATAATCAGGACGATATGGGATTATACGATCCTAGGTTTTCGCTATGCCTGAGGGACACTACTCTGGTACGCGAAAAGGATGCAATTCTGCACAATAAACTGTTGCGTCTACGACAACTGAGCCAGATGTGCCCCTTGTTACTGTAGACACAACATTACTTTATTTTAATATTGCAGTTTTAAATACCTCCTCATTTATTCTTTTTCAGGAAGCCAAGGCGTTGTAAGTAATATAATTCTTTTTCATATTTTACTTGAAGCATACTTTGACAATATACATGTATGCATCTTAGCATCTTCTGTTGCAACCAGCCATCTGGTGAGTTGTTGGGATGTGGACGTTCTTGTTTCACATTTACGACTGCCTCTGCACTATTGCCAGAACCAGCATGTGACGGCAATGTCATGTTCCTTGTCTGGGAATCTAGCAAAGGGAATTCACTATTTCTCAGATTATTTGAGTAGATATTTTTAACAATTCACACTGCTATCTCTGACAGCGACGTAATTCACCATTCACTCAAGCCAACCACTTGGGCAGTTAGGTAAATACAACACAACCAAACAACACACGGGTGATAGTATGTCACATTATAGATGTCTACTGTAGCCACACACACAACGGTCTTTACCCCCATGACAGCCACCCCTAGGTATCTAATGTAGCCACACACACAACAGTCTTTACACCAACGACAGCCACCCCTAGGTGTCTACTGTAGCCACACAAACACACACAACAGTCTTTACACTCATGACAGCCACCCCTAGGTATCTAATGTAGCCACACATGACACTCATGACAGGCACACCTAGGTGTCTACTGTAGCCGCTCAGAAAACAGACTATAACACCAAGACAGGCACCCCTATGTCTCCACTGCAGTAACACAGACAACAGACAATAACACAGAAAAAGGCACCCCTATGTCTTCACTGAAGTAACACAGACAACAGACTATAACACCAAGACAGGCACCCCTATATCTCCACTGCAGTAACACAGACTACAGACTATAACACAAAAAACAGGCACCCCTATGCCTCCACTGCAGTAACACAGACAACAGGCATTTACACAAAAACAGGCACCCCTATGTCTCCACTGCAGTAACACAGACAACAGACATTTACACAAAAACAGGCACCCCTATGTCTCCATTGCAGTAACACAGACAACAGGCATTCACACAAAGACAGGCAACCTCTCGCCAACGACGACACAGACATCGACTTTACCAGCATAGACAGACACCCCACTGGTTTCTACCCCCACTGTAGCCACAAGAGAGCTGTTTAACATTAAGACAGGCGCATTTCATGTGATGGTCACTTTAATTTGAGCTTCGAACCTTTGCAAGTCATGAGCCAAACTTTTCAGACCCTGTGTCAATATCTGTAATTTAAATCTAGATTTAAAAAACGTGTTGCAAATATATTTCTTGAACGTTTATCTTTACCTATAAGCAGCAGAATCTATGCACTTGTATACAGAGGGACGTAGTTTAAATTCGGCAGGTGCACTATCGTGGCTTTTCAGGTTAAACGATCACCGGATTATGTGGTTTGTTTGTAGGCCTGGACAGTAGGGTAGGACATGTTTATCCTTTTCTCGAACACCTGGTGTCATCACTAATTGTCAGTGGTCCGTTCATAATTTCACAGTTACTTGGCCTTTTAGGCGGAAATATTAATGTTTGGACGGATACTGTAAACTCGTGCACCTCACATGGGCATTTTTGAGATCAGGTTCCGTCTTAGCGCAAACGGGCATACCTAAAACAATTGTCAACTCGTTGCGTAATGGTTCATATATATTTACCCATATATTTTATATATTTCAGATGCAATTTAAAGCACTTCTGGACATGCGGAATTATACAGTATGATTGAACACATTTAATTGTGTCTAGGGTATATGTTTAGATGCAAGACATGTGTAAAATCAAATTATTTCTTGGGGATTCTTTGACGAAGAACTTGAAATCATACGCGCATTCTGATTGGTTTGTCGTATTTTTGCACATAACATCCATCGATAATAATTAACATCAAAGTAAGAATCATTTCATTCGGGTGTAAGATCCTACTTTCCCCAAAACCACTACCACAAATCAAGTACTCAATAACGCTATCCCTTTCATCTAAATCTGAAAAGGTACAATTTCCTCTATTGAATATGATAAAACAAATCCTGCAAGAAACTGGACTGCATTACTTGTGGATATCACAAGCTGTACCAGATGTCCAGTGGGTCAAACAACAAGTGAAAATAGTATTAACAGATCAGTATAAACAATCTTGGCAAGCTTATATTCAAAATTCCTCTAAGGCAGATAATTATAAACTATTCAAAAGCGAACCCACTTTAGAACCATATCTTTTAATTCTCCCACAAAATCTACGCATTTGGCTAACGCGTTTTAGAACAACAAATCACAAGTTGCCGATTGAAATAGGACAATGGCACGGAATACCACGTATCAACAGATATTGTACTCTATGTAATGCTGCTGTTCGCGACGAATTTCATTTTTTATTGAGCTGTAACGAATTACTCAACCTTAGAACAACCCTGTTACCAGACTATTTTTGTAAGTATCCTACTGTGCATAAATACAACTACTTAATGAATTGTGATTTCAGACCTCTTCTTACAAAGTTATGTAAATATATCAAGAATGGACTCGCACTGCTACAATGAAATGATCTACATGCCACTACATATCAAGATAGTACCTTAATATATAATTATTTACCTATGTATGTATGCAAATATGAATGTATATATTGTATAAAGTATGTATATATAATGCATATTATATTTTAACTCCAAATTGCTTCTATTGTGACACATTCGTTATACAATTATATTACACTTCGTCATGTGTGTTATCTATACCACTATTGTGTGTTTTTGAGAATAAACTCTGTTCTGTTCTGTTCTGATAGGGGGACGATACTTTTTGCAGGTTACGGAAAAGGGCGAGTGGTGGCGAATGTCGTGACTTTAGTCTTCGGACACTTACGAGTGATCCCGATGCCATTTTGGACACTCGTCCCATTCCGTAATCTATGTACAAGATACGAGTGGTTATGAATGAGCCAATATGGCGCAAACTGAAAATGGCTCCAGGCGTCAGACATCGAACTCGCGGGTACGCATGAATGACATGTGATATTTCATAATTCGTCCGGTGAATTTTGTGACAGAAAAGTTTGGTAGGGAACCCTGTACGGATAATGTTGATAAGTAAGGAACGAGTGAGTTCGCTTTTGAATTAGCATTGAATAAATGTAGCAGGTGAAAGGGGCCTGTGTGAATGTCTCAGGACGGTTTTCAGAAGCCAAAATATTCCTCACTAAACCATTACCCCGTGCTAACTCGACATTATTTTGGAAGAATAGTATGAGCCGCTATTGAATCTATAACAGCCACTAAAAGGGTACCTAACCCTAATGATAGTAAAGGGGTGATAGATGGTAGAGTAGATCCAAGGGCTAAGGACGGAGTTAGCCTACCCTAACACAGTCGACATTTGGATGTGTTCAGCACCAATATACCTAAAAACCTGCATTCCTGTGCATAATAATGAAAATTAAGGAATCTGAAAATAGTATATGTATATTAATTCCCATTTACGATAATTTTAGCCACTTGAATTACGAAACAAAACGAAATAATAATAAATTGAAAATTAAAGTACTTTCATAAACTAGCGCTTGCTATAAAAAGCGACGCCGCAGGCTATATTTAGAAAATAAATATTTGAAACTCTCATCATCTTTGGTGTTATTCAAGGACATTGCGTGCAGAGCTGATAGATCGCTAGGGGGAGCTTATGCACATTCGATGACCCCTGACTTCACAGGGCATCCGATGTGACTGGCAACAAAAAGTTACCTCATAGGGTGTTGTGACATGTTTGAATAGTGTGTGGTCCTGTATTCTAAAGGTAGGCCTAACAATGTATCTATCTGATATGTGTCTATTAATCGTGTCAGCATTTAAATCACGAGTAGTGAGGCAGGTGTTTGGTAGTGAGGCGGGTGTATGGCAGTGAGGCAGGTGTTTGGTAGAGTGGTAAGTATTTGGTAGTGAGGGGGTGTTTGGTAGTGAAGGGGGTGTTTGGTAGTGAAGGGGGTGTTTCCTAGAGAGGCAGGTGTTTGGTAGTGAACGGGGTGTTTGGTAGAGGCAAGTGTTTAGTAGTGAAGGGGATGAATGGTAGCGAGGCAGGTGTTTGGTCGTGAAGGGGATGAATGGTAGCGAGGCAGATGTTTGGTCGTGAAGGGGATGAATGGTAGCGAGGCAGGTGTTTGGTCGTGAAGGGGATTAATGGTAGCGAGGCAGGTGTTTGGTCGTGAAGGGGATGAATGGTAGCGAGGCAGGTGTTTGGTCGTGAAGGGGATGAATGGTAGCGAGGCAGGTGTTTTGTCGTGAAGGGGATGAATGGTAGCGAGGCAGGTGTTTTGTCGTGAAGGGGATGAATGGTAGCGAGGCAGGTGTTTGGTCGTGAAGGGGATGAATGGTAGCGAGGCAGGTGTTTGGTCATGAAGGGGATGAATGGTAGCGAGGCAGGTGTTTTGTCGTGAAGCAGGTGTTTGGTTGTGAGGCTGGTGTTGTAATATAATGCGATTGTTTCAAAATAGGACACAGAAACGATAATTGAAACACTGTTTGAAGATCAATGTACACAATGTTCAAAACATTAATCGTGTCACCTGGACAGACACACGTACACTATACAGTTAATGTCACAGGGGTACAGAAAATGTCAGTATCGGTTGTGCCCACCACGTGCATCAATCACCGCTTGAAATCGACGACCCATAGATGCAATCAAGTTGTCAATAACATGCTGTTGGATGTGCTGCCATTCATGTTGAAATGCATCAAGAAGCGCCGGAAGTGTTTAAGGCGGTGGATTCCTTCTGCGAACGCGTCGATCCAACTCGTCCCACAGTTGCTTAATCGGGGACAAATCTGGTGACCGGGCTGGCTACGGTAATGTCTGGATGTTGTTGTGCTGTAAGAAGTCCTGACAAACACGTGCAATATGCGGTCGAGCGTTGTCCGCTGGAACTGTCCGCCATGAACGTTGACGTGAGGAAGAACGTAAGGCTGTAGGATCAAGTTTCTGTAACGCACACCTGTCAATGCACCTGCCACATGCCCGAGAGGCGTCCTACGACAGTGACCGCCCTCAGCGTGTTGCGTACCGTTTGATCTGATATTCTGCGTACCCCAGGGATCTGTGTGGTTGTAGACGTTGCTGTGGTAGTGCGGTCTCGGAGGTGTCGCAGCCGGATGTATCGATCTTGTGCTTGGGTTGTCACCCTTGGTCTTCCTGACTTTGGTCTGTCGTCAACTTTGTTGGTGTTGTTGTATCGGGTCAACAGTGCGGAGATACGCCACAGTGCATGGCCACTTCTTGCTGAGTTGCTCCAGCTTGAAATCTCCCAATGGCGTTGTTCCGTTGAGCTGCATTCAGTCTTGGCATTCTGCCACCGCCTCTACTGCCGTTATAAGGACTGTTTGAACAGCCGTTGATGTGGATTTTTAAACCCATTCAGTCAGCGGGGTGGGGGTGGGGGAGGTGTGTGTGTATGTGTGTGTGTGTGGGGGTGGGGGGGGGGGGGGGGGGGGGGGGAGCGCTGCGTACCTAAATGCAGGATCCTGTGCGTTTGCATGAAGCTGTAAAATTGATCCCCAAACGCTTCGTTTATGTGCTTTGCATGTGTTTTCGCGAATTATTAACACATCATCTTTCTGTTTGACTTATTTGGTTCTCATTTAATGTAATTCTTTAAGATATTTGGCAAAAAGTGGTTTTACATCTATGTCAAGTTTCTTTTTTTTGAAGAGTATAGTTGTAAAACTTTGTCCATTTTCCCCATGTTAAAATATGTATGCGCATTT